GCCAGGGTTGATCTCCTCTAGGACTGACCGGTTTGATCACCTTGCGGTCCAAGGGACTCGCAGGAGTCTCCCTCCAGCACCACAATTCAAAGGCCTCAATCCTTCAGCGCTCAGCCTTCCTTGTGGTCCAGCTTTCACAGCCATACATTGCAACTGGGAAAACCATAGCCTTGACTATACGTACTTTTGTTGGCAGGGTGATGTCTCTGCTTTTTAGTATGCTGTCTAGATTTGCCACAGCTTTCCACCCCAGGAGCAAGCTTAATTTCTTGACTGCAGTCCCTGTCTGCGTCGATCTTGGAGCCCAGGAAAATAAAATCTGTCACTACCTCCATTTCTTCCCCATCTATTTGCCAGGAAGTGAGAGGACCGGATGCCATGATCTTAGGGGCAAAGCTAAATTAGATGTTTAGCACATAAAGTTTGTTCCTGGCAGCCAAAACATTTCCAGAAAGGATGTGACAAGTGTCTGCAGAGAAGTGCCTGATGCTCTTCTACTGCTGTTTCTCTATTCCAAATCACGCTCTCCCCTCCCCTCCCCTCCCCTCGTGTTTCAGAAGTGCAGTTGCCCTCCTGGAACTAGGCATTCCACTAGCTTTGCCCTGGGCTTGCAGCCATCACTACATGAGGCAGTTAGCTCCAATGATTAGGTGCTAAAATGTACTGCTTCACAGTTATGAGCACATCCTTCCAGGTAGTCAGTTGATGCCCAAGAGGCCAGTGCGTGTATCTGGCTAGGGCCCTTATCAGGGTCCATCTCTTAATCTATGCAATGAAGTAATCTATCTCTTTGGTAGCCCTTCCTCTTCGGATGGTCTGGGCAACATGGGCTTTTTGGGCCATCGGAGTCTTCTCTTCTTGGGACGGTTCTTGCCTTCCTAGCAGTTCCTATAGATTTTACCAGGCATTTAGATTCCATGGCCCAAGATTGCTTTGGCTCCTCTGTCTCTGGAGCTGCTTTAATTGGCTTTTGGAGGGCCCTTCCCTCATCCTGCGGAAGAGCAGCAGCAACCCCGGGGAAGGTAACCCGCCTCCTCTGCTTGCTGCCCCATAGGAGCAGGCCTCGTGGGTGTGTCGGTGTGAGGATCGCGTGGTGCAGCGCCTTGAGCAGGACTTCAAGATGACATTGCAGCAGCAGAACTCTTTGGAGCAGTGGGCATCCTGGCTGGACGGTGTTGTCAGCCAGGTCCTCAAGCCCTATCATGGCAGCCCCAGTTTTCCCAAAGCTGCCAAGCTTTTCCTCCTCAAGTGGTCTTTCTACAGGTGAGTGGAAGTGCGAAGCCTCAGCTTCTCATCAGTGCAGCTTAGCCTCTGTGCCTTGTCTGTAAATGGGATGGCTAACCATGGCACTGCCTAGGTGGGTAACTGCAGCGTTTGGGCTCCTTCTCTTCCCAGCTCCATGGTGATTCGAGATCTGACCCTGCGGAGTGCAGCCAGTTTTGGTTCCTTCCATCTCATCCGCCTCCTCTATGATGAGTACATGTATTACCTGATAGAGCATCGTGTGGCCCAGGCCAAGGGCGAGACTCCCATTGCTGTGATGGGAGAGGTAGGTCTTGCAGCCTCTGAGCTCCAGGGTGAAGAACCTGTGGGGCTCCCTGTTGAAGGAACCTCAGTCCTTGGTTGGGGTGTCGGAATCAAGAAGGTGCTTTGCCCCTTTTGCCCACTGCCATGTGGACATCAGGGAGCTCGGGGACTGGGCCTGCTGCGTCAGGTCACCGATCCAGTTACGTGTGTATTTATTGTCATTTCTGTACTGCCCAGTAGCCAGCACTCTCTGGGCAGTTATCAACCAATACAAGTACAGAAATACAGAAGATACAAGAAAATACAAATACAAGAAAACACAGTATAAAATCCCAACTCCCTCCAATCACAGTAGTAATTTTTGTGCAATGGACATTAATGTGCTGCACCTCCAGGTGCAATGAAAAGGTAAGAAAATGGAGGCATGAATCCTACATTAATTAAACTTAGCCCATCATTGTCTCCTGAGGCAGTTACTCTTCTGAATCTCAAACATAGGGCTTTCCAGCCCAGCCTAAGATCCTTTTGTCCCCAGGACTTAGGACTGTATCTCTGCTGATATGCCAGAACCAATATGCCCATGGTTCACTTTCGACTGTGACTCCAGGCATACGAATGCTCAATCATAAACCCAGAGTTTAGTCATAAATGAGCCTGGCCTACCCATAATACAGTATATGTTCCATTAGTTGGGGGACATTGTGCATGGTTTGTGCACAGGTGAAGATACTAGTAAAAACTACAGGAGGAGCACCTATATCTCCTAAATTCGTAGAGTATAGTGTGTTTGGATTGCCATATTCTAAATACCCTTGCTTGCTTCTTCCCCTTCTGAAGCTGTCGTCCCAGAATACTGTCCACTTGAATTAATGGCTGAACTCCCCTTGAGTTCAGTTGCTGGCAGGGCCATCTATGAAATAGGGAACAACTTTGCTTATGTTTTTTTGTTTGTTTCTTTTAAAGTTTGCAAACCTGGCGAGCTCCTTGAACCCTTTGGACCCAGATAAAGGTACTGACCAACCCCTCAGGAGGCCAAGTGTTTCCTTAGGATTTTGTTGACAGTAGATGTTAAGAGATCTTTGTGATCATTACCACCCCACATATAAATGTGTGCAATAGTGTTGTCCTTCCCATTTTACTTGTACGAACAAGCAACTAAAGTGGTTGGGGGTGGGGTGCTTAAGTGCAGGTTGTTCACTGAACTGAGCCACAAGTTGAGCTCAGATCTTCCACTCTGAAGGCATGTCTGCATACATCAGGCTTGGGGATCTATTGTTTCTTCTTACTAGAACTCTGAGATCCGCCAGCTAAAGCTAGGTGGAAAATAAAGGCTGCAGTGGTTAGGCATCTACTAAGAAGTAATTAGGCAGATTTTGAAACCTGGAGTGTGTGATCAGTGTGCAGATCATGTCATCCCACACACTTGGATTTTTGAGAGCACTCTTTCCAAACGGCACTTTCAGCGCGCGCCTTGCAGTGACGCAAGAGCAATGCGGGATCAGGCCAGGAGTCTAGGAATCCCGGTGCTGCACTAGTCTCTTCTACAGTCCATATTAAGGACCAGAATACAGAATGAATTCAGGGGTCTGCTGCATACCTGGGAGACCCACAGTAGAAACTCAGTGCAGGTGCAAACTTGGAAGAAGGACCATGATCCAGTTGCCTTCTCCCTGCTTGCATTTGCTTTCAGCAAAATGGAAATCTCAGTGAAGGAGAGTTAATATCAGCAAGAATGAGGACAAATTCAATTTCTGGTTTTTTTTAAAGAGAGCTATTATAAATTGATTGGGCGTGTTGGAAAAGTGTGCTGCAGTCAACTCTGATGATCATGAGATTCAGGCTTTTTGGAGACATGTCAAGAGACATGTAACCGTCAGTCTTAAGATGATGGTATTATAACTTGCTCATTTGCCAGTATTGGAAGTGTATCAACTATTGACAGCTAACAACAGCAAAACTGATTTTGCTTTTTTTTATATATATATATATATATATATAAAATGCATATATATATATATGAAAAATGCAAAATTAATTGCACGCTGAGAATGGAGTGACAAAGATTGTCAATGAGTGCAGATATTAAAAATCATGACAGACTGAGGCAGAAGAATTGGAAATTTATCTAATCCTGGAAATAGAATGCAGATATAGAAATTAAAATCTATCCATGTTTTATTAGTGACATGATTAGTTGGTCATTAATTTGTATATGAATTGTTTATGTTTTGCTTCTATTTTATTCTGCTAATGTTATTAAGAAATTTATATATGAAGTACAAGTTATTTTACATAATTTGCTATTTTCTCATTTTTTTAATTTTTTGATTTTGAATGAGTTTGTGTAAAAGTTTTGATCTTATTCCTACCTGAGAATGAATGAATGAATGAATATGTGTGTGTGTGTGTGTGTGTGTTTGGGGTTGAATTGAGATTTAGGCATGTGTAGAGTAAACCCATTTAAATCAATGGGACTTACTTTGAAACTTAAAATAGTAACAAATAGTACCATTGATTTCATTGGGTCTCCTGTTAAGTATGACTGAGTCTGGATACAACCGTAACATTTAAAGTCTGGCACATTTCCCTTATTCTTTGGCCAAAGTGGTGCTGGGTGATAAATGCGCATGCCCTTCAACCTTCTGCTTCCAGCAGGGCCTTCCAGATGCCTCTAGGGATCTTGCAAGCTGAGCCTCAAATAGACACACCTCCCCCACTGCTGGTCCTTAGCATCTGACATTCAGAGGGCTTTTTACCTTTAGGCATGGAGGTTCCCATTTCTCTCCCTGTTGTTCATGGGACATGCGAGGTACTCAGTCTTGAGTCTGTTGCTTGAGATGGCTAACACTAAGGAACAATCAGAGCCAAGCAGGCTGAAGCTTCCGCTGTATTGGTTTGTGTGTCTCGAGACTGCAATAACTGCCTCTCTTTTTAAATCAGATGAGGAAGAGGAAGAGGAAGAAGAGAGTGATGAGGAGATGCCCCAGGAATTGTCTCTCAGCTCTAACGAGTCCAGTAGCTTAACAGCCGAGCCCATGGAGCCACCCTCAAAGCTGGCACGGACAGACTCGCGGAACATCTTTGTGCAAGCGCTGCCCTCCAGTTAAAGGGTGACAAAGAAGGGACTGACTGCTTAGTGGCCAGCAGGAGGCCAGGGTGCATCTTGCACTGCTTTGTGCTGCCCTGCGATAAAGATGAGCTGTTCCCTGTCTCCAAGTGGTATGCAACGCGCTTTCATTTCATACCCTGCACCCCACCTGTGCCCCTGTGCAGCCCAAGCAAGTCCCCGGTTAGGTGCGCGCTCCCTAAAGGCCTGCCCAGACCATGGCGATGCTGTGGGAGGACTGGTCTTGTTGCTGCTTTGGGTTGCCTCTGCCTCTTCCAGCCACATCCTTGATGTCCAGGGATAGTCAGAAACAGGCTTCAGCCTTGTGCCCGCACCCTTTATCCACAGCTGCTTCTCTCTGCCGCTCAGAGGCGGTGAGTGTGTGCTTGTCCACTCACGGCTTCCAGCCCCAGGGCTCTCCACCCATGCTGCTGGGAGTACATAAAGTCCATGTTTTTAAATCAGCAAGTAGGTCCAGGCCCATCTAGGTCTTGGCCTTTTCTGCCTCCTGGCAAGAACTAGGATATGCACAGTCCAGGCAAGCCCAGATGAGCGATGGAGGTGGCTGCCTGGCGAATGACATTGTGGCCACCTGCGTGGATCAGATTGAATGTCACTATATCTTTCCTTGCCTCTGCCTTAGTTTTGCACTTCAGATGGCTGTTGGAAACAGGATTTAATTTTCAAGAAGTGCTTGGGTTTAGGACAACACCTATCAACAACCGTTGTTCTCGTTTGGGAGCAAGGTCTTGTGTTGTACGCTTTCCGCAGGTACAGCACCGACTGTGGGTTACTTTTTCCTTCTTTCTATGGCAGTGTCTGAACACAGCCATGGGCTTTCTCAGTGAGGTGATGAGTGGTACTCAGTGCCCAAGTTAAAGGAGTGAGTTGACATTGTCATTTGGAAGAGGGCTGTAAGGGCTCTGTGCAGCCACGAATGGTGCATCGCAATCCCTGTTTGCCACAGGTGTGTGCCTAATGACCATGTGCATGTGCAGGCATGTGCCATCTGCTGCACCTGCCTTTGTAGGCCAGCAGGACCAGGAGGCTGCAGGCAGTTGAGAAGCCAACACGCGGAGCGCCAGCTCTAAGCAAGCAGTGTCACAGTCTGCACTTGGTACATTTGGAAGCTGTGCCTGACAGTTCCAGGTTTGTAACAGAGCTCATTCTGATCATCCAGCTGCTTTGAAGTACATTGTCCAGGGATTTGGCTCCCGGGTAATTCATACCACATGACTGCTAATCTTTAAAACAAAAACCAGCCTTGTGATCAGCATGTCTGAATTCACTGATGCCTCTTTCATAAAGTACTATGGAACTTCTGCTGCAAAGCAGTTTAGATTCTACTGTTTTCCCTGCTCCTCCTGGTTCATTTTAAGGGAGGGAGGCAACCAGCAGAAGCTGTATTGTCCCTACTGATTAACCTTCTTGTCTGTAGGTTTGAGCCTGTTGGCGTCTTTCATGCCATTAATGATAGAGCAGGCATCTTGTGGCTCTTGGGCAGATTTTAGTCTTTACTCTGGGATGAAGCCAGACTAAATGATCCATTTGAACTTTGCCAGCAGGACAAGCCCTGTGAGTGGCATGAGATAGAATATCGGCACCAAGTGATGTCACACCTGAGCCATGCAAAATCATAATCTACACTCTTCTTGTGGCCAACTGAGAAAAGCCTCTGACACTTGGCTCCCTTGGTGTGTAGAACAGTAGCATTACTTGTACAACCTTCCCTCAAACATAGCTAAGCTGAGCCTTCTTTGTGAATGGTCTGCTTGTTCTTTTGAAGCCTTGCCTGGTGAAGGCACTAACAACTTTTAAATTGCCTTTCCTGGGGGTGGGGTGGGGAGGAGAAAACCTACTCTTCCATGGTCCAATAGGAGGCTTTGACCTCAGTGAGATTTCATTAAGGCTGCCATAGTGGTGGGGCATGGTAAGTCTTCACTGAAGTACTTGGAGTCCTGTTACACAGCAGTAAGCTGGAACTGGGGCTGCAAAATCTGCTACAGCTGACATAACTCTGGAATCGAGTACACTCACTCGAGTTCATGTAGCAGCCACACTGCCGTGCCAGCGAATCTAGACTGTGCTACACTAGCTTAATCGTTGCAGCCCACCTGCTGTTGCTGGTAGCATGCCAAGGACACAACAGCCTGGAAATCCATTGGGAGAGCAGCAGTCAGTTCAGAACCATCTTTAGGCCAGCGCTGCAAATGTTACTCTTCCCTTCCAGGGCTGGTTTAAGCAGTAGCAGTGCTACTTGAATTGGACCTGGGCTGGGCTTCAAGGCTACAACAATGGGGGACTTGTAGTCTCTTAGAGCTACCTGTAGTAAAGCATGGACACTTGGGCTCTAGGAACAGCTGTCTTACACCAGTCTATTGAATTGCTACAGGTGCCACTCTTTACTTTGACATTGACCAAGCCAACTCTGGAAGAAAGAACTCAAAGCAATACAAAGCACTGCTAGCTTTCAGGGTAGCCGTATCAAAGCACTATCACCCTCACTGTTTGAATCCTAATCAGTGCTATTGTTTCTATTTATCCCCCTACAGAGCTCTTTCAGCCAGGGCAGCATAAGGAAATGGCTCTGAACAGCATCAAAGGGTGGGTGCAGGGAGTCTAGAGCCCTCTTGAACACCTCTGTAGGCTTCAGGTTCCTAGCAAACCATCTCCTTGCTCCTGGGATGCTTCATGTGAGGGTTTTGGCTCACATTTCCATATACAGGCACAGAGATGGCAATTTGGGGAGCATGCAATTGATCCATCGTTTTCACTGGGCAAGAAAACAGGTGTACTAAGGCTACATGCAGGCAGGCACATAGCCCACACTGGCCCGTTCTCCTTTAGTTACCCCTCTTCATAGCAGAAATCACGGAGAGAACCCTATTATGCCAGGCACCACCATGATTAAAATGGCATCATTTTAATGATACCGTTTTATTTTCAGCCTCAACTACCTAGCCAAGCAACTGCTCTTAGCAACACCTGGCTGCTTCAGGCTTCTGTGATTACTCAGCAGAAGTGACTCCACCCCACCCAGCACACCCACTCGCTTCATCGCACATGGCAGAATTACCAAGCAGCTTTTCAACCTTGATTTTTCTAGTGAGGCTATCCTCTTCCCCATTTTACTTCTGCAGCTGAATAGATGTACGTGTGTATGTGGTGTGCTAAACTGGACCTTACCCTCTTTGTAGTCGCTATTAAAAGTGCAACCTGTGCCTTTTCTAATGAAAGGCTTTTAAAGATTGTAGCCCAGTTTGTGAGCCCACAAGTGTCTCCTTGAAGTGAACTGACTGGAGAAAAACACACAGGTGCCAATCCTTTTGCTTTGTCCTATAGCAAATGCTACCTTGAAATATTTTTTGCACATAAGCATCTTAGTTTTGAATTACAGCAGGTAAACAGCATCTTCAAGAGTCAGGTGGCAGTGAAATATTTACTTTGTTGGAGGCTTCACAGCCAATTCCCACCATGCCTAAGGCACTCACTTTCTCAGACGCACCTTAGTTACCGTATCTGCCTCTTCTACCATTTTCAGTAACAAGGCACTGCAAAATAGGGAGTAATCAAACATGATATACTTTGTTTCTACAATATACTGTTTATGGTCTACAGAAATGTACATCAATTCTGTTGTCACAGACATGTGAACATACCTTGCTTTGTGAAGTGTATGGATATGGCCATCAGTGAGTAAATGTGTATTTCATACCCCAACAGGGCTTAAACCAATGATCTGGAAGGGACAGGCCCTAATCAAGGTTCAAGAAATATATACTCTGTCCCAGCATTCTCCCAGTCCCTTGCTCTCAAATGTATGCAGATTGGCTTCTAGCTTTAGGAAAGTCCTACCTTTGCTAAGGAAAATGGATCTAGTTGTTTGCAAAAAACAAAAAAAAATCCTCGCTTTTGTAAGCTAGCTATTCCGTCTATGAACTGTGCAAAATGCTGGAACCTCCGATCACACAGGACTCAACAACGTGAATGAGCTTACTTTTTATTCAGTTGCTGCCTTACAAAACAACAGAGTCCTTGCCCTCTGAACCAGGATTCTCTCTGTCCATCACACAAATTGGCTGCAGAGCAGCCAGGGACAGTTATCAGCACGTCCAACCCAGTCTGGATGCTAGCTGAGAACATATTAGCCCTCAGTTTAAAAAAATCCTCTGTTCCCTCTGTGCTAGTAATTAAGCAAACAGGTTTGGTTACTTCTTAAGTGAGAGAAAGTAATCACTCTTCTGGTTTGTAACTGAATATTAGATATTCTAGTTTTAAACAGAAAAAAATATCTGTGCTTTTATATGTAATTACTAATTCTTGTTCTATAAACCACCTAAATATTGTGAGATTGGTGAAGATAAATTACTTGATATTTTTGGGTTTTTCAACCATCATGGCCTTATTTGTTCAATTTTTCCAGTGTTTTAAACCTGTGATATAGATGTTTATTGCAAAATCTACATATTGTATAAAATATATATTTTGTGTCAATCTTTTGTGCGGCAACAGCAGCTTTAGCTGCACTATAGACTTCAAGTGGAGTTTGAAGAGCTTTGTAGGTGTCCTGGGTCCATGAGATGGGCAGTGCCTGTGGTCAGATGATGTACGTGTGTGTAGTCTAGAGTGCAAAAGCTGTTTTCTACCTTTTGTAGTTCTTTCTTAAGAAATAAATTCAGCTGTGTTCTTTGCCTAGGATACTGCTTGCTTACTCTTGCCAAAATGTAAATTCAGAGGTGGCCACCTCTGAACAAGCCCTCTCTCTTGGTTGAGACTGTCAGTATATGTTAACATGCAGTTTTAAGTGGTGGGCTAGGACCAGTGTGTGAGATTTGACTCTTCCCCTCTTGCTGAAGTCCTGAGAAAGAAACCACAGCTTCTAGGGGCTGGTATAAATCCCCTCGTCCAAGCCCACAGATAGGGATTGAAATTTTTAAAACTGCTTGCAATTTGCTTCTATAGTGGTGCTGGGGGCCTTTTTCACCTTCAACCTTCCCCTATGGGCCATACTGCAGCATGCCCCCCCCCCACCAATGTTTTTAAAGAAAGCAAAATGGCATTTTTGCTGCCAAAATTCAGTAGCAAACTGTTCCATGATGCTACCAAGTGCTATGAGAGGGTTCCTTCCATTATTTAGTAGCTACCATGGGAAGCATTCTTTTTCATGTAAAAGGATCTGAGCTTGCCAATAGGCAACACAAGTGGGTGGTCAGACCTGCATGCAGTTCTTGGGCCATGCAGCAGTGTTGCACCTGGTTTGGCCCTAGAACAGCCACTTTGCAGAAGGAAGATGTGCACATATGCTAATGTATCCTCTTGAAGATAGCCAGATGCCTACTGGGCTGCACTTTGCTATTTCTCAATGTTCACTATGTGCCAGCTGCTGTGTCCTGTTACGTCTGTATGGAAAGACGACAAAGAAAGGAGAATTCTGGCATTTCAAAGAATGATTGCAAGCAAGTTCTCCTGTACCAAGACCTTTCTCAGATAGGAGCTGTTTTAGTCAGTCATTTTACTTGACGGTTATCTGGAAATACCTTCACACAAAAGGGCTAGGTGCTAACACAGATGTACAGAAGAAAGAGTCTATAAAAACTAAGAAAAATGTTTCACGAAATGTACTTTTAAAAAGTTTCTGATGCCAAGTAAACACTGGGCAAGGGCACTGGGGGAGAAATGAGTTATATGGGATATAAACAAGCATCATCCCAGCCCTTGTGAGCCATGGTCGGTAAGTTATGTATCTTATCCACACAGGTAAGGTAAGCTATGAAAAGGCAACTTGCTGGTTTGTAGCCAATGGCTTTGGCAAGCCTTAGCCCATACTGTAAGCCTTGCTATAGTATCAACAAGCTCTCAAGCTGTGGTCCTAGGATACCCATCTTCTTTAAAGGAAGAAAAAGAAGCACTAAGAGCCAATCTCAAATTTAAATGTTTATTGCAGGAAACAAACCCTGCTTGAAGAAAAAATAGGGGGGGGGGAGAACACATTTATGGCTCATCCAAAAGTGGGGGACGGCATTTATGATTGCAGGAAGTGCCCAAACTAGCAAATGACACTCAAAACACAGAAGGGTTTTGGTCTCCTTAAGAGGAATCATTGCCCTGGAATCAATAATCCTCTAGCATTAGGGAAAAGCAAATCCTATAGAAGACTTCTACCTGCTAGAGACTCCTCACAGTTTCACCACTTGGACCAACAGAGCTGCTGTGGAGGGCTCCAGCAGAGCAAAAACAGCTCAGCTGAAGCTTGTGCGATCTGACCATACAACTAGCCTGCAAGGAGGCAGGTTCTCCAGAATATCTGGACCAGTTGTGTGTTTCCCACCTCGCCTACAGAGAGGCAACACAGCTGAGGATGTGGTTCCACCCACAAACCAAGACCAATACAGTCAAGGTCATCGGGGTAACTGTCTAGTCAAAGAGATGGGGAAAGAGATGGGGAAATTAAAAACAACTTTTAACAAAGAGGTAGTTGAATCTGACACACAGTTATGGCAGGAAATGAACTACTGATGTAAGTGCCAACTCTGGACCTGGCTTCATAAGACAATCCATGTGTAACGCTCGTTATCGGCAAGGAATTTCAAAGAGCATCCTGCAGGGGAAAGCAAGAAGACAAGAAGTTAGCAACATTCTGCAGTCACAAAGTATTCTCTTTAGGCAGAGTCAGGACTGAGTATCCTTGCACCCACATTACATAAAGGGAGGCACAGGAACACGCCAGAGCCTAAAGTTATTAATGAGATTTGTGGAACCTTCTTACCTGGAACTAGAAGCCAACATGGCCATTGAATACCACAACTAGATGAGCCACTGCCAATGCAAATGAGCAGCAGAGGAACAAGGAAGAGCCATAATGAGCTCCTCCACAGGAGGACGACAGGTATGCACTGAGATACCACGGAAATGTGGTAGGAGCTCACCATGTGTAACAATCCCTTTTACTAATGAGTCTCAGGTACATGGAGTACCACCCCATTTTTTCTTTGGCTTGAAGAAGGCTGCCATGTCAACACTGTCCAGCCAACAACAACCTCTGCCCCTTAAGGAAGTTACCCAGAAGCCTCTAGTGAAGAGTTGAGGAAAAGGGTTACCTTTATGGAGCGCCTCATTAGTCATCCTGTTGACATAGCGACCACTGCTCTCAGGTACCAGCCACTTCATTACCATGTCAACGCAGCTTTTCCTGTAGGAGCTCCACACACTGCCACTGAGGGATGAAATGGAGGGGAAGTCAGCAAACACAGCCTGCCACCAGGGGGCTCCAAAGGACTTGTGTCATCTGCAGAATATTCCAGCTAAAACCAGTATAGTGGAGAAGTCATCGCTTCCTTCCACTTCTTCACAAACCTTTATGTATTACAGACTGAGTATATGTTTCAAAATGTATGTCTGTATCTGCAGCCCCCCCACCCCCAACTGGAAACAGTTTTAGCCAAAGTGGGAGGGTCACAGCATTGCATGGTGATTTCATTTAGTCCTCTGTTGCATTCCAGACAGGCTGTGGGGTGCAGCTGTTGAATTAATACATGGGATAGCAAACCCTATGGTTTAGCAATGTGGTGTATTAAGTACCTTTTATCTGCCTTTCCCCATACTCATGTCTTTTTTCTAAGCAAAACAACTGTTGTAACCTTTTCTCATAGAGGGGTTGCTTCAAGCACATATCATCCCATGCATTAACATGAATCAAATTCCCATTTCAAGCAGAGGTATTTTCCAGCCTTACAATTTTCAAACCATTTCCTCTGTACATAAGGATACACAAAGTAAATTCAAAATCCAGTACGATTAATACCAATGCTAGATTATTCCCAAAAAATAGAGGCTGCAGCAAACTAGATGCAGTGGCTAGGATGACACTATGACTCATTTGAGGGTCATGACAGAACATGGAAAGCAGATTTTTCCCTGAAATGGCACTACGATTAAGAATGTCTGTACAAACTGAATCAGAGGAATGAAAAAATCAATAGTAAAGGCAGAGGCAGAAAAGGAGGTTTAAAGTGTTTGACTTTTTCCACTTTAAGCTTTAAACACATTACGGATAGCTGAGGAAACATCAGAGAGAAATAACTAGCAATATCCAGGATACCAGAAAAAAGTAGGCTTCCAGTATCAAAACTACACAAAAGATGAGTATACTGAAAGTATAGGGTTTTTTTGTTTGTTTTACTTTCTCATAACTGAGAAACTATACATGGTAAACTCAGGATTCTCTAGCTCTGCACATTCTAAAGGCCAAAAGTTCTGAAGAGAGACACTAACTCAGTATTTTCACTCACCCTGAAATTCACTTGTATCATAAGGACATAAGAGCCATGCTGGTCCACCTTTCTCTTCACACAATGGCCAGCTGTGCCCACATGAAACCCACAGACATGAGTGTACAAGCACCTTCCTAACCCAGCAACTCCTGTACATGGATGTATTGCCTCTGATACTGGAGGAAGCATATTACCATCAGACCAAATCTCTCTTAAAAGCCAACCTGCACCTTGCAGAAGTGAATTTAACAGTTTAACTAAGCACTGTGTAAAGAAGTATTATTAGTACATTGCTTTTATAACCCGCCTTTCTCCCTCACTGTGAGGAACACAAGGTGGCTTTAATAGCTTTCATCCTCACAACAACCTTGTGAAGTAGATTATACTGAGAGATAGTGATTTGGACCAAAGTCAACCTGTGAGCATTATAGCTGAATGGGGACTACAATCCTGATCTTCCAGGTCCCAAGTCCACCACATTTTTCATTTTTTTTCAGATGTAGTGACCAGAACTTTGCACAGTATTCTAGGCACAATTGTTGCACCATAGATTTTTATAAAGGGACTATGATCTTGGCAGTCTTTTCAATTCATTTCCTAGTTATGCCACATGTGGTGTTTGCCATTTTCAAGGCACTCTGCATCAATACTTTCATGAAGCTGTTCCTCACAAGCAAAAGAACTTTCTTAGTCACTGCTAGCTCAGATCACATCATCTCATAGTTGAAATAGGGCTCTTTTGCCTCAGCATCATTTAACACTTGCTTATTGGTGTACTTACACAACGAAACATGCTATGATCCTTTCACCAATAAGTGAAATGCTATACTTTGAAAACCTTTTTCTAGCAAGGGAAAGTATGTGCTCCTGCACAAGACTGCTGCAGAGGGTGGACATATGGAAAGAGGCTGAATTTCACAGAAGAGGACAAAGGAAGAAAAAGTTCAATACAAAAAGAATAACTACATTCAAGAAGCTACAAAGAAGTGATGCAGTTTAAGATGACAAAGACACAATAAGAGTAAGATAGGATTAAAATACAAAAGGAAAAAAAGTCCAAGTTTTGAGGGTCTAAAAAAACGAGAGAAATTCCAAAAAGAGGTGCAGCAGGAGCAGAAGTTGAAGTGGAGTCCAGAAAAAACACAAGGGAAGCATTAGAAAATATCATGTACAAACACTTGATCTGATTAATCAAAAACAAGAATTAAAACTTTAGAGGAAAAGGAGGCAAATTAATGCAGAATCATGGTTAACCAAAACTGAGGGTAGCTTCAGCAATTAAAAAGACACAATGTTAAATGAACAAATGAATGTTCAGTGATCTTGTAGGACTTCTTTGTAATCTCCAGAGATGCGCTCGGGACTATATAAAATTACCAGATGGTTCAAAATATGTGGGCTCTATCCAAGGCTTCCTGTATTCAAACAGAGAAATGTCTCTCACTATTTACCTTGCCCCTCTTTGTTCCTAAGTCACTGGTTTTCTACTTGTTTGGGGTGCAATGTCCAACACTTGGGGCTTTGGAAAGTTTTCTCCACACACACACACACCTTGTCCACAATTCACACAGACCACCAACAGTATTGCTAATGAGCCAAGAAGAAGCCTCTAGAAGCAGCTGCTCAAGGTTGGCTTACATATGTATAATATTTGGATTATTACCTCCTAACACAAAGTTATCTGAGCAGCTTGCAATTAAAAGTATAAAACAATTGAAATACCAAATAAATCACAGTATAGAATAGAACAGAAAGCTCCAATTTCTACCTCTATCAAACTTGGGACTCTTTTTATTATTGGCTAGAGAAACGGGACTTCACCTAGATTTAAATATGTTTTTAGGTTATCATAAATGGAAAGAGAAGGGTGTGGGGACTGACCCAGTGGGCTCGATGTTTTGATGATGGATGTTGTTTGTAGTTCTCTTTTGGTTTTTTTAGGATTATAATTTCAAATAAAACTTATTTAAAAGAAAAAAGAAAGCTCCAATTTCTAAATGGAAAGGTTTAAAATACAGTTGTTTAAAAAGACTGGATGGACAACCACTCTGCACCCAGAGCCAAAGAAGATCTCAAAGAAAGCACTAGGCAAGTCTTTCTGGGAAGGCTGTGCCACTACGGTGAAGGGACCCTCTCCTGGTTGTTACCTGCCTCATTTCATCAAGCATTTGGAGAGGCTCTCTCCAGACCTAGCGGTGTAAATAAGAGCACATGGAAAAGCCCTATCCCAGGGCAGGCCACATAATAGAGAGCGCCCTGCCTTATACCTGGTTTGCCCTTTGACTTCTGTGAGGTCTCCCACGCTGACTGTAACAAAGATGCCAGTGTTCAAATCCCATGCTACTTTGAGGCTGGTGTGGTAAGTCTTTGGCCTGCAGCAAATCAGAGGGTCAAGTTAGACAAATAGCCTTATATGTCACCAGGAAACAAATGAACACCTATCAAGTAACTATGCCTCAACATCATTTTTCCAATCTCATCTGCTACCACGTCTTATCAGACCTACACCAGTCCACAACCTGCTCTCATCTCGATTGACTATCAGGTTCAGAAAACAAGGAGCTACTTGTCATGGGTTAAACATCCACAACCCCATTAGAGTTGTTGGATCATGCAAACCCATCACACTGTTGACTCATATTCAGGTTGTGATCTACAACAATTGCAAGATCCTTCTTTTTGTAGTACCGTATTTAGTTCCTTTTTCCTTTAAGTGCAGAACTTAGCATTTGTCCCTATTAACTTTCATTCTGTTGTTTACAGCTCAATGCTCCAACTTACCAAGATTAGGGATGTGTGAAGAATCCACTCTGCAGGATTCTCTGGGCTCAGCTCCCCAGACTCTGCAGTGGCCCAGAGTCCCGAGTTCCTGGTGAGCACTCCCAGTGCTTGCAGGGCGTACGCCAAGAATCGAGTCCCACCACCCTACCCCAAGGTAAAGAAGTTGGTTGATGTGCATGGCACCTGGTGCACACCCTCACAGTGCTACTGCCACTGGCAGGAAAAGGTAGGGAGGAAGCTCAGCCACCACAAATGGCTCCTGGCGCATGCACGTGCAGTGGCCACTCTTTCATGCCACTCTTCTGCACCACTGTCACTGCCACCAGTAGCAGCAGGAGGGGAAGGTCTGTCACCCTCAACGGCACCTGCTACACATGCTCACGGTGACCTTCTTCACTGCCCATTACTACAAGCAAAAGCCGCAGCAGTGGGAGTGTATGTGCCAAGTGCCATTTGCAGTGACCAACCTTCTTCCTTACCAACTACTCCAGGCAGTTGTAGACAAGAAAGGATGCCAGTTGTGTAATCAGAGCTCTGGAAGCATCTGTGGACTTCCTCTTGGCTGTTTGCTTTGAAGGACCAGGTCAAGCACAAGAGGATGTCCAGGAGGGATACTTCTCCTCAACCCTATCCAAAATCCTCTTGAATCCTATTTCCTGTTCTGGACTATTAGCTATCCCACTCAGTTTTGTATCATCTGCAAACCTGGAAAGCATTCCCTGCACTTCCTTATCCAAATTATTACCACCATAGAAGAACACAGGGCCCAAAACAGAACCGTGTGGTACTCCACCTGTTACCTCTCCCCAGTGAGAAGGTGTCACTGTGAAGCACTCTTTGAATCCAAGGCTGTAGCCTACTGTGGATGCACCTGATAGTTGTTCCATTTAGCCCACTATTAGCTAGTTTGCTAATCAGGGTAGCATAAGGCACTTTGCCAAATGCTGAAGTCAAGATATATTATGTCTGTTGCATTCCCATGGTCCACCAGGGAGACTACTCAATCAAAAAACAAGATCAGATTAGTTGAGCAGGATTTGTTCTTGACAAATCCATGCTGGCTTTTGATTATCTTTCCATTGTTTTCAAGGTGTGTGAATGCTTTATGAAGTGCTCCAGAATTTTCCTGGGGACCTCCTTTTTTTCCTTCATTAGCCTGGCTCCAGTCATCTGGCACTCCATCCATCTCCCGATGATAATTGACAGTAGCTCTTAAGAGTTCTTCTGCCAGTTACTTTTTTTTAAAACTCTTGGACGCAGTTCATCAGGGCCTGGCGATCTGAACCTCATTCAAAGTAATGTGGTGTTACTTAACCCATTTACTTATCAATCTAAAGGGGCAATCCTACCCCTTCAGTTTGTACTTCACCTTTGCCATGGAGGTAACTGACCCTCTTTGGGAGAAGATTGAGCAGGAAGTAAACAGGAAGTAGGAACTGAGCACTTTTGCCTTTTCTTTATCATCTGTTATCATTTTGCCATCATTCATTGAGTAGCTGAACCACCATCTCTTTCTTCTGTCTTCTATTATGGATGTAAACTTTACTTTTTTCAGCAACCCTTGCTAACTTCAGCTCATTGTCAAATTTAGCCTTCCTGATGCCATCCCTGCAATTTTGTGCTACCTGCCTGTACTCTTCCTCTGCAGCCTGGACTTCCTTTGATTTCCTATACATGTCCTTTTCTGTTTTCAAGTCACTAAACTTTTTGAGAAGTCACACTAGTTATTTTCTCCTTTTTTCTAACTTTTTGCTTGTTGGAAATGTTTGTAATTGTGCTTTTAGAACTTCCTTTTTTTAAAAAAGCATAAAAGGGGTTAGAGCCCTGTATATTAACCCATATTCTTCTGGTTTTGCTCCAGTAAAGAGGCCCCAAAAGTTTCACACTTCAATTATCAGAACCTTATCATAACTGAGGCCTTTCATGGCATGCCAAATATGCCATGCACTCAGAAAGATAAACAGAAAACCAAAGAGGGCTTGACCTTACCTGAGCTGCCCCTCTTCATCAGGAGATGGGAAGGCTAGCAGCAAGAGTCCAATATTGATGATAACTTGGTTGGTTTCTGGACACACCTAGAAAGACAAGTTCAATGGCTGACAACAGAAGCTTTCTGTTCTAGGGCTGGAGCAGGAGATCAGTACAAACTGTTGGCCTAACACCTATCAGAAAAACAGCCTTGGGATGCAGACATTTGTTTCATTATGTTTCTGAAGATATCAGGATAATCTAACCAATGCTTTAAAGAAGCAACAACTTCTTGAGAAGATGGAGGATTATGCTCTTCACCTGGACACCCTCTTGTTAGTTGGCATCCCTATATGCAAATGCAAGCACATGTGTAAATACATGCACAAGAATGCACAAGCATGAAGTAGCTTGGCTTGGGAGAACCCAAGCCACACAGGCTCAAGAAGTTAGGAGAAGGATCTAACAGAAGAGAAGAAGGCCATGGGGGCAAGTCCTCAGGTCTCTCCCAGAACCGCCACTCCCCCATATGCCTGTCTGTGAGGCCCATGCACTACTTCTAACATGGAAGATATACTTCTCAGGAAATGAGAGGAAAACAATAGAAGGACTTGATGCTGAACTACCACAGAGCACTGTCAGCTGGCCATCTCTGCTTGAAAGGAAAGAAGAATTCAAATCAACCTATTTAAAAGGGGAGAAAAGAGGCTCTCCCTGTTACTAGTCAGAGAAAGTTGTCTGAGGCTACGACAAGAATGGCCATTCCAAATGACAGGCAGGACACAGGAAGCCTCAAGGTCAAATTCTTGGCCTGCAAAACCAGCCGAAGTCAGAGAGTCAGACCAGCCAGTGATCCTCAGGGAGCTACCACAACTGATTATTCACATTACCAAAGAGGCAAATTCTCTCTGAAACCCCACTCCCCCTCACTACTATGCCACCAGCACTGCTTTCATCATAGAGGAGTTGGAAAGGGCCAGAAGGCCTTTGGGTCCAACCCCCTGCTAAGTGCAGGACAGTAAGTTACACCATCCCTTTCAGATAACCGTCCAGACACTTTTTGAATGCCTCCACTGAAGAAGAGCCCACAACTTTCCCAGGTAATAGGTTCCATTGTCATCCTGCTCTGACCGTGAGGAAATTCTTTCTGGTGTTTAGTCTGAAGCTGGTTTCTTTTCACTTAAGTCCATTATTCCAGGTTCTGCGCTCTGGCATGGCAAGAAGAAATCTTGTCCTTCCTTTTTGTGACAGCCTTTCAGGTACTTGCTATGAATCACCACTCATTCTTCTTTTCTTGAGGCTAAGCATGCCTAGTTCTCTCAGTCTTTCCTCATACGGCTTTGCCTCTAGTCCCTGAATCATCCTTGTTGCACTCCCCTGTACCCTTTTCTGGCTTTTCTGTGTTTTTTAAAGCTTAGGTGCCCAGAATTGAAACACTGTTTAAAAAGTATGGGACATTCAAACACCACCCGAAGGTGAAAAAGCCAGAGCTTGTCCCTGGTGGATGATAGCCCAAGTTGGCACTGGCTATACTCAATGGTCACAGCCAGAGGATTAAAATAAGATTCAGTACTATAAAATAGTATGTTCAATGGCAAGCAGACTGAGGATGCTGGTACTTCAACTTATAATGCAAATCATGTATCTCAGTTCTCCCCCGTAGTACTTCTGTTTCTTTTGCTAATAAGACAGCAGTAGTAGCAAAACAGTAGCAGTTTAATGCAGTTAAATTAACTAAGGATAAGCAGATTTCTTGGAGTCATGGCTGAACACATCTCAAGGGTATTAAGGTGGGGAAGGCTGCTCAAAATCAAGTACTAAACAATCTTCCCTGCTTCAAATTGAGGAACTATTAGTTGGATCATGCACCCACCATATTCCTACCTCCAAGATGACAATATCATAGTCACTGAAGGAGCAAAACTGCTTGGACCATGAGGCATCATTCCGGATCACCTCATTAATGACATATTCAAAATCCAGAGTCAGCTGCTCCACTGTTAGGTATTGGCCCTGCACAGGTAAGAAAAGATGCAGCTTAAGTAAAGAGGAAAAATCTCCACTACCAGCTTCCTCCAAAGTCTGTTCTCAGCCAGACAGCTCTTACTTGTCAGATATTTACAGAGCACACAAGCACGTGTTCCTTTAACAAAAAAATCTATCCATAACTGGCAACACCCAATAGATTTCCTTCAGCCAACCCTGCCCCAAAGTTCTTTCCAACAGAACAGGATTTATTTCAATGTAAATAAAGTTTTAACTGGAGATTTTAAAAATGTTAAATCAGATTTCAAAGAACAAAATAATCAGCTGCACTTGGGCTTCTTTTTGCAGAACTAGCCAGCTACAAATGGAAATTGGAATGTAATGCATTTTTAAAGAAAAATATATAGTTACAAACTCTTAAAATTAAAACCACAGTCTGTTTATCAAACACGTTGATCTCAGGACTGTTTTACTACATAACAACTGAACACTTTAAAATATGGCACAACAGATGCGCTGCATTGATTATAGGTAGGTTGCTGCTGGAGGTTAGAGAATGGCAAGTTTTTCTAGACAATGGGGCCCAACTTCTATCCTATCATGGATCATACACTGTGCCCAGCTAGACAATCATGTGTCTTTATATTACACTGCTAGCCATGGTATAATCTAAGTACTATGAAGGCTCTCTTTGGCTGCAAAACAATGTATTTCATTAGTTATATCAAGTAATCAGTATTCACTATTGATTAGGAAATGTACTAAGTAACTTTACAGCAGATTTCCAGTTGACAGGAACAAAAGAACTTCCACTGATGGAACAGAAGAAGCGGGGGTCATTAGTTCATACAACAGTTGCTTGGAGAATGCTAAATCTAAGCTATCAAAACTATATTATAAGCAGAGGTGTAATATCTATTCAATAAATGGTTTTATATTACAATCCCAAGTCTTCAAATAGGAAACATCATCTTTTACCATGCCCCAGTAAAGTTATGAACTATGCTACATGAAAGACAACATTGCCAACATTTGCTTGGCATCTTAGCCCAAGCCTAAATCAGGTAGTAGCAGTAATTATGAAAGTGATCATAAAGAGAACGTGTATTGAAGAAGCAATCATTAAAACAAATATTGGCACTAAGCGAAACAAAAGCTCATATAAGCTGTTAATAAACTGGAAGCTGAGCACAAAAACAAGAAGTCAAAAAGCATATGAAAAGTATTAAGTACTTATTGAAAGCATGCATTAAATTAATGGCTAAAACAATTTCTTGATACATTAAAGTCACTTTGAGGAATCAAATCCACACAACTCCATCTAATTAAATTAGCCAGTCCCAGAGTTGTATTGTCAGGAAGTTCCATTTTACTAATGATGTTGGATTTCAAGTCAAGAATTTCCTTTAGTGATTTCCTCCATTGAGAGAGCAGCACCTCCCTGGCAATTGATAGGAAGGTTGCAAAAAATACCCTCACCTGACAAACAGCCTTCTCCTTCAGCAGCTTCAAATTTCTTCCTCGCAGGTCAGTCACAACAAATGGCAGGGAGATTTTGTCATCTTCATACTCTGTAAATAATCACAGTATGAAACCAAGCAGAGGATAAACTCTACACAGATCACAAAAAACCAAACACCACCACAAATTTCAAGATGAAACTCCTTTGCATAAAGCTCACCACTGGGAAAAATGAAAACAACAGAAGTACAGCCAAAATAAACTCAGCTTCTGGAAAAGGATAATCCAAATTAAATCTTCTGTTTGTTTCTTTCTGACAACCTAAAGTTGAGACTGCTTTTGTCAACCATCCCAGTAGGCACAAACAAGACGTTCCTTTTCATTCTTACTGTATAAACCTCCTCATGCCCCTCAGCTATGAATTCCATATACTTCTACCCTGCTTTGTACACTGCCCTATTTTGGAGCTCAAGGCAAGATGCACTATGTGGAATTCAAGAAGAACTTAAAATACAATTACTTTATTTTTTTAACATGCCAAATGTTTACAGTTTCTCTCATCTAATTTCACAATTGCTCTGTGAGATAGGTAAGTCCAACAGACAACCACAAGCAAAGTCACCTAGCCAACTTCATGGCTCAAAAGGAATCAATCCCAGGTTTCCCCACATCAGTCCAATTAAAGAAGGATGGCAGTATGCTTCAACATGCCCAAGCAAGGTGGATGCAAATACTGCAACATACTACTCAGAATTTTATCCATTTGGAATTCCAAGTATCCCAGTTAGATTCTTGGAAGATACTAGGTTCATCTAAGTGTACATTCCAAGTACTTCTAACTAAAGCAGTTGCAAACAGCACACAAAATGAAACTTAAACTTTCAAGGAAGCCAGGGACTATGTACGCTACGCAGCTGACTGATGGGGCCCTAAAAACTTTACAATGTACTCTTATAGGCAAGATATCAAATGTCTAAGGCCATTGATGCTATAAAGTAACTCACAGAACTACTGAGTGTGGATATACTGGATGGCTGCATACAAGAGGTGACTCGCGGAAATCTTATGGAAAGCGGTGGATTAACAGAGACACATGTCACAAGATAAACACCATCTTGGTATAAGGGAAATTCAACAAGAAAGAGGTACCATAAGAGATCTAATGGAATCTGAGAAGCTGATTTTAATAAAACCATCTTATTAGGACAGATTTGCAAGTTATTATTGCAATATGATACAGAAACTGAACATGTTAAAACTTGTATGTCAAGTTGGATGCAGAACCTGGGAGAAGAGATACCCTTCCATCAATTCATGGCTATCTAAGCATGTTCTTTCCTTGGTGTATCATCCCTAAAGAAATTCAAAAAATTCACAAGAATTATCTTGTCAAGTGTTAGAAATTTAAAGAAGTAGAAGGGACTATCATATGTGGTGGTCCTGTAATAAGGTCAAAAAAATTGTAAAGAAATCCATACTTAAATAAATTACATTTTGGAAATTACCTTTCCAATGAATGTGAAGAATATGGTATTGACTATTTTACCAGAAATAGGGGAGATTTATTTAACAGCAGTCAGACTTACAACTGGGGCAAAATGAAAAATAGAACATTGGAAAAATAAGCTAACTGAATAAGCAGTGATGGTAAAATTATCCAACTATGTAAACATAAGACCAGTAAAAAAATTTAACAATAAATAGAAAGCTTATTATACATATTTTAAGTCATAAAAAGGGAATCCAGTTAAAGAATTTAGTGTTAAATGGAAAACCTATTATGTTTTTATTCTATTCATAATTGAAAGAAAAAATGGAATCTTTGGATATCATTAACACATAATGCATACAGTGATTAGATTAGTATAATTGTTCTCTCAACTGAAGAAGGGTAGAAGAAGGGGAGAATGGGAAATGGGTGGAGAATGGAGGAAAACAGGAGGAAAGGGAAAAGTTATTTTTAACTGTAACTGGGTTTATGGATATGATGTGGGATGAACTATAGCTTACTCTTATCTATGTTAAAGCTATTTTATTGTGGAATTATTAGTTGTATTTGGCTATTTGCCAATTTAACAAGCATTATTTATAATTATGTATTATCATGTAAAATTGTAGGTACAAGTTTAGACAATGTAATTATTATTGCTGATTCTTTGTGAAAGTCCCGTATCTAGTTTTAGAAGCAATTTTTGTACAAGGTCCCTTGGTAACTTTTTCTATGTTTTTCTTCTTTTTTATAAAAATAAAAATGATAAAAAGGTAGGATATAAATCCAATGTGACGATGATAAGGCAAGAAGATTTCATGATACAGTGATGCAAAAGAGTTTCTGACAGAATAGAAAAAGTTTGTCCTTTCAGTAGCTTGCTCTGTGGTGGCGCCCCATCTGTAGAATGCGCTCCCCAGAGAGGTCCGCCTGGCACCGTCGTTATTTGTTTTTCGGCGCCAGGCTAAGACCTTTTTATTTAAAACTTATTTTAATTGTTAAATTATTGAATTAATTAGGATTTTAAAATTTTTAGCCGAGAGTGCACCGGAGGTTTTTAAATGATTTTTTTTAATTGTTATATTATCATTATTTATGTATATATGTATTCTTTGTGAGCTGCCCCAAGGCTTTATTGCGATGGGTGTGGCATAGAAATGCTATTTATAAATAAATAAATAAAGGACCATCACCACAACCAATTCAAATGCAATGCCTATGGTATCATCACAAACTTATCACAATCCCAGTCACCAACCCCAACAACAGAGCAACTTCAGTGGGCAAAGGATTCCCTTCTATTCTGTCTCCAATAGCACCTCTTTGGACAGTCTAGACAGAGCAACCTTCCCCAACCTAGCAGCCTCCAAATGTCATGAACTTCAATACCCATCAGTACCAGGCAGCACTGCAAAATAGTCAAGAAGCCTAGGAGTTGGTAGTCCAAACTAACTAAAGAGCACTTGGTTGGGGAAGACTGGTCTAGAAATCCAAATAAGCACATCTGGGAGAACCTGCAAAACCAGCATCCTAGGCTTGTCAGACAATCAGATGAAGTCAGAACAGATCCTTTGAAATGGCTTTAATGAATGGGTTAGAGCATCTAATTTTCTCAATAGACATGTTTCAGAATATACATGTGCAGAAGAAAGGTTTCTTCAATACTCAGGTTCTTCTACCTAGAGCTACATCCATCTTGTGACTGCCCTAGATACAAGTTGTTCCAAGGCAGGAAAGTCAACATACCGAGTTTTGGTTTTAAATTTTTAAAAGTCTGAAATTGTATAGCAATGCCTGCTGAAATATACTGAGTAGTATAGCCTCTATTTTTTTACCCATGGGTATATGTAGCTGAGCAGGCTCTCTATGGTCCAGGGTTTTAGTTATGTGCTGTTTTTTGACCTTTGCTATGACTAATAAATTTCACAAGATCCCAGTATATTCACTTAACTTGCAAAACGTATTCAAATTACAGAATTCAGCTTTCCTTAGCACAGAGTTTGATGTTTTTCTTGCAAGAGTACACACATTCCTTCCCTTGTGCATCTATAAACATACTGCCCAACACTCAGACTAGGAAAACAACGAAAATAAAAAGCTAGATGTGTACCCAACATTCTCTCTGTCAAGCCACATATAATTATCAAAACTTTCCAGAGCCCCTACTCTTGATAAGGGAAAAGAATTAACTCTTAAACATGGATTTTATTTCCAAAAGGTTCAACAGCTGCATGCTAGAATTATGAACAAAGTATGAGGATTGACTCCATTAAGGAAGCCACAACCTTGCATTTACAAGGGATGAGCTGGGTTTTTCAAGGATGACATTCTGAGGACATTATTCAAAAAGTCAATGTAAGGTCAAGGTGACATGATGGCACATAACAGCAACAACTGTTGGGCCAATTCAAATCTAGGTTACCAACAATCCATGCCTCAGTGCAACTCTGCTCCATGCTAACTGGAGTAGATAGCAACACTGTAGAGAATATTTCTAGAACAAATGTCCCTCAGGTAGCTATGCCACACTTGCCCAAGAATGGTGTTGAATGAATGGTGTACAAGGAAAACCCACAGGTGGCATAAGAAGGAAACAGTTTCTTAGAGCTGTACAATGATGCAGCATAGGAAACATTCCTAGGGCTGTTCCATATAAATAAAGTCAAAGGCAATGTGAGTCTGATTCACTGTACACGCCATAGGAAAGGGCATCTATCCATCAGCAGAGTTCCATGCTTTTTTGCTGAGCCCCTTGGCTTTTGCCCACGGAAATTCAAACCACATGACCTGCTCTTCCCCCATACATTAAATTTTGCTTTAGGAGGGGCACTCACCATCCTCTGCCTCAGAGGAGTCACTGGGTTCCAGGACATAGCGTAGCTTGGTATAGTTCACATAGCCAGGCTCTGCAGGCTGGCTTTCCAGTTCGGCAGTGGGAGAATCTTTGGGGGACCCACCCACATCAGATATGCTGTCTGCACCAGAAGGTGTGGAGCTGCAAGTGCCACTGCCATGCAAGCAAGACCCCAAAGTTTTCCCCAGTTCCCAAGAGGCTAAAGTGCCTTGGCCCAGGGCCACATCGGAGTCAAGAAGGCAGTCAAGCCCCCTGCCTGCCTCCACTGAAGCAGTGCCTTTGGCTTCTTTGGCCCTCCGGAATATGTCCGCAACAAATTCCTTTGCCATTGCTACAGCAGGAGAGACATGGTTTTCTATATCCTGCAGAGGCACAGCAATAGGCTGCTGCAGTGCAGCTCCACTCCGGCAAGAGCAGCTGTCTTTTTCCAGCCTATCCTCTGAGCTTGCAGAGCACTGAGACGAAAGAGCTGTGTGGCCAGTTTCACCAGCAGGAGACCAGGGTTGACGACTCCTGTCATAAAGGATTTGGCAGAAGTTGCTGTCATCTGCAAGGAAGCAACAAAGGAAAAGGAAAGTCACAAATATTGAGCCCACTGCAATTTCTGTAGCAAACATTTCCAATCACCATCAGAAGTAGCTTAGCCTCAAATATTCGAATACAGTAATAGAAGAGATGCCTAGATTCTGCTCTCTCTTTGGGAAAGGATTATATATGGTGATAAGACATAAATAATGTAGTGGCTGTATCAAAGACCGTCTTGCCTCCCCCTTTCCACAGACTAGCTGTACTTTGGATCAGCCAAACTGAAACCTGCCAGTTTTGCAGAGGTCACAACTATGAGGATTCCAAGATCAAGCAACACAGAAACTGGCTTTGCTCAGAGACAGAACATATATGCATATTGCACAAACACCTCAGTTTCAATTCTTGACAACCCAGTTTATAGATCTGCAAGACATATAATTCTAGCTTAGATGGACCAATGGTACAAGTGGTTATTAGGCAGTTCCTCATCTTGAACTGTAGTCGCTCAGTCTATATTTTATTTTAGTGCAACCAAAAGCACAACACAAATGGACAAATATTGATAGGACCTTGATTTTTAGGGGCTGGGGTCACCAGAAAGTGGGGTGAGATAGGGAACATATTTAGCCTCCACTTCAATAAATTGTCATCTACCCACTACTTTCTTCCTTTTAAGCAAACTGCTTCTTTTCTACCAAGAAAAATGATATGCTGCACTTGTAGACATTGCACTGGAGCCAAAACACATCTATCCCCACGATATTCAGTACCAACATTCAGCACTTCAGAAACTACCACAGAGATCTTGCAAGGATACAGTACATACTTAATCTTCAGCTCACCAGAAGATCTATATGACTCCTTTTGTGATGAAACTGTTTTTGGAAAGCCCATCTCAGGGGGACTTGCCAGCATTGATTTTATCTTTTCAGCAAAAGCTGAAGAACAGCTATTTTAATAGGCTTTTTAGCTGTCTTGTGTTTTAACCAACCTGCCTCTAGGTTTATAGAGCATCTACCTCTATTTTCTAAATGTTCTATCATTTTAATTTTATCATTGATGGTTGTCAGACCCGCTGAAAACCATGCTGGATAATTTTTAAATTTTTTTTTATTTAAATCAAATAGATTTTTCCTCAAAGAGCATTTTATAAAAAAAATCACCTTTCCTCACAAGTCTCAAACTGCTACCAATATAATTGCATTTGAGCAGCCTATTACACCATGGTATCTGCTCACTTTCTCAAAACAAGCTTCTTGCCCAACAGTTCTTTTTAGTAAATGGTACCGATCCTTCATACTGCCAAAGCACACAGCACAAATATGCAGCTGCAACAGGTCTCAAAGCTTGCCTGGCATGGAGGCTGACCAGACTCTCCACACAGGACCATCAGCATCTGTGCAGTGCACATCACACTTCCCTACGCTCTTACCTGGTGTATGCACAGAAACAGCACAGGCCACTAGAGAGTAGCTGGTGTTTAGTAGTACCACTTGGTCCTTCTTGAGTTGGAATGCTGGCTGGAATGTGGGAAAAGGGTATACCACTTGGTACTTGGTGTGCAACATGAATCCATGCTGCAAACATTTGGCATTTGGGTCACCTGGGGAACATATAACAACGAAACATCAGCATTAATACAGGGCGAACTAGGAACACAGGGAATAGTCAGGGAGAAAGTGCCCTCCATAAAACATGTTGCAGAAGGTTATGGGGTTTTATTCCCCAAAGGGCTAACAGAATATCTCATGGCAGAAGTAATAGGCAGATCTCCAGAATATATACAGGAATGTAACATGTTTGGAGCCTTAGAACAGGGCCAGCACTTAAGTTTGAGTACTATGTAGATATTCACAAATGTTGATTTTTGTACCTTTTCAATGCCACACATTGATTATTGGCTTCACAGAAAGGAACAATTAGAGTCTACCACATTTAAATAACTGTTTCTCTCATTGTGCTGGTTGTGAATTTCAACCAGACCTTTTAAGATTTGCCATATTGAGAATACCCTGTCAAACAATTCCTCTCTGCCAGCTATGCCTCACCCACCTGGATGTGCAATGGCCATGTCCCTGCAGCTCGGACAGTGCACAAGAGGCGGCATGGCAACTGTACTAATGTAGATATCTCGATGGTTTTCATCGCTCATCATCATGTTCATGAGTAGGCCATTGGCTGAACGGGTACTACCAGGAGATAGGAAGTAGTTGTCATTTTCAAAGAAGGCTACAAAAAGTTTTGCCCACCCACCTTCCAGTTCTAGCCTTCAGATAAAGGCATTTATTCAATTAGTAAATTCAAAAGTCACTTACTGTATGAACCTAATTACTTTCCTACTCAGAAATTAAGCACAACAAATTTTAATGTTATTTACTTCCTAGGAGTATAGGCTTGGAGGGCAATCCTATAGTCCTTGGAAAATGTCCCAAAGATCATGGTGATTTTCAGGGTCCCCCTCCTGAAAGTGAAGACACTGCTATGATCTCAGGAAGAGGGCTCTGGATTTCAATCCTCCCCAGAGTGGAAACTGTTTCCTGATGTAAGAAATGTGATTTCAGGGAGGGGGAAAGGGTTGAGAGGAGAAAGCTATGAGAGGAGAGAGAAGAAGAAGAAAGGCCAGAATATATGGAATCCTGTGGCCCTTCCAGCTCTACTGGCTCCAGCTAAGTAAGTAACTATTAGGCTCAGAGACCCATCTAAAGGATAATAAGAAAGGACAGAGAGATGAAAAAACATCTGCTGCTGCTCCTGTCCTGCTCGCAGCATTCCAGCAGGACATAAGAGTATTCTGAAATTTCTGAGAGATTCCCATAATTGAAGGTAAATATCCTGTACTGCCTCAAGAAGAATAGCACTTTCATCCATTTACAGCTCAATAATATTCAGTAGATCCATTTTAAGCAAAGACCAATCATGGATCAGTTCAGATGGATTAGAATGAAAATTAGACATGAAAGGAACAGAGAAGAATCTACTGTAGGCAACATACAAATGAAAAATGCATAGAACATAAAATGTATAACCAAGTCAAAAGTATTGGTCTGCCTATTTCAGGATTTTTGACCCTGACCGGTAGTAGCTCTTCAAAGCCTCAGAAAGGGATCTTTTGCATGTACTCCACAACTGAGCTACAGTCCATCCTTTACAGTCATACTAACATCCATCAGTAGCAAAGGAACAAGAAGCTCCTAAACTAAGAGTCTTGTGCTTTCTGGATTTATCCAGGAAGCTTAAAGCAAGTGCAATAAGCCCCTGATTTTCACACCAACACAGACAGCTCAAGGGGCAGACATCACTCAATCTTAACATCAAGTTTCATTAAAAGAAACATACTTGAAACCAAAGACGATAACTTTAGAAGAATCACTGGGCCATTCACAAACAGTCAGGTACAGATCACTGTAGATTTCTTCATCCTGGAACAATCGAACCTGGCGTACCTAGAGCAGCAGGCAAGACACTTTCTGAAACATGAATGGGTCTCAGAAGAAATTGATAAGTAGGAGAGGCAACAAAAGCTACAAGGAATGCCAAAAGCTATTAACTGAACATAGTTCCAATATGTTTTGGGACTACTCAGCCCTTATTCAAGAGTATATCCGCTATGTGTTCACAGTGTAGTAGCTATATTTTAAAACAAGTATAGTGTGGAAAAAGCGGAGAGAGATATTTTCCTTTCTCTCATACTGGAACCAAAGCTGAAATGTGAAAGAAATTCAGGGTACATAAAAGGAAGTAAGTCATGTAACACATAAAATGGAAAATTTGCTACCATAAGATGGACTGATAACCCCCTTTTTGAAAAGAGATTAAACAACAGGTATACTTCTCAATACCAGCTTTCTAGAAAACACAAGTGAGAAGGCATGTTGTGCTATGGGTTTCTCACTGGACTATCTGGCAACCTCCTGTCAAAACTGAATGCCAGACTTTGGTTTGACCCAGGACTGCTTTTCTTATGTTCTTAAAATTGTTGGATCAGGATATTTACATATTTTATAGTTTCCTTTGCTCAGACCCAGATTTTTTTGGGGGGGGGCAGTTACCCTTCCAGCAGGCAATTGTTTTAAACAGCTATTCTGTGTATAAATTGCCTGGTTTGGGGAGGGGGGACTATGGCTCCCTCTAATCTCCCCTGAGGATCTGGACCTGTCTTTGCTTCAGGTTTTAGTAACATCACTTTTTATGGCTTACAGGCTTGTAAATAAGCTGACATTAATTAGCCTACAAGCATTTTGACTAGCATGCCTGATCACAAATATCTGCAACAGCAGTTTGTGCTACAAATGGGCAATTCTTCCAATTTATACAACTGTCCCTCCCTGATGACCTAGAGGTCATTGTTATCACAAGCAGATTTGTGGCTATTTACAAGAAGGTATCAGAGAAGAAGCCCTTAAGGACACAGCTAGCACTAGTCAAACAACTGCAAGGTAGTTTTTTGTGATTAAAAAGGTTTAATGTTTGTATACTAGCTTTTATTTTTATTTTTTAAGCACGTGAACAGAGAAATTTTATCTATTCCCAAAATACCATGCAGAGAGAGAGACATTTCTTAATTAAACTCCACCTAAATTCCCTTTTCCCACCTTACCCCCAACCCCTTCCTAGTTTCTTCTGCCTTATTACATGTGTACTCTTCAGGGCTGCCTTTTTCAAATAATATGCATTAAAGTTATTATCATAATTCTCAGTTAACAGAGACTCTGTTAAATTCTCTTTACTCCTCCCACATATATGCTCCTCTCAAGGTAACCCAATTTTCATGGTGGGAATAAGGCAATTATGTGGCTTATTTGCTGAAACAATAGCAAAGCCTTCCCTTTTATTTCTAGGCTCAGCTCCAACTGCTAATTATGACCTTTAAAGCAATCTTTGGTTTGATCCCAAAATATCTGAAGGACTGGTTTCGTCCATATGAATCTACCCACTCACCAAGGTAAATGGAGGGCATCTTAAGCTTTCAATAGAACCCTGCAGGCTGTCCATCAAAGACCAGAGAGAGAAACTCTTCTCAGCTTCTCCTAAGCTGTGAAACTCTCTCTCAAGAGAGGTTAGTTTTACTTTCCCTTTATTAGCTTTCTACCAAACGGCAAAGTCTTCACTTTTAAAAAAAATTTTCAACCTTAACCTGGCCATTATTGCTTTTACTCTACAATAGGTTTTTAAAATGAAGTTACAGAATTGCTTTATCTTGTATCACATATATCAGGTATTTTATGAGTTATTTTATTAGCTACCTGAAATTATCAGAGCAGGTAGAATGCATATATAATTAAATAAATACATTATTGAGCAGGGGTCCTCAAACTTTTTAAACAGGGGGCCAGTACACTGTCCCTCAAGACTATAGTTTGAAAAAAATATGAACGAATTCCTAAGTACACTGCACATTAAAAATTAATTAAAATTTTAAAAAATTACAAATTAATTACAATTTTCAAAAATAATTTAAAAATGTTTGCTCCGCTTGCTCAGGCTGCAACAGAAGCCCAAGATGAGGTGGGGAAGAGCATGGCCTTATTCAAGGGACATAGCTACAATGTTTGCGATCGTCCGGGAGGGGGATGGGACAGTATGATTATGCTCCGGGGGGGGGGGGAGATGGATGTGATTGCGCTCGTGCAGGGAAGGCAGGTGCGACTGCAGCCATCTCCCCCCCACACACCCGAGCATGACTGCAATCATGCCATCTCCCCTGCTTGAGCGTGACTGCAATTGTGGCCATCTCCCCACTGAGTACACCTGCACCAGCTCAGAGCTTTTGGACGTATCTTATTTGTAGTGCAAAAAACCAGGAAAAAATACAATATTTAAAATGAAGAACAATTTTAATCAACATCAACTTATTAGTATTTCAATGGGAAGTATGGGCCTGCTTTTGGCTAATGAGATGGTCAATGTCCGGTTCCATATTTGTCACTGCTAGTAGTAACAAGTGATGCAAGTTTGCACCAGTTAATCTGGATCTGGCTGGAGATTTCAGATGTTTCATTCAGGAAAAAGTCTGTTCACAGACACAGGTGCTGCAAAAGATGGTTGTCATTTTGAGTGCATGCTCCTGAGATTCAGATATGTCTCAGAGGGGGGAGATGCATAGAAATTAGTAAGGCTGCTTGACTTGTGACTGCTTCAGAGAGTCACAATTCTGTAGTTTGGCCACTTCCATTTGGTAAATTGGATCAACAATTTCAATGTCAACAGAAAATGGGTTCCGAAAAGCTGTTCCTGTTCATGGAGATGAAGCTCTTTAAATTTAATTTGAAACTCATTTTGCAACATTTCCAGTGAATCCACACGTTTTGTTTGGGAATGCAACTGCTGGTTTTTCCACCAACAGGTTCTGAGTTGTGGGGAGATGGCAGAAGTTTTCCTCCTTCACTTGCTTAATAAGGAGGTCTAATTTTACTTCAAATGCTTTCACATGTGAATGCATATCAATGATGAGCTTCCCCTTTCCTTGAAATTGCACAGATGTCTCTGCATATAGTTTGTAAAGATGGACTCGGGTTGCAGGGCTTAGTGAATATTCAGTGAGTTTTTCTCTTTTTTTAAACCTGTGTTACATTTTTTTAATTAAAAAATGTTTGCTTTGGCTGCAGCAGAAGCCCAAGATAACACTGTGCCGCCTGCCGAAAGGGAGAGCGCGACAGGAGACTCCTTGCTACCACCCTGCTTCCAAGCCGGAGGAAGGTCCCCTCACAGGCCCTCGCCCGGCTCCAGAAGGGGGAGCAGGAGTGGGAGGCCGGAGAGGTGAGCGCAGGGCAGCTCCCCTGGCTGGGGGAGGGCCACAAGGAGGGAGGTAATGGCTGCTTTCCGCGGGTCGAGACAAGGGGAGGCGAGGGACGGGGCCATGGCTGGCCGAGTGGGGCACCTCCTGCCTCTCCCCGCTGCAGGGGGAAAAACATGGTGGCCACTCAACGGCAGCAGCAGCTTGGGCCACAGCCCAGGGACATGGCTCATATAGTTAAAAATATATTTTAAAAGTTATATTTTTCTTATCTTTTTTTAGTGTTTTTGTCTTTCTCTCTCTCTCTCTCTTCCCACTGCCCTCCTCTCTTCTGATTTTCCTACTCTGAATTCAGAGCAAACGCATGTGTGCAATAGGGGGAAGAGCCGGCACACGTGCAGTTGAAGGGAGCTGTTACAATTTGGTATGTGTGCCAGCTCTCTGCTAGTCTCTGAAACTGAAAGAGTTTCAGAGAACGCCTGTGCTGGCTCAGAGTTTCGTTTGGAGATCGTTTTCTCCAAATGAGTCCGAAAGCTCTGAGGCAGGCCAGGTAAATGATCTTGGCGGGCCGTATCCAGCCCGTGGGCCGTAGTTTGAGGATCCCTGTTCTACAATTATTAGTAAGCAAGGAGAACAGTCACTCCAGAAAAGAAGCTTCCAAAACAGCTTACTTCCTTATCCAATTCTGAAAGCCAGCCATGACGGTAAAGCCAGCATCAAGAAAAAATTACAAACATAACTGGCCTAAGTTGATAATTATAAAGAATACAAATACACCCAGGGGTTTTCAGCACAATATGAAGAACATGGCACTATTTTTTTAAAAAAAGCAGGCTACACAGACATTTGCCTTTTCCATTGCTTTTGAAACTTCAAGTCTCCACAGTCTTTTTGTTAGCCACAGATTGATTAGCTGCCAGTGTTCAGATGCCTAACTGTTCCAATGATCAGTAAAATCTAGTAAGAATGTATAATGGCAGGTGCATTCTACACTGGCTTCTATAGATGTAATTCTTCATAGTTAAATTTCATCTTGGATCCACTCAAGTTTGCACACTTTACTAATATGTCTCAGGTACCCAGCTTTTTGATGGGAAGTCAGCTGAAATCTTACATAAAAATCAAACTTGCTGCTTCCTTTTGTGAAGATGCACTCATTCCTTTAATCCTATTTCCACTGCCCAAATGCCTTCCAAAGAGTTTTGCCAAAGACAAGACAAGCTGTGCTTAATACCACAAGCCAAGCCAATTGTCACGACTCTTACAAGCACAGGAAAGGAATAATATCTAGCATCGTATCACATGCATTGTGGCCCATACCATTTTTAGCTTGCTGTGGACATTGAATTCCCACCAGTAGAGATGGTAAATGTAGAAGGAGAAATCATCATCACCACTGCTGCTGGTGTAGGACAAGACATATCTCCCACACTTAGAGAAGCCAAGGAAAATGTGCCTGCAATGCAAGAAAAACAAAATAGTCAAGTTCAGACTGTAGGACTTTAAAGTTCACAGCTCACATATGCAATGAATCCTTTCATCTCTAGGATATGAGCCACATCCATGGCAGCTCAACAAAGGGTGAACAACACACCGTAACCTTACCCTGCACACAAGAAATGTTCATCAACAATGCTCTTCAGAGACACACAAACCCTCGGTGGCAGCTTACGGAAGAGGCGAGGTGAGAGCTGTCCGCTGATCTGCAAGGGGTATCAAAGCTAGTAAAAAAGGTTCTCTTAAGGATCTCAAGACCAAGTGTAATACACAATGTGCAAGATGATGGAAGAAAGGGGGAACTGACCACATCAGGGCCACACAGACACTAATGACACTAAAACAGCAGCATATGCTGTAATCTTGACAAACTACAACTTTAGGTGCAAATCAAGGGCAAGCCTTCCTGGACAAATCAGCTAGACCTCTGTTTTCACAAAAATGTCACTACCTTACTCAAGGATTGGGTTGGCACAGAAAGAGACTTAAAGTGGACAACTTTTGACTTACATCTTGACAGCAAAGTTCATTAAAAGCATTAAAGCAAAAGGAGATATTTTTGGATGGTAAATGTCAACAAAGTGTCCTTGGCTACTAGTATTGCCTCTCCACAGCAATTATGGCCTGCACTATGCTTTCTATACTTCTCCTTACTACTCAACAGTTAAAAGTATTTTTCAAGGCTGGGTGATCATAACACTTTTGCTTGATCCATTCCCCTCCCACATTAGCACCACACTCAGCCAAAGTATTGTTTAAATTCCACTAAATTATCTCATTAAAATACTTCCTTATCTAGCCCACAACAATTCTTTAATTAGAAGTCAGCAATAACAGAAGCACACTAGAGACTGAGGCAAATGTGCAACCCCCAGTCCACCACAACTTTTGCCAAATTATGCTCCCTACCTGCCTCAGTGTACCATCTGCGAAATGGAAATATCAAGTAAGTAATCAAGAGAAGGCAAACACTGTTGGTCCTACATACTGGATTAAGAATCAATGAGTGAAGTTCAACAGGAACAGGTCCAAGGAAACAAAATTATTTTTGCTAAACTAGACAAATGTTTAATGTTCATATGACGTGGAATTAAAATACAAGATCGAGAGGTGGGAGCCATTAGCTTATATAAGGTTTGACATGTTCATGGAGAACAGATCTGACAAATGGCTACTAACTGCAATAGAAAATTGAACCTTCATATGTGTGTGCGCACACACACACATGAAGACAGGATACTGAGGATAATCCTCCAGTTTCCCATCATCTGTATGCTCTGCTTGTGAGCTGTCAAAAGGTATTTATACTGCTGATGAAAAGTACTGGTCTAGATGGCCATTAGAAATACTTCACCAAGAAGAAACAACAGTATTAAAAACTTATCCCTTTTTCAGGTGGGTAAAAGTGGCCAAGAATAAAGGACTTAACTAATACTACCCAATGAAGCAGAATCTAAACCAGGTTCTAACCAGACAGCTTCTCCACAAATACTAAGAACATAAGAAGTGCCATGTTGGATCAGACTAAAGGTCTATTTGGTCCAGCAATCTTACCAGCTGCCTGTGAGAACCCCACACAAGTAGAGACAGTGGACCATAGCTCAAAGCACCTGCCTTAAGTGTAGAAGGCCTCAGGATCAATCTCCTGTATCTCCATGTAGTGCTGGAAAAACTCGTGTCAACAATACCAGGTTAGGTGGACCGAGGGTCCAACTCAGTACGAGGCATGCTCTGAAGCAGGACGTGAGCACAACAGCACCATCCATCTTGTGTTTGGCCCAAGCTTTCTTAATGGAATTACTACATGCACCCACTTCTCCCCCACTACTATAGTGCCACCCACATCCCCTTCTCCATCTGCGGTACATTTTAGGGTGGATAAAAATGATTTTTAAAATATTAAAATCAGAGTTTTAAAATTTACATCAGAGTTTTTTATTTACATTGGATTTTTAAAAAAATGCTTTCTGAGGAAAATCTATCTAAAGATAGTTTTCTAATTAGGATACATTATAGTCCAAAGGTTATTCATCCTGAAATAAAGATTAGTTTTTAATTATATAGTATGAGACTGTATATCCGTGCAATTTTTAAAATTTTTGGTAAATGAATTACATTATGAATAGATTAATGTCATGCTCTTCCAGAGGTTTCTCGAAGATTATTAGGAAATTTGTCTATCTAGATGGTATCACACATGCTTGGTTTGACAGTTCTCAAAACTTGTCTGCAGAGATCACATGTCTCTTCTTCACAACAAAAATGTTATAAAATAGAGTTGAGAAAAAGATCTTAATTCAGTGTTCTGCAAATCAACCCCTTACCGATTAAGCGCCAAGTTTAAAAAAAAAAAATCATCGAATAGAAGATTGTTTGGAATGGAATAGATCTGCACAAGAAGCTAAGTGTGAGGAGGGAAGGGCAAGCAGTAAACATGAAAGTGAAATCTTTTGTGCAGAATACTCTGCAAGTCTTTGGATCTTTGTGTATAGCCTGAGGCTGATCATATTATTCTTTCCCTGGAGGAGAAAAACAACAATGGCAGCAGGCTGTAAAAGAGACCCAATATGGGAATATATTAATTAAGTTCCTCTACCTATGGGTAAGGCAGACATGCATGCAAATTATGTAGAAAACCATGATCTAAATCTAGTCTTATTGGCTAGTGATTTAAATCGAGTCCACCCTGGTACATTTGTACTTCCCCTAAACATACCATATTTGATGCTACATCCTGCCTTTGCCTGTAGTCTATCCTAACACCCCTGAAAGAAAGCATGACTGGTTTGAACCCACGTCCTAACGGTCAAAGTCCAGCACCCTGCACATTTCCATTACACCCTTCATCTCTATTTATCGTCCCTTTAATATACTTTTTATCTTAAAGAATTTTGAACTCCAGTAGAAACGCTGGCACTCACCACCTCACGCATTTTCCTTCCCCAATTTACCTTGAAAACCCGGGCTCCAGAACTCTTATTGGTATTACCACACGCAAACACATCCCAGCACAAGCCCGCGAGCAGCAACCCTCCATCCTTCTCGGTGTCACGCTACCCCTCCCTGGCACACTGGGTTCTTCGCCCTACATATGCACACAGAATATACACACGGCGAATTCCGAAAGGGATTAGACCGCAGCAGCGAAGACAAAGGAGTCTTGCAGCACCTTAAAGCCCACTTCATCAAAGGCAAGAAATGTTCTCCTCAGACAGTAGACACACCACCTGCATTTCTCCACCTCCATAAATCGAATTTGAAAATAAGCAAATTAATCTAGTTTCTACCTCAGACAAGCCTCACTCAATTTACTCCGAAACGCTAACTGTTTTCACCTTATCTTCGTAACATCCCCCCACACGCGCCGTCGACCGGGGCTCCCCGTCTGTCTGCCTCCCTCTCCTTCATCCCACTCTGGCCCTCCCGCTGCTGCTCGGTCCTCCTCTCCTCTCCCCCGTTCCCCGCCCCCCAGCCAGACCTCTCCCGCTTTTGCTTCCGCTCACCTTGACGCGCTCGAGCTGCCTCACCACATGCTCCCGCCTCCCCCCGCGCCCCGACTCCGCCGAACCCCGCTTCCCTCCCGAGGCGCCGCCCCGCTCCGATTTCGAGCTCGGCGCCATTTTCTTCCACCTCCTCTATGTTCATCACCCGACCCCCCCCTTTCTTCCCTCCTCCCTCTGGAGCCCACACAGGGTCCCTCCCACCGCTTTTCGCTCATTGGCCAGCCCTCGCACGTGAGCGAGCTTCTATTAGCTCTTGTTCTGAATAGCAGCACTTCTCTCAATAGTCGTAGATAGAAGTAACCGTCAATCATTCATGATACGCTTCCTCCCCCAACAAGAGACCGCAATAGAAGAGCGATGCAACAGTTTAAGTTTGCACTCGCGCGTCTGAGACCTGCTGCTGGCGTCCGATTGGTGGGATCGCCTTTCAATTTAGAAATAGCTTGGTTGCTACGGGGGGGTGGGGGGTGGAGAGAGAGAGAGAGAGAGAGAGACTCTTAATAGGCCCCCGCCTCAGTGGTCCTTAGGCTTGCCTCATCTTCGGTGTAGAGAACGCCATAGAAGACTACTGAAGGGAGGGATGCATGTTGCCATGACAACAAGGCGTAGGTCTGTTGGTCTCAGCAAGCCATGACTGCAGAAAGAAGCCTGCTTTAAATAGGCAGCAGAAGCAAGTGGGATGGTGTTGGGGTGTTGGAACGGACTGTATCACTTCAGACCGGGGGATCTCCTACCAAGACAAAGCTTACCTACCTCATGCATAAAAAGAACACACGAGGGAGAAGGTTCGGAGCCAGTCTAGCTAGTTTTCGACTTGCTGGGAGGTGTTTATTACCTGGTTTTAACATAGGGGAGTATTTATCGTGGTCGTTGCAAAGGGAAGCTTAGCGTAAGGGGGCAGCTCCACCAGTTCAGCTGAGAGACTATTTGGCGCTTTCCTCCCTTGCACTGTTTCCATTTAAGCTGGTCCGTTTAAGAACAATATAACCTGAAGAATTGGTACCTGAATTTGTAGGCTTTTATCTTTTGTCCATTCTAACATTGCCACCATGTACACAACAAAAACGGGTCCCGTTGTGGTGTCAGACAATATTGTGAGCCAACCATGTTGATAAGGGATTTCCTCAGACTGTACACTTCCTGATTTATTTGTTTGTTTATTAAAATGTATATCTTGCCAGACCTTTGGGCTCAAGCTGAGCCATATTTTTTATGGCCCAGGAACTCTTTCCTTTCTGTTGTAGATGATGCTATCATCTCAAGGTCTCTGTTCCCTCAGACTCATTATATATGTAGACATAAATACACAGATGAGTTTATTGACTAATGGGAATGTCGAAACTCTTTGAAGAACTACTTTAATTTCTCTTCCCTGTAACCTCCTGCACCCCCATGGGAGAGGACTAGGAGGACTACAGTTAGTTACTGTAAACTACTGTATAGTGAGATATAAAATAAAAAATAACTGTGGTGCAACCCTATGCAAGTTGGGGCATGTTGGAAGTTGCAGGCCTTTTTAAAATCTGATTTGCAAGGGACTGTGCCTTAAATGTTTTTTAATTGATATTCACATAGTCCAGGTCATTATAATTAACCTTACCTGATAAAGCAGAGGGACAAACTTAACCCAAGGACACTTTACATTGCTGAATTAACATAGACATAGGCCTACAACATAGTCAAACCATCGTATTGTTGTATTCTATCATCCCCATGATTTTCCATATTTCAGGTGCTTAGTATTTCCTGCATTATTTCTGGAAACAAAAACATGTCTGGGTCATAAAATATCCCAATAGTCTATTGATTTTGCCATTGGGATGTATTTATGCCCCAATACAAGCAATGTAGTGGAGTGTAAAAATGCCCTCACAAATTGTCCCCACAAAAAAGAAAGCAGGTCTAGGGAAGCAGGTATATAGTTCTTGGTGTTAGCAGGTTGGCAGAAGAGATGAGATTACATTGGCAGAACATTTATCAAGACTAGGGGATAGAAAAGCTCCTCACACATTTTGAATAATAAAGTTTGCCTAACATTTTCATTGATGTTTTATTATATTTTTCTATTATTTTTAATGTTTTGAACTGTAAACACACTTCTGATGCCAGAGGCATTTGAGATTAGGGGGCATTTTACTGGGGGAACTAGCTGAGAGATGTGGCGGGGCGGGGGGGTGGATAGAAACGTAGAAACAGAGCGAGTCAGAAGGGGTCTCCCGGGCCATCTAGTTTGTCCTCCAGCACCAGCCGGCTCCGCTCACAACATGCCCACCATGTGCATGTCAAGATGTGAGACACAACAGGGAATTGGGAGGCAAAGGAGAGATAGCAGGGGTTGTCTGTTGTCAGGAGACTGAGGGAGGCTGGGACACTCAACGGGGAAGGAGGCATGGCAAACCTGGCAAGGGGACAGACATGATGGAAGCACATGTGTTCCTCCTAACCTCAGGTGGCAGGAGAGCTTGCATGAATCATGGATAGTTTCTGTTGATTTTTATCATATCCATCTTGTTTGGTTTTTATTTCCTATAATACCTGGAAAGAGTTCTGCCCTTAAAAGAGGCCTAGAAATAATTTTAGATGAGAGAGAGAGAGAGAGAGAGAGAGAGAGAGAGAGAGAGAGAGAGGCAATAGATCAGCAAGATTTTCTGATGCTCAGTCTTTTAATAACAGCAACAATAAAATTATTCCATCTGACAGCCCTAAATTATACTGGCCAAAATATCTTTGTGGAAAGAAAGCTTGGGGAATCCAGTACAGTGGTACCTCGGCTCATGAATGCTTCAGTTCATGCTTCAGTTCACGACCAAGTCAGGTCGCAAACAAAAATTTCATAAAAATTTTAACTCAGGTCACAAACTCTGCATTGGGTGGCAACCATGATCGCAGCCGTCTCCCCACCCCCTCGAAGTGGGGAGATGGCCGCGATCGTGCCTGGGGCAGTGGAGGAGATGGCAAGATCACATCTCTCTTTCCTACAGGAATGCGCCTGTGACTGCGACCTTCTTTCCTGCAGGATCGCAACCACGATCTCGGCCATCTCCCCCCCAGCATGCCCACGTTTGCGCCTCTCCCTCCCCCCACCAGCGCACTGGGATGATGGGCATGTGCAGGGATGACAGGCGCAATCATGGTTGTGCTGGGGGGTGGGTGGGGAGATGGCCATGCTTGTGCTCGGGGTGGGGCGGCGGGGGGGAGATGGCCGCGATCCTTGTTGTTCTCTGTCACTTTGCTTCACATTTTTCTGATTAAAAAAATAGTTACAGAATGGATTAACCTTATTTACATCGAACCTTATGGGGAAATTTAACTTGGGTCACAACCATTTTGGATCACAACCGGAGTCCTGGAACGGATTAAGTTCATGAGCTAAGGTACCACTGTAGTAGATTTCCGGGTGGAAAGATATGGAGCTCTGTTTTGTTTTGGTACTCAAATTCCTTGGTTCAGAATTCTTTAATTCTAACTGTATGGTTTTTGTACTTGGCCTTGCAGGATGGATCATGAGGTTCTAGAAAAGCAACAGTAAAATGGATCCTGCTAGCCTGGAGTCTGTTTATCACTGAAATATGTCATTGGACTAGGTGTCTGCTGAGATCCCAGGACTTTAATTCAGCCCATTCAGGTCTGAGGAAAGAATCAGGCTTGTGGATTCTTTTCAGGCTGGAGTGTGGGATCTAGGAGGAAGTTGGGTCAAGAGCCGAGATTCTTGTGCTAGATGCTCAGTTGTAAAGTGACATGTAGAATGTATTGCCAGAGTTTATGCAGAGTGATGCTTTGGCTATAAGCTCACTTATCTGAGAGTAAGTTACACAACAATCAATCAATTTTACTTATTTATCCAAACCACTGAAAAACCAAACGAAGTACTGAAACTGTGTGAGTTATTGCTCTGTGACAAGGGACTTGCCTGAAGAAGAAAGACATATTTACTGTATTCTGTATTTTACTTCCAGAGGAATGCATAGGTGCTAACAATCTAACCTTAGCAGGGCATTTTGAAGCAAATGCATTAACAACCAATTTGTTTAATTTTAGGTTAAGCCTTAGCAGTAAAAAGAGCTTCAGAAGCATAGCCCTGGTTCAAATTAAAATTTACATGTAGGCTGATTTGCAAAGATATTTTGGCCAAGTAAAGAGAGGCCCTGTCTGTGGCTTCACAGCATTCCTCTATCTCATATGTAACCCAGTAACATTTGAGAAATTACAAGTGATCAGTTCCAGAGTCTCTGGGAATATTCCTGGCATCTGCCCTCAGAGTTGTATAAATTTGTATGACAATCAGAAAAACCAGCACCACCTGCTCTTGTTTACTGACTGTCTCCTTACATAATTCGGGATTTTGCAAAATGAGTTCCTTGACCCCCACCACCATGAAGTATACAGGAACCCTATAAGTGGGTGGGCTGGGGATGATTAAATTGCAGTTGCTTAGTTTCACTGAAACACCACAAATTTGACTTGGGAGGGCAGAACTTTTTTTATTATGCTTCTGCAGTGAGGGAAAACACAGCACCAACTGAAATGTTTCCTTAAAGGCATCTGCTAAAGCAATGGTGGGTTACTTGTGGCCTCTAAATTTTTGGCCTACAACTCCCATAGCCCTAGCTGGTATAGCCAATGATGAGGAAAAATGGGAGTTGTAGGCCAAAACATCTAGACTGGAGAACCACAGGTTGCCCGCTCCTCTGTGTTGAAAGCAAAGGACAAGGCTTGCTAATAAGAGTTTTAATTAGAGCATATAGAGCCCTGCTACAACAGAGCAGTGATTTCCAACAGTGGCAGAGGCTGCTGCAGAATACAAAGCCTACAAGAGGACCCTGGAGGAAACAGCCCTCCTCCATTGCTTGTGCTGCAGCAACTAGTATTCAGAGATAAGTTGCCTCTGAAAGGTTGAGGCACCATTCAGCTAACATAGCTGATGCTGAGGAATGTCTTTCCTCAATAAAGTACTGTAGTTTCTCTTTTTAAAACCATCTAAGCCTGCAGCCATCACCACAGAGGATGGCAACACATTCCACAAGTTAATTATATGCTGTATGAAGAAATACTTTATTCTGACTGTCCTGAAGCAGGAACCCACCAATTCCACTAGGTGACCTCGTGCCCTCTAGTGTTAGGAAAGATGGGATTATGTCTATCTGACATCCTGTTTTTAGCTGCAACTACCCCAATTCCCAAGGGTTTCCCATGAGAAGTTTTTCATCTTCAGTGATCCATGTCCTTAATGTGAAAGACACTTTTCAGGTTTATACAGAATGGGCAAGGGCCCATAAAATTATGCAAACCAAGCTGTTTATCTCACTGTGCACTTGTATGTACCCTGTTAAGGTATCTTGAACATAGTGTCATTTATCTTGCCCGTTCCTACAGTTCTTCCAATAAGAATCAAGCAGCACATCTTGTGGCTGGGCAGAGAAATGATCCTAGCAGGACCTTAGTTTGAGACTACTGAGTCCCAAGGCTGTGGCAATCCTGTGGAAATTTCTTTTCTAACGACTAAGAGTGCTAGCTGGGAAATTTCAGTCCCAATTGGTGATGGTGGTGACTGTTGGAATCAGCACTGCAACATTTTACAGATATTTCTGGAGAAGTCTTTGAAGCTTTCAGGGAAGTGAGCCAAAACCAAACAACCAAACAACCATTGTCTGCAATTCAAAAAGCAAGTGGCAATTTAAATGTAATCAACATCATAAGCAGTATATTGACCCCTTCAGTTTTTACTTTTGTAATCTGAATATGTGCACTTCATCAAGCCACTTTACATGGGCAAATGCTTGCAGGCTGCTGGTGTTTTCTTGATTGGCACAGGATGGACATTGTGCACATGCTCAGGAGCACTCTTTTCTTCATTGCTCAGTCCATGTTTTCTGGGGCACTGGAATCTGAGCAACCTTAAAAGCTGGTTCCTGCTGCTGAGGAGTTAACTGGGTAAACTTGAATGGGTGCAACCTTGAAGATGGGAGGCGAGAGTCCACTACAAGATTTGACGGACAAAGAAAAGGCTGCTTATGATGCAGCTCTCCGAAGGAAAGGATGGCGCGTTTTAGAAGCTGCATAAGCGCAATCGAGAAAGGGGTTGTTGTGGCGGGGGGTGGGGATGGGCGGTATTTTCCACCGCACTGACTAGGGAAAACAAACAGCAGCAGGCGAAGCGCAGCTGATCTGTCCCTGGAGAGTCGCGCCTGGCTGGCCTTCCGTCAGCCTCCCTTGGCGGAAGGAGTGTTATGTAATAACACCCCCTCCTTTCCGACTTTGATCGCATGGAAAACAAGGAGAAAGAGACATATCTTTTTTCCTCGCTCCCCCCCCCCCCAAGCAACAGCAGCAGGTCCGTCCGGGCAGCCTTTGGGAAAGAAAGGGGAGGGCTTCTTTCGTGCGCTTTTTGGGCACCTCTCCGCGAGCCGTCCCTAGGCAAAAGAGGTTGGTTTCCGAAGGCAAAGGAAGGCTTTGATCGAGCAGGGACCGGGCGGGAAGGGATGCCGCGCGGGTTTGGATCCCATTAGCGATCCGCGACAGCCTCCCGCGGCGGAGAGGCGGGCGCTCCAGCCAGCCGGGGAGATGGTGAGCAAAGCGCAAGGCCCGGGCGGTTTCTCCCCAAGCGGCGCGCCGGACCGAGGCAGCCGGCACACAGCAGCGCAGAGACGCCTCTAGGGGGCGGAGCGGCAGCGTTTTCGGAGAAGGGCGGCGGAGCGCGAGTTCCGATCGCGCTGGGCGCACGAGAAGGCGGGCGGGGGCAACCCTGTCGGACGGTCACAGGTTGAATGTGTGAATGGGAGAGAGGTGATGCGGATGGCTCTGTTAATTTGGATGTGTTACCTCCTTTGAATGGGAAAGCTGAGGACTGGGCTTGCATAATTCGAGTGAGTTACGTGCTACAATACTCCGTTACTAGAATAGATTCTTTTCCTCCACTCCTGCTCTCGCTTGTGCCTACTAATTCGAAAAGGGGGGATTATGCACGTCGGGAGTGATTAGCTGTGCAAAACCAGAGGTTATTTTGGATTAATGAAGGCAGTAGGGTATACAGGCATGATCATGTGAATATGGTGACGGATCGTTTGCAGTTTAAACAGCTATTTCTATCTTGCAGTATTCCCGTGTCTTTAACATCTGCAGAACAGGGAGAAATTCTACAGGTGTGCGCTGCCTTTTCTGGGGTATGGTGATGCTGGAGAAATCTTCAGTTGGAGAAATTCAGTCTGGTGGGGAGATGTTAAAAAGGCACAGAGACCTGCTTTCAGATAACTTCCTTGCCTTGTCCTCAGAATTTTAGTGTGGTGCTGGTGGCGGCATGTTCAACAATATTGTTTTCCCCTTATAACTATTGTTTTATAAACTCCAAACACTCTAGAACCAGGACCAGAGCTTCTATTTCTTCTGATGTCAATGGTGCCAGCTGTACGAGGATAATGCTTGCTTGTTTTTTAATCTGAACCAGCTCTTTATGGTCCCCAGCATCCACTGGAACAGTATCCTGGAATGGACCTAACACCAAGACAAGTTGCTAAAGGCAGAGTTTTCTCTGACACAAATCTTTGGGGGAATAGTTAGCCCCTCTTCAAGGAGCAATGTCACCAAATTGCCACAGGAACACACTCTTTTCTTCATGTGTTGACCATGGGAAAACACAGAATAGCACAGCTTTTATACTGGACCATTTAGGGTAGGTCCCTAAAAGCCACTTTATAAGCAACCTGCAGCACTTGCTTTAGTGCATTCCAGCCCCAGATAATAAATCACCCTGGCTGTTAGAAAGAAGCCAGTATGTGCTTGTGTTCATCTACAGCCATTCTTTCTAGTTAGCAATTTCAATACAGAGGCGAGGGGAGGCACCAGCAGTGATGATCAGAGAACTGGAGCAGCTGCACAGCATAATCCGAGAAGTACCAACCAGAATTCCTGTGCAACAAGCTTCTCAATTTATGGGAGCTCCTGAAGCCATTACCAACAGGCCATTTCAATGCCTGGGTTGCTTGTGCAGTTAAACTGTCATTAATGCTGCAGTTTTGGGGAGGCTGCTGTACAGCTGTCTTTCAGTAGGCAGTCCTCTTGCACCCACTTCAGGTTCCAAAAGTTTGGTGCTCCCATTCAAGTTTGAAAGGGTTTGCTCAGGAAAGTGTCATGATAGATTCCCTCCAGTTAGTAGGAAAGGATGATGCCTGACAGAAGTAGAAAACGCCAGCATCACAATGTCTTGAGGGTGACCTGAAGTGGGGACATAGTGGGATGTAGGTAGGGGAAGAATTTACAATAACCTGACTGGCTCAGACCAGAGCAATGCTTCCTTCCACTTCCCCCACCTTTCCCTCTCGCCACACACAAATACACACTCTCAATTGCACTTTTTCTGTCTTACATATCTCCCTGAAGGCTCAAAATGTTCACACTTTCTTTCTGCCTTCCTAAATACCAGGCTAATAAAGTTTATGGCTTTCACAGCCAATTTGTGAGCAGGCATGTTGCTCCCCCTCTCCCCCCTCAGTCATGTTAGTAACCCTTTACAAGTCCACACTGACTTCTGACATCCTTCTGTATGTACAGGAATTCTACACAAACATTTCTGTACAGACCACCCTCTGTTTTGTTTTCACCCCCATATGTTGCGTCTTCAGTCCCCCCATTCAAGATACTCTTTGGCTTAGTATCCTCTGGTAGAGACAAGCGCCCTTGTGCCTTTTTGCTCTCCCCCTGCAATCAATGAGGCATTTCAGTGCTGTTAAGGGGCTCTGTCTACATTCTAACTGGTGAGAAGGTGAGTTTCCCGGCTCAGGCAGTGAAGCAGACAGGGCAAGCATTGAAAGAAGAACATGTTGTATAGAGCCCCTATTGACTAGCTTCAACCTCTGCCCCCAGCAGCATCTGTGCAGTGGCCCCCTTCTACTACTGCTGGCCTGCATTCCTTACAGCTGCCTGCTCAAGAACCCTGCCAGTGACGAGGATGATGATCTGCCACCGGTGGCATCCAAACCCACAGGGAGCATCCCTGCCCAGAATGTGCCCAGCTGTCCAGCCAACTGTACCTGCCCAGCAGAAGAGACAGTGGATTGTAGCGGCCTTGACCTGTACATCTTCCCCAGCAATATCTCGGCAGGAATCCAGCATCTTTCACTGCAGGTGACCAGGGCCCAGCACTGAGCAGACAAAAGCGGGAGAGGCTGCCACTAGTAGGTGGGAGGATAATAGCTCCGAGAAACTGCAGGAGGCAAGAGAGAAGGCGCACAGATCGGGGTCTCTGTGCATAAACCCTTCCCACCCCTCTTATCCCTGAATGGTTTTCCTTCTGCAGAACAACCAGCTGCAGGAGCTGCCATACAATGAGTTGTCCCGACTGGCCAGCCTGAGAACCCTCAACCTCCACAACAACCATATTGACTCTGAGGGTGAGCAGAACCAAGGAAACAGGGCGTTCCCTGATATTCTGAAGGTGTGCCAGCATTTCTGAGTGTGTGCTGCCCCTGCCCCCACACAAACTACTGTCGCCTCCTAATTGCCCAAAATTCCTGTACCCTTCAGAGCAGTTGGGTTGGTGGGCCAAGAAGCTAAGATTGCCCTTCAGCTTTTCTCCCATCCTTTCACCTAATAAAGCAAGAGCCTGCCTTCCTCCCGATTAACCTTTGCTTCCCCACACCCCCATTTGAAGGAGCTGCTATTTGACTGCTCTCTGTGCATTCTAGCAGTGCCTGCAGCTGACTCGGCAGGAGACTGCAAGTCCAGCTTGCTGCTTCTTGGGCATGAGATGTGGGAAACAGTGGATAGGGAGTCTTCTGTGGGGCAGGAAAGGCAGCCAACCTAGCAAAGATTCCCCAAATCTTGGCCTTTTTTCTCGTGTGTACCATTTTAAAGGTCTTCCAGATGAAGCTTTTGAGTCCCTACAGTCCCTTCAATACATCTACCTGGCCAACAATAAGGTGAGTGCATTCATGGTTGAGGAGGGAGGGCTGGCTTCTGGTGAATTCACATAGGCCTTGAGAAGAAAGCCAGAGAACTGCTGCATTTTCTCAGGGGTAGGATGCACTAGGGCAGGAATGGAAACTGTGGCCCTCCAGAAATTGTAGAGCTCCAGGTTCCTCAGATCTGCCCAGGGGGCACTCTATCCAGAATTACTCTACCTCCCCATTCCTGGGAGCAGACTGTAGAAGCACCTGTTTTCTCAGAGTCAAGGGTATTCCTAGGCAATTAAAATTTCTATGTGCATAATCATTTATGTGCCAACTTGGAAATAATTACAAAGATTAATTTGAAAGTCACAAGAAGCAAAGGCAACACTACATTTCTCATCCAACTAATCTCAGACAAAATAAATTAATTTGCACCGACTTAGGCAATTTTAAACTGAGGGAGACAGGTTTGCTCTAAACTCAATTGTTATGCTCAGAGGAAATACTTGGGGTGGGGAGGTGAGATGATTAATCCTTCCCTTCCCAGCTGAAATCCTTCTTGAAAAATGTTCCCTGAATGTAAATTAAACTGAGAAAAACATCTTCTATTAACATGGATGCTACCCCTTCCATTCCAATGGATGCTCAACAGGGAATAATTCTGGGACCCTTGGAAACAGACACAAAGCTGGAACATCATGGGCCAGGAGTAGCAACAATCCTGGACAGATTAATTTCTTCTTAATTTTCTTTAATTATCAAATTGTATTTGCAGCCAGCTGGTCTAAGGGGAAACTTGAGGTTAGATTTCCCCATGATTTCAAGCTACATTTTTAGATGAAATGAGAAGTCTAATTCAACAGCCATGACTGATGGTTAATACAGGACTAAAGGAGAGTTGTTATACTGGTTTATTAACACAATAAAAGGCTGTATTATTGGGTGTGTGTAAACACAAGAATTGTGGCATGGGTATATCCAGAAGACAGGTACCTTTGTTCTCCCCCCACCCCAAACCTTCAGAATCATCCTAAATTTACAGTGGGAGGCCAGCTATGTCTGTGCTGGTACCTCACTGCTTTGCAGACCAAACGGAAAAGGAAAAGATCAGTGGCCCTTGTTGCTCAGCACTGGCAATATTGCCCCAGGATTTCAGACGGAAAGCTTTCAGAAGGGGCTTGAACCTTGGACCTTCTGTGTGCCCAGCAGGTGGCTCTGCCCCCAAACTGTGGCCTTTCTACATCCACTGTGCTAACTTAAGCAGACAGATGTCTTTTGCTTTTGTATAGTCTACCTTTCAGTCTACTGAAGTCTGTTGAAGCAACAGAGAAACAGAGTGCACTTGAAGGTTAAGTTACACTATGCTAGTAAATGGAGTTTGTACTTTGCAAACAAAGATACATCTTCTTGACAGTTTCTGGGAATTCCTCTCTTTCCAATCCAAGAATGATTCAGGATTGTGATGACATAACAGAACTTGCTGATGCTCCAGCTTCTGCTTGGCTTATTCCATGTTGGAAGGCTGACCCCACGCTTTCAATGTTCAGTGTAAACATGTCCCATTTTTGGACTGGACTTATAATCATCAGTGTTTCAAGCTAATTCTGAAATAAATGTCAGCAACCTAGCCAGTGTGTGAGTAGTATAATTCCCTCAAATTAGAAGAGGGAATTCATATGCTCTGCCATACTGCTAAAGAGATACTCGACCCAGCAAAGTGGCCAGACCTGGTCTTCTCCCTGACTTGCTTGTTTCACACAGGCAGCATTTTGTGGGGAAAAGAGCATCATGTTGCCACCCTCCCCCATGCAGTCTGGGTTAGAGCAGTAGCACAGAGCAGGCAAATGGGCTATCTCACCAGCTGCACAAGAGGACTGTACTGGCAATGACTGGGCTTGGATCCCGGGGGACAGGCACTGGAAGCTTGGGCTAGCTTGACACTTTCTCTGTGCATCTCCTTTCCAGCTGTCAGTGGCACCACAGTATCTGCCCAGCACTCTGCGCATTGTGGACCTTGCTGCCAACCGCCTGACATGCATCTACCCACTCACCTTTGGGCACAAGCCTGGCCTCAGGTACAGCTGGCGCAGGAAACCAGCCCTGCGTGGGTGCATTAGCAAGGCCCAGGGGTGTTGGTGGATTTCCTCCTGTTACAGGGGCCGGGGAGGAAGCAACATTTATTGGAAGTGGCACCCGGAAGTCCTCTGCCACCCCCCATTCAAGAGCTACTGACTCTGAATCTTAGAGGCACAGAGGCTTGCTGAGATTACTCAGAGGGAAAGGAAGTCTCTCAGCATCTGCTCTGCTCAGAGAGACGACTCCTCTATTTCCTTTGCTATTCATTCACATCCACCTTATAGTCAGAATTGTCAGGGGCAGCTGTGCCCAGCTTGGTCCACTCCAGATGTGTCATTCCCCACTAGCACTGGCTGTGAATGATGGAAGTGCCGTCTGGAAGGGACTATGTTTATTTAGTTTCCATACTGCCTGACAAGCAAAGCTCTCTGGGTGGCTCAAATAAGCTTATTTAAAAATGATATAAATATGCCAATTAAAACACAAAATATAAAGCAATACAAAATATAAAACCAGATAAAAATAGGAAAAGCAAAATTATATGTTTAAATATGTTTATATGTTGTTAAACCCTGTACAACTAGCAGATCCCAGTAACTAGTTACATTGCCTGCAATAGAGGACAGTCTTTTCCTGGCACCAAAATAATAATAAAGTTGGCACTAGGTGGGCCTCAGTGGGGAGCTCATTCCAAAACTGGAGGGCTACCACCAAAAGGGCTGTTCTCCTTGTTGCCACTATTCGAGCCTCCCTTGGCTGTTTAGGGGAGAGGGGCTGAGAGCACACTGGTGGAATACAGTAAGTTGGGGGGAACCGCAGAAACCTAAGAAGTAGTGATACATTTAAGCAATTAATACTTACAACATACAGACACCTGTCTGGAATTCTCATTTAATTTAATGGGAGCTACTTTTGAGTTGGCAAGGGGCGGCATAGAAATGTAATAATAATAATAATAATAATAATAATAATAATAATAATAATAATAATAATGCACAGGATTATACTGTATACCGATTATACTATAATGCTCAATGTTGAACTGTTAATAACATTAAAATAGTACTGTCAGCCCTCCTAGTACAGCTGCACTCAAGCAAAACCAAGAAAGGTGGCCATCAGATAGGATACTTCAAGTCCTCCTATCGAGAAACTGGATAGCATGCTTCATGCCAGAGTCAGCCTTTATGAGGCGAGGCGAGGCGAGGCGAGGCGAGGCGAGGCGAGGCGAGGCGAGGCAAACCCTCCAGCTCAGGCAGCAGAGAGGGAGGACTGGGAAACTGCACTCTGACCAGGTGGGGTGGTAACTCCTATATCAGTAAGGCTCCTGGTACAGTGTAGCTTTTCTTGGAGGGTTACAGCAGCAGTCCATGGTGCTGAATGTTACCCTCAAAAAGGTTCACCAATTTGGCTCCTAGCAAATTCAGAATAAAAGCTGCAATGCATAAGGACTCCCACTGGCACAAGAGTGCCTGGCCTTCCCTGACTCCTGCCCATAACAGGGTCTTCCTTGGCCACTTCTCCAGTCAGTGCCAGGCTCTGAGGAAGGCCACCCTCGGATCCAGACACTTGAGACAGTTGTCGCTCTCTGCATAGCCACACCACTGCTACCTCTGGCCAGCGTAGCCCCTCAGAGAGCCCACTGCAGCAGCCAAAAGGAGGCTCTCAGGGTAGCTCTTTCTCCCAAGAACTCGTGCTGCTCCTGCTTCATGTGCAACAGAGCACTGAGTAACATTGAGGTGGGAGGATAGTAAGGTGTGTGCCAGCCTGGTTTATGGAGGGGGGCAGGGTTATTGTGATGGTGCTGCACAGGGCTTGTGGCTGGCAACTGGCCATCTTAGTTTTGAATTAAAAGTGAAAAATCAGGGAAGGTAATATTTTTGGGGAATGGCAGGTGTGTGCGAATAGGCCTGGCCCCAGCAAGCTGCATTCCTGGAGCAGCTCCATTTCACCTGTCCCTTACCCTGGCCCTGAGAAGAATGCAGATGAAATCCTGGCTGAAATTAAATCCCAAGAAGTAAGTCCCAATGACACAGAACATCCAAGGTGTGGCAATGGGTGGCAGATGTGTGGCTGGACATTTCTTTTCTAGAGAAACTGTAGGTCTTTCCACACATTTGAAGCACCCACAACAGGAAACTATAGCTAATCCTAATGAAAGTGTGAGCACAGGACAAGTTTGTTTTGGCATCTTGTTTGCCTTTGAGATTATGGTGTCTCCATAAGAAGTCTTCAGGTGAAGAACATGCCACTCTGAAGGTGGAACTGAATTATGTCGGTGTAGCCAACAGACAGGAATAATCGTATGTCATTCTTAGAGAACATGTTAATAAAATAGAGGCCATGCATGAATGATGCTCACCCTGTCACGGGGGTCAGAATCACTGTGTCTTTGGAGCGGATGGTACTCATTTTGCAAGACTGCCAGCCTGGGGTCCTGTTGCAGCAAGGGTGTGCCTCTTGGAACCAGCATGGGCACTGCCCCTTATGACTCAAGGATCAAGTGGACTCCTAATCTGACCCTTCCCCTTCACCTCCCACAGGTCTGTTTATATGCACAACAACCAGCTGAACAACACAGGCCTGCCCTTTGATGCCTTCAATGGCTCTGATGCTGTCAGCACCTTGATCTTGTCCAGCAACCGGCTCACCTACCTGCCCCAGAATTTGCCCCGGGCCACTGTCCGCCTTCACTTACAGGTTGGCAGCCTAGATTTCCCTCTGGCTAGTAGGAAAACAGACCTTTCCTGGGAAAATGTAAGTGACCAGAAATGAAATTGGAGAGGAACAAAGAACTCTGGCTTTTAGGCCAAATACCATGCAGAGAGAGAAATCCAGCAGCTAGAACTGGAAGGTTTTTCTACTATCCTGACCCCCCCCCCCTTTTTTTTTTTTTTTTTGCAAAACCTGGGATTTTCCATTCTATTTTGGGGTGGTGAGTGGTGAAGAGATTTGGCATTGCTTAAAAAATTCAGGAGGAGGCAAGGATGATGGATTAGTTGTGAAGCCACTGCCAGTTCTTTTGCCTGGTGCTAACCTGGAGGGTTCTCTGTCACCCTGAAGGCTACATTATACAACCAGCAGAAGTGGTTAAAGTAAACCTTGGACTGTATCACTTCAAGCTGCCAGTAAGGTTAATATGTCTGAAAATTCCCTTATAAAGCATACACTCCTTCCTGCACACAGAAAATTTGGAACCTTTTCTTCTCTGATACATGATATTGGATGTTCAGGAACTTTTAACTGGAAACAAATATTTCAGCATGCAACCTCTTATCTACAGTCTGAAGTTGTACAGTACAGGAAAAGCTTTACTTCTTGATTGCTCAGTTGATACAAACCAAGTACTGAGAAGTGCAGAAGATTCTATGAAAGCTGTCAGGTTTGGAATTGAGGCCCCCTGTTCTAACCCAACCATGTCATCTAGGTGTGGATATATGAATGCCCCCCCACCCCCCTGATCAAAATTCCTGCCATCGCTATTGATGGGGATCTTGCGTCAAAACAGTGCTATGTTCACTGCACTGGGCCATCTGATGGCAGGACCAAAGGCCCTCCTTAAGCTGGTGAGGGTGGTGAGGAACAAGACTGGATGGACTCCTCCTTGACCACAAGATTCCACTTTGCAGAATAACCGCATCTCCCGGATCCCCAAAGGGGCCTTGAGCAGTCAGTGGCGCCTCCGGGAACTCTATCTGCAGAACAATAACCTGACCAATGATGGTCTTGACCCCTTCACCTTCAGGTAACTATGATAGAGGAGGGTATGGAGTGGGGAAGCTGGAGATGGAGCTTATGGATCCCTCTTCCATGTAGCCAGCTCTGAGGTGGAGTCAGAACAACCCGGGGAGCAGAAGCAGGCACTTTGCTGGGCCCTGTAATGGCTGCTTCTTGTCTTTCTATGCAGCAGACTGAAGAGCCTGGAGTACTTGGATCTTTCCAATAATAACCTGACGCAGGTGCCTGCTGGCCTCCCCGCAAACATTGTCATCTTACACCTGGGCCGAAATCGTTTGAGTGCCCTGCCACCCGAGCGCCTGAGTCGTGTGCGGGGCCTGCAATATCTGCTGCTACAGAGCAATGCCTTGACTGCTTCTCGGGTGCACCCAGAGGCCTTCTCCCGCCTGCGTGCCCTGCACACACTCCATCTCTACAACAACCAGCTGGAGCGTGTCCCACCTGGTCTCCCACGGCGCGTACGCTCCCTGATGCTGCTGCACAACCAGATTGCACACATTGGACTGCATGACTTTGCAGCCACCTACACCTTGGCCGAGCTCAACCTTAGCTACAACCGCCTTTACAGTGCCCACATCCACCGCCTGGCCTTCCGTAAGCTCCGGCGCCTGGAGAGCCTGGACATCTCAGGCAACCAGCTCACCCTCTTGCCTGCTGGGCTCCCTGCCAGCCTCCAGGTCTTGCATCTTCAGAAGAACCAACTCAACTCCCTCTCTCCAGAGCTGCTGGCCAACCTCACCATGCTCAAGGAGTTACATTTGGCACACAACCGCCTGCGGATCAGCAGTATCTCGCCAGGCACTTGGCAAGAGCTGCACAGCCTCAAGGTGAGGTGGAGTGTGTACATGCGTGCTTCCTCATTCGCATCCCAGAGGGTAAGAAGCTGCTTTTAGGGCCACAGGAATCTCTGTGGTGTGCTCCTATGGCTTGAGCAGGGGCTGGTCCAAGACATTTTGCTACCTGTGGTACAGCAACAAATGCCACACCCTCTGTGTCCCCCACTCCGTATCAGGACACATCATATCCACTGCGAGTTCTGTTCCGCGTTTGCCAATGGAGAGATGCAGCAGGAGTTCGTATAGGCAGAACTAGAACAAAAAGTGTAGACAGAAGATTCATGATTGAATTTACAAATGCAAAACCTCATGGCACCTGCAGAAGGAGTTCCCTATCTATTGGTCATCTCATAATGTTTACAGCTTGAGGTCACACGAGATGAAGCAGAACTGAGGTAGTTTCAGGAAAGAGAAAAGGAGGTACTATTTCACTCCGGGTAGAATCAAAACTTATAGAACTGTCTGCCACAGAATGTGGCACTGAAAACGAACTTTAGAAAGAGAATGGATAGATGCCTGGGAAAGGGCCACAAATGCCCATGCTAAATGAGTAAAGCAGAATGCTAGAACTTGTGGCCATCCAATGTAGCTTGAATAATGGATGATTCAGGACAGATAAAAGCAATTTGGCACACAGTGCAAAGAGAAAGCTGGACTTTGCTACCAGAAAATGTAGTGATGGCCATCAATTTGGATGGTTTTAAAAGAAGTTCAAGACAAATCCATGGAATCAGGTTGTCATTGGCTACTAACCTATCCTACCTCCAGTGTAAGAGGCAGTACATCAGTTGCTGGGGAATCTGAGCAGGAGACTGCTGTTGCCCCAAAGGGAAGCCCGCAAGCAGGACACTGCAGCATGCTGACATGTACTCTGTGGGGTGGACTCATTGATCACCCTTATCTTCCAGGACTGGTATTACAGAATGGATGAGCTAGGCCTTTAATCTGTTCCAGCAGGGTTCTTATGACCTTCCACATACAGAAACAAGTTCTCCCACAAATATCATGTACTAGGGATAGATAGTGAGGGGGGACTGCCTTCATTGCCTTATTTGGAGCAGCCAATGGCATCTGGTTGGTTGCTGCTAGAAACAGAGTTGCTCTATAGAGAACCAACAAAATAATTATTTGGTTCTTAGGAAAGTTTTGATGTAGGCTGGGTAGGTACTAGGGTGTGAAACCCACAACACACACCCTTGATTCTTTGCAATAGAAACACGGCAAATGCCGACTTATTCCTCAGATCCTTGCTTGCAAACGTGCAAGAGTTGGTGCTTTGTTGCACCTTAACCTTTTCATGTGTTTTGCACTTTCCCTTTTGGTCACTGTTTTAGTAACTCTAGCATACCATGTGCAAGAAGGCATGGCATCTACACAGCCACCCCAAAGCATTCAGAAGGCTGAGTCAGGAAATCAAAACAGCAGTTCAGAATAGCACCGGAACTGTTGTGAAAGGGCACGGTGCAAAACAGGGCTCCCTTACTGGCCCATCTAGGGCCACAGGGCTCTTGCCACTGTATCTCATCTCAGTGGGGCTAGGAGAAGAGAACAAGTGGAATGAATTATTAGCAATTTTATCTCATTCCTCAGCCAGAAAGTCTCCCAGAGCAGATTATATACAGTCAATTACAATAGGACACTCCCTGCCTATAGGCATGCAGCAAACATGCAAAACAAAAGAATAAAGCAATGAAGAGGGAAGAGGAAAATTGCAATGTCTTTCAGCAGGTCTAAAAGAATGGCCGTGCTTTCCCTCTCTGCTGTCTCCGCTGCAACCTGCTGGAATGGCTCTACTTCACATCCCATCTCCCCCTGTCAAAGCCTGTTGTGTTATCCCCCCACCTCCTCCTCACCTGGTCAGAGCATCCCAATTCTAACAATTCCCCCAATTGGCATCTGAGGCTGCTACCTCTTAGTTGCTAATATTTTCTGGGTTTTACTTCTCCAGCTTCTGGATCTGAGCTACAATGAGCTGTCTTATGTTCCGCCAGACCTGCCAGAATCCTTAGAATATCTATACCTGCAGCACAACAGGATTGCTGTCATTATGGCTGAGGCCTTCCTTACAACACCCAACATGCGGGTCATCACTCTCAGGTAAAGGGACAACTGGATGCTGGACAAAGACTTAAGCATGGATGTGCTCATAGTTTGGGAAGTGTTTGCATGTATTAAAATATGCATTGCATTTCTTCCATAAGATGATCGTGAGCTACAGGCTTGCTATCTTTTTAAAAAGAAATACAGCAACGTATACCGGGTAGGAGTCTTTTCTGCTTGAAAGAGTAACTGACCCAGTATGAACCATTAAACAGTTCATGGCTTGTTAACTGAGGGTTGTTTGGGAAAGTGTGAAACACCCACCTAACCAGAGCTCTGTGATGCATCCCTGAGTTCTCTATGATGTGCAAACCTGGAACTCTGGGTTGTTGATTGAGAAACAACCCGGAGTTTGAACACATGGATTGTTCTCTGCATTTCTTCCTCAACAACCAAGAATTCTGGGTTCAGATGTCATGAAGAAAAATCCAAGGACACAACATCTACGAGCCATTCAGAGCATCAGAAATGGTTGAATGGCCAGGAGGCAGCACAGAAACAGAGCGAGTCAGAAGGGTTCTCTTGGGCCATCTAGTCTGACCCCCAGCTCCAGCCGGCTCCGCTCATGACATGCCCACCATGTGCATGTCTAGCCTATCCTTGAACACCCTCACCGATGGGGCCTCAACCACCACCTGTGGAAGCCCATTCTATACCCTCGTGGTCCTAACTGTCAGGAAGTACTTTCTGGCATCTAAATTGAACCTTGGTTCCCTGAGCTTTGCTCCATTGGAGCATGTCCTGCCTTCCTCTGCAGGGGAGAACAGGTCTCTACCCACCTCCGTGTGACACCCCATCACATGAATGTATGCCACCAACAGATCCCCTCTGAGTCTCCTCTTCCCCAGGCTGAAGAGGCCCAGTTCCCTCAGTCTCGCCTCATACAGCATCCCCTGCAAACCGGCCACCAACCTTGTGGCCCTACGCTGCACTGGCTCTACCCTGGCTATATCCTTTCTGTAATGAGGGGTCCAAAACTGAGCACAATACTCCAGTTGCAGGCGCACCAGAGTCGTATAGAGTGGTAGTAATACCTCTCATGATCTATAAGCCACACTTCTGGCTATGCAACCAAGGGTGGCATTCACCCTCTTGACCACCGCATCACACTGCTGACTCATGTTTAGCCTGCAGTCAACCAGCACCCCGAGGTCCCTTTCACAAGTGCAGCTCTCCAGTCACTTGTCCCCTAACCTGTACTTATAACACCCATTCCTATGCCCCAAGTGCAAGACCTTGCACTTATCCACATTGAACGCCATCCTGTTGTCTCCTGCCCACTTCTATAGTCTGTCCAAATCCTTTGGATCTGGAGTACCTGCTGCTCAGTTGTGGCCACTGCCCCAGTTTTAGTATCATCTGTGAATTTGATCAGCAGACTGTTCACCCCTTCTTCCATGTCATTGATGAAAAGATTAAACAGGATCAGCCCCAGCACAGAGGCCTGGGGGACCCTGCTTGTCACTGGCCACCATCCCAATGATTCCCCACTAATGGTTACCCTCTGCTTTTGGTCAGTCAACCATGCCCTAATCCATCGGACAGTGCATTGGTCTATCCCAAAACTCCTCAGTTTCTCAACCAGGATATCATGGGGCACTTTGTCAAAGGCCTTGCTGAAATTCAGGTATACCACTTCCACTGCATCCCCTCCATCTAGCCACCTCGAAACCTTGTCATAGAATTCCACAAGCTTCATCTGGTAGGACCTGTTTTCGCAGAAGCCGTGTTGTGTGGCCACCAGCCTCCCTTCTCTATCTAGCATCACTAGATCTCTCGCTATTATGAGCCTTTCCATTGTTTTTCCTACAATGGACGTAAGCCTAACTGGTCTGTAATTTCCCATGCCCCTTCTACTACCCTTTTTGAAAATTGGGACCTTCACCTGTTCTGCACAAGGCCTCAAAAATGGAGGCCAGCGGGCGTGAAAGAACCCCTGCCAACTCTTGAAGTATTTTCAGGTGTAACCCGTCAGGGCCTGGTGCCTTTCTAACATCCTATGCCCATTCACTCTCATGCATGCAATCCACAGTCAACAAAGTGTAGGTTTTTTCATTAGGCAAACTGCAATGCTCTATACTCTGTACTTTAAAAGAATAGAAATATACAAAGAGATAATCCAAATTCTACCATAACAGTAGGAGAACATATCTGACCCCTCCCTTGCAAATCTCCTCATATTAAGTAGGGTGGCCACTTAGGCATTGTTAAATGTCTCATCAAGAAAGAGGACACTGATTTGCAAAATATTTGTTTATATTAATTTATATGTATAGGAAAAATAGAAAAACCAATTTAAATAGAATGAATATATCTTAGTGGGGAAGTCTGGCCAGCTGATGGATGTATTTTGTGTCACTGAGCAAGTGCAAAGCCTGTGCTGTCCCTTCTGGGGTTTCTCTTTCAGCCAGGCTTGGACTGGACAGCCCTTCAAACAGAGGACATCCTCAAACACAGAACTGTCTTCTATAAAGGAGGGCAGTGGGCCATCCAAGTTTAAGGTCCAAACTACATGCAATTCTTATTTATGTGTAGATGGTATCTGACTCATCTGTAAGCTATAGCAGCAGACCACTCAAGCTCCAAGCTGTCCTACTAGAAAAAAAATATTGAGGCCAACCTTACATATGACTGACAACATTGTGTGTAGCTTAGTCCTAAAAAGCATCTGGACCTGACTAGACGCTCCTTCCAGTTGTCCCCCTGGTGCAGTTTTTCCCACCCTGGTGCCCTCCAGATGAATTGTACTGCAAGTCCCATTCATCCCCAGCCAGTGCTGATCGGGAATCATGGGAGTTGTTGCCCAAAACAACAGGAGACCACTAGGTTGCAAAGGCTGTTCTAGTGGTGGCAATGCACTCTACTTCTAACATTCCCACCTCACTCCTAAATACAGCCAATTCCTTATAAACCTGACCCACACAAAAATTCACACTGCATTTTTTAAAAAGAAAGAGCCACCAGAAAGGATTGGAGAATGCACAGCAACAGCCTATGAAGAGAGTGACTACACAGAATGAACGGAACACCCTAGAATGTCACAGCAAATGTGCACAACTCATGAACGTTAACATTCAGATAATCATGCTGCAGTTCTAGCTGAATGCTGTCCAAAATATGGAGCTGCCCAATTTTCAGGCATAAAAACGTTGTACAGAGCCTTTGTAAACCAGGGAATTGAAAAAACAGAAATAGCTATTGTTATAGCCAATGTAAGTCTGAATTTAAGAAGTCTGTCAGGTGGGAAGACAATTTAACTGAGAATTGAAGGCATGAGAGAAAAGCACAGACTGCTGTTATAAGAGAAGAACAGCCTTTAAGGCTGCACACACATGTTATCTAATGCATGCTTTCTTACAACTAAATCCTCTCTGAGACTTGCTTCTTAATAAATATGCCTAGCTGTAATGGAATCAGATTTCTGAGTCTTCAGATTAAAGCCTTGCCTGGAGCTGTATTAAAGTTTCAGGAACTGTCCAAACAAAAATTAAGCTCCTCTTGCATCTGCAAAACAGCATGTGACCCATTTTACAAACAAACTGTCCCTTGTATTCCAGATCCAACCGTTTATTGGCATCCAACGTGTCTGAAGCAGCATTTGTCAACCTTAAACTGTTGGAGGTAGTTGACACCACAGGGAACCCCGAGCCCATCAGCATCTCTTTCTTAAAAGCTGAGAAGTGGGGCCGCAACCGGATGGGCGCCTAGGGAAGATTCCCAGAGCAGGTTAGGCTTTGAGCCCTATGCCTCCAGCCCCTCTCCCCCAGGTAAACTTTGGAAAACTTGTATTCACAAATTCAATTACTCTTGTTTTCAGCTTTTGCTGGGATTGTAGACCACTAACAATTTCAAAACAAATTCTGCTGCATTGCATAAGTAATGGTTTAGAGCAGTCTGCAAATTATTGTTAACAGGGGCCTGGTTTTGAACTGCACAAGGGCTGAAGCACTGGAACCACTCACATGGAAACAAGGCCTTGAGTTAGTTCCTACTGACTCAATGCACCTCTGTGTCAGTTGTACCACTTCAGACTGCAGGCATGGGGAGCCCATGACTTAACGTTCCTTCATACAAACATCCTTCTCAGGTAGACAATGACATGTCAAGGTGGAACATTTTAGCCTAACCTCTTCCCAGAAGCACTCGTTTTCTACATGAAAACAGTGTTTTTCAGGTTTATGGGCAAATGTGCAGTTGAGGTGGTACAACCCAGACACAGACCTTTGTTTTAAGGATTTATACAAGGCTTTTTGGCCACATGGTCTTGAAAATGGTTTATGAAGAGCTGAGGGCAAAATGAAGGTTCTTGTACTAAATAAATATTTTTGTAATGTAACAAGAAAATCATAACAAACTGAAGTCTGGGAAAATTGGAAGAAAGTCTCACCCACATTTCCCTGGAGTGAGAGGTCCAGAGATGGGTGTCTTAACCTGGATCACCCTCTGCTGCACCACAGCAGGAAGGATCTATCCCAGGCACTCCTTGCCTTGCCCCAGAGGGACAGGAAACCCACACACAGGATAAGAACCTTAATATCCAGGGAGTTTTGTGAGGAAATTCCCTCCCTTTCAGCAGCAGCAACACACATTAGCAGAGTTCTTTGCTTATGTGTTTCAGAGAAGTGGGAGTGAGTTGAGATTGCTAAGGAAAAAACTGATAAGGGATTCTGTTCACATGGTTGTGGTGGATCAGGGGATCCCTTTACCTGCATTTTGCTTTCTGTGGGAACAAAGAAACTGGGAGAGGGAACCTTGTGACCAGACTTGCATCTTAGGCTAATGGAGGTCTGTCCCTTCCTATCAGTGCCATATTGTTTTGAGAATCAGTATAGGCAGTCATTAGGGAGATATGATGCATTGAATATCTTAACTAAGGGGCAATCCACAGAACAGAGCTTAACTTTCAGGGGACTGAGACTGGCGGTGTTCTCCTGCAAATGCACTGTGGGAATGGCTGCTACTTACCAAGATCCTGCCAGTTCCTTGTTAAGTCCTGCTTAACAGCACTATCCACACCGCTTTCTAAATAAAGAATCTCTCCTACTACCCCTTCCCTCCCACCTCAAAAACCATTTGTGTCCTTTCCCAGACTTTTGTGATGCAGGCCCAGTTCAGGTATGCAGTCTTGGCACATGTGCTCTGTTTTCCCATCTTCTGCCTCACAGAAATGCTCTCTGATCCCTTCTCATCACTACTAATCCTGATTTGTTTTTGACTTGTGGACCATGGTAGATCAGCAAAGCTGGACATCAGCCTTAGGCCTATTGGTGTTTGGGAAGGGCTCACCAAATGGGGCTGCAGATCTGGCACAATCTCTGGTCTACCCGACTTGATATATACCTGACACTTGAAGAAACCCCTTATTGGACAATGGTTTAGGGACAGAGGATGGAGTAAGTGATCTGTGGTGCCAGGAGAGGGGCCCACTGCAGGCCTTGTACCCACAGTCCACCAAACATAGTCTACTGTCACTGAGACCCTCCCCAAACCGCAGCAGCAGTCCAGTCCATCTCCTTTCCACAGTAAGCCCACACCATCCAGAGAACACCTCACTTTGGGTGTTACAGTACACTGCCACCTGTGTATGTCTTCATCAGAGAAAGGAAGTAGACTGGCATGCCACAGAACAGCCACTGCCAGACATTTGGACCTCATCAACACATACAAGGTTGTTGCCCCCTGTGCCTTTGCAGAGGGGCCAAGCTTTTGGAGGCATCAGCCCCAACTGACTGGACTGCTTTCTTTTGCAGATCACATCCTAGACTCCCTTTGCACACTGCTCCCTTAGGTCTCAGCCAAGATGGCCTCAGCCTGCCTGCAGGAAGCCCTCTGGAGGGATTGGCATCATCCAGTGTTTTGCTTTCCTGGCCTAAGCCAGCTTCACAGAGCAGAGCCACTGCAACGTGCTCTGTCTGCTTTTTCCTGGGAGGAGAACTCACCTACAATCCAGCAGCTTGAAAGAGACAAGATGGAGGCCAAGATAATAAATAAAGAGTACTCCAATGAGAGCTGCTACTGGATCCTGGTCTCCAGTGGATCTTCAGATAAGCAGCTGCACTCAAGACAAAGATTCTGTCAAACAGAATCAAAGTGGCAGTCAAGGCCAGCTGAAGCAACTCGTGCACCCCTCTGCTCACCTGCGCTTGCCCTAGGGCATGAGCATCTACTTTAATACCATGTCCCTTCTCCAGTCAGGTACACCAAAATTGCCCTAGTTTGGTGATGGCTACCTAATCTAGATAACAAGAACATCCCTTGTAGCAAACACACAGTACTTTTCTGTGTGTCCAGTCCCAGTCGCATGCAGTCTCTTCACAAGGCAGACGATAAACTGAATGAAGTCTAGGCCACTCACTACTACACAGAAATGCTCTGGACAAAAGTTTGAGTAGATCTCAGACACTGCTCCTTGCTTAAGGAACTAGTAGGTATTGATCCCGGAAAAAATGCTGGTGTCCCCTACAGCAAGACAGATGACATCACCCTAGGCAGGATCACAGGATCGCAAAAATGAGGAGGATAAAGGCAGGTTGCTTACCTGTGACTGTTGTTCTTCAAGTGGCCATCTGTGCATTCACACATGATGGGTGCTGCACCTGTGCAGTGCCTGCAGCCGGAAAAGATTCAAAGCTTTAATGGTTTTGGCAGGAACTCTGTGTCCCTCCCCCCATAGTATAAAGAGTGGAGTGCCCACCATTTCTCCAGTGTACTGTAGACTGTCTGTTCACCCCCAAGTGGAATTAGTGACAATGAATTCAGAGTAAATGTCAGATCCATAAAGATGCCCAAGAAATAGGCATATAAAAATCTATCCAAACCAGATAGGTGGAAGGATAGACAGAATGATTCCCATCAACCCAGTCACCGACACCGAGTGGGGATGGTGGGTGGGTTGTGTGAATGCACAGATGGCCACTTGAAGAACGACAGTTACAGGTAAGCAACCTGCCCTTCTTCATCATGGCCTCTCTGCATCACACATTATGGGTGACTAGTAAGTTTACCACACCCAGAGGCGGGATGGTGTCGTCACTGAAGAACTGAGGAGAGGACTGCCCAGCCAAAGGAGCAGTCCTGTCTGGCCCAAATGTCTAGTCAATAATGCTTGGTAAATGTGCAAGGGGTGGTCCAGGTAGCTGCCTTGCAGATGTCATGCACAGGGATGCCAGCAGAAAATGCAGAGGAAGCTGCCACAGCCCTTGTGGAGTGACCTTTAGGCACCACAGGTAAGTCCAACTTGGATAGACAGTAGGCAAGTTCAATAGTTTGAACAATCCACTTAGAGAGACTCTGAGAGGTAATTGGAAAGCCTTTGTCGTGTTCAGAGTTTTTGACAAAAAGGCACTTAGTTTTCCTTAAAGACTCAGTCCGGGATCAATAGAACAGCAAACATCGGCAGACGTCCAGTGTATGAAGAGAATGTTCTATCGGTGTTGAGGCTGTAGGAAAGAAAGCCAGTAGAACAATATCTTGGTTGATGTGAAAAGGCAAAGTGACCTTTGGAAGAAAGGTCGGATCGGTATGGAGAACAACTTTCTCTTTGTGAAGGTTGAGATAAGGAGGGTCGATCCATAAGGCACAGAGTTCGCCAGCAGTCCTAGCCAAGATAATGGCTATAAGGAACGCTGTCTTCCAGGATAGAAGGCATAGATCTGTAGTGGCTAGCGGTTTGAATGAAGGCTTGGTGAGAGCCTGGAGAACCACCAGGCTCTCACCAAGTTGGTATCACTGAATGAATTGGTGGTTGGAGATTCCGTAGTCCTCTCAAGAAGCGATGAATGAGGGGATGTGAAAACACCAAGGAGCTGGATATGGAGCCACGATGATGTGAAATGGCAGTGCTGTAAACTTTAATAGAAGAAAGCTTAAGTCTATTCTTGGTGTAGAGACAGAAGAAATTGTAGAATGTTCTCAATAGAAGCTGATTGAGGAGTGAAGAGATTGGATAACGCGAATGAAGTAAAGTGTTTCCATTTAGCCTCGTAGGAGCAACGAGTAGCTGGTCTTAGAGCAGATTGGAGAATAAACTGTATGTCAGGATGGAAAGTGTCCAGATTTGATGAGGAAGAAGGCACCAGCGTCGAAACCAATGGTACAGCCACACCGGAAGGCTGCGGAGGAGCTGTTGAATCCGACAGATGTGTTGGTGTTTAGGGGACAATGTTAATCATCAAATGAACCAGGCAGTAAGGTTCAGAGAATGTAGATCTGGATGTTGAATGGTGCCACTTTGTTGAGTGAGAAGATGTGGAATCCGCAGCAGATGGAGAAAGGCGGAGAATGGTGGGAAACCACAGTTGACGAGGCCACCAAGGTGTGATGAGAATCCCTCAGGCATTATCTTGATTGATTTTGGCTAAAGTCTTTGTGTTTAGCGGTATCGGAGGAAAAGCATAGAAGAACATGTTCGTCCAGGGAACCATCAATGCGTCTCTGATCGAATTAGGACTGATGCCTACCTGGGATCAGTAAGTCATGCAGACCAAATTGCTGAGTGGCAAACAGATCTATGTCTGGTGTGCCCCAGAGTCAGAAGAGATATTGGCAGGTCTGTAGTCGACATTTGCCTGCTGAGGGAGTCCGCTTCCTCATTGGCTGTCCCAGCAAGATGAACGGCGAGAGGAGTTATCCCTCTTGGGATACACCAATCCCATAGGCGAAGGGCAAGATGAGCTAGCGGAGCGGACTTTGTATTGCTTTGCTCATTTATGTAAAACACTGTGACTATGTTGTCTGAAACCATTTGGATGACTCGGTCCTGAAGGAGATTCTCGAAGGACCAGAGAGCTTTGAAGACCACCAGAAGTTCCAGATAATTGATGTGTCTGGAGGTCTCGTGTCCATGCCAAGCACCCTGAGTGTGCAGGTCAGAACAATGTGCTCCCCATCCTGTCAGGGAGGCGTCAGTGTAGAGTGTCAGAGCCAGCTGGGGTTGTCAAAATGGAATCCTGATGGAGAGGTTGTTCTCCTCCGTCCACCATGAAGAGTCCGAAGGACAGAAACAGGTGGTTGAAGCAGTTGATTTGGTCGGTCATACTGTGGGTGGAAGAGACAATTGAACCATAGCTGTAATGGTCTCATCTGTAATCCGGTGTTGGGAACCACTGAAACCACGGAGGCCATGTGTCCAAGAAGCTTCTGTATGGACAGGACAGAGACAGTCTGATGCATGAGGATCCAACGGATGGAGAAATGTAGGTTGTCCTTTTGAGCCTGAGGGAGGAAGGCTCGGGCGCAAAGAGAATTGATGCAAGCTCCGATGAAGTTGATGACCTGCGAAGGAATGAGGCAGGATTTTTCAACGTTAATACAAAGTCCAAGTTTGTCAAGAAGGGTACATGTCGTATCAATGGCTGCTAGAAGGCCTTCCCTGGAAGAGGAGACGATCAGCCAGTCATCAAGGTAAGGGTAAACATGAATGCCCTGTAGCCTCAGATGGGCGCAGACAGGAGCCATACGCTTGGGGAAGACCCTCAGAGCGGCAGCAAGGCCAAAGGGGAGAACATTGTACTTGAAGAGCCAACCATGAATCAGAGTAGACACCTATGAGCGGGGTGGATGCTGATATGAAAGTAAGCATCTTTCAAGTCCAGAGATGCGAACCAATCCTCTCCTGAGCAACAGAAAAATATTTTGGAGAGTGGTCATCTGGAATTTTTTTGTCTTGATGAACTTATTGATGCCATGTAAGTCCAATATTGAACAGAGACATCGTCCTGTTTTGGGACTGTAAAATATCTTGAGTAGAAACCGTAGAGCTCCTCGGAGCGAGCGAGTTGTCAAATTGCTCCTTTACAAAGTAGTTGGGAGACTTCGTCTTGAAGGACCAGAGAAGGCGACGTATATAGAATCGGTCCCGGCGAGGGCACGGTGTCAAACTCGATTTTATATCTGTGCTCTACGATGGAAAGTACCCACTTAACAGATGTGATGGACTCCCAAATGGGGAGTCGGCTTTGCAGCCGATCCCCAAAAGGAAAAGGGGAGGGTGGGTTGCAGGAAAGAGGAAAGTTGGCACTTGTCAGTGTCCAGGCAGCGACGGGCCTGCTGATAGCAAGGTGCAGCTTGTTTGCGGCTCCGCTGCTGGCGAGGCTGGAACTGCTGACGGGAGGTGTACTGAGGATACAGTTGGAATCTATATTGAGATTGGGATGGAGGCCAGTTATGTCGGCTCTGGGTGGGAATCTCCATCCGACGAGTGGTGATACACGCCTTGTAGATGTTCTCCAACTTATGGTCAGTTCGTGTGTTGAAGAGTCCAGAACCATTGAAAGGCATGCTTTCGATATGCCTCTTGGTCTCATCAGGGAAATTACAGGAATGCAGCCAAGCATGTCAATGCAGAGCGATGGCACCGACTAGAGCCCTCGAATCGCAATCAACATGATGTCTCACCATACTCAATTATTGGATGGCCAGCTGCAAGGCTTCACGGATGTACACGCGAGCCAGATCCTGCTGTTGCTCAGGAAGAGTCGATGTAATGGACTCGAGTCTCTGCATAAGAAAGTACTGGTACCTGGCCATTGTAGCTTCATAATTTGAAATACAAAGCCCAAGTCCCATGGCAGCATAAATACGGTGAGACATCATATCAATTTTGCGTCCCTCCTTGTCTCTGGGAGTGGAGTGCTCCCTATTTTCCCGACCCTGTGAAGACTTGACAGTGATCGAGTTCGGCTTGGGGTGTTTCAAAAGGAACGGGATGTCCTGTTCCCGGACCTTATACATCGACTCGTACCATCGAGAGGCTGGGTGTGGTTGGTTCGGGAACTCCCAGGTGTTGGTCATAGACTGCCAAAGGGTTGTGATGAGCGGCAGAGAGATGGCCGAAGATTGCTCCTTCCAGATGATGTCATAAAAATTGTCCATGCTGGGATCGACGCAATGTTGAACCTTGATCTCCAGGAACCTGGCAAGTAATGCCATCAATTCCCCAAAGATGGAATAGGACTCCTCCGGAGAACCAGGACCCTGAGTGGAGATGACTGCGTCAGGAGAGGTGGAAGCCTGCTCCAAGTCCTCTGAATCCAAATTGTAGTGATATGGGGGACTGGAGGATGAACCATTTGGAGGAGGAGGAGGCCTGGAGAGAGCAGCCATCAACGTCGAGGGGTCTCTCGGTGCCAGATGAGGAGTGGTGCGATGCTGGCACATGGAGGGCCTTGGATAGTTCCCATATGGTGGATAATAGTCCCATGGGTAGGATTGGGACGGATCAAAATCACTGTAGGGTATGGGTCCTCAAACTATGGCCTGCGGGACGGATCCGGTCTGCCATGGCCATCCATCTGGCCTGCACTGCTGTTCTCCCGCCTGCACACGCACTTGCTGCACAGGCGGGGAGGTGGTGGCTTGCTCGCTCAGAGATGGTTTTTGACTTGCTGGGAGATCTCTGAGCAAGCGAGCCACCGTCGCGTGCACCCGATGCCGCCTCACACGTGCCCAACGGCGCCTCACCGGCCCGCACCCCAAGGCACCCCCACCTCACTGGCCCACATAGGGTCACTGCAGCCTTTCAACTGACCCGTTATTCAAAAAGTTTGAGGACCCCTGACATAGGGCATAGGCACCCAGCTCCTCGAGGGCTGACTTGGAACATGCTGATGCTGGCGTGCATCGGACTGAGGCTGAGCCCTCAGAGAAGCCTCAGGGGAAGTTGGCATCAGGGTTGGTGAATGTTCTGATGGCTGTCTGGTCTAGTAGTTAGTCCCAAATCTCGCCATTGGACATGGACCCATGAACCACAGCCTCAGAGCAGTCCAGAGTAGATGGAGTCGAGAGGGAGATCCTCTGAGGGGACGCTGGTGGGGTCACTTGCATGACTGACTGAATGTTCGGACCGGATGGTATCGGGATCAAGATGGCAGTCAGTGCTGATGGCGTGGTTGAACCCAAGTCTCCCCATGGCAGCTTAGCAAGTTTTTTCTGCTTGTGATCCGACTTATCCATTTTGCCCTTCTTGGCCTTCTTAGGAGCTGAAGGCTTGTCAGATCCAGTGTGCTTCCTCTTCTTCTGCTTATGGTGAGGAGAGTGAGAGGAGTGATTAGCCTCCAAAATCGTACCAACAGCCGATGGACGAGGAGGAGAAGCCATGGATGGGCCCATCAACGTGGTCTGAGTCACAAGTTGGTCAGATGCAAGCAAGGCCTGGACCCACAGAATCTTCCGGAGACAATTCTCACGGTTCTTGCAGGCCTGCTTCGTAAAGGACTGGCAGTGGCCACACTTATCAATCCTGTGTCCTTCCCCCAAGCAAAGAAGGCACAGGTTATGCGGATCTGTGGGTGACATCTTAGCCCTGCACTTAGAGCACTTGTGGAAGACCGCTTGCTGAACCATCGAAGAAAAAGGAGAAGATAGCAAGAGCGAGAGAAATGTAGAAGAATAACGATAGGTTTTATTTTTTGTTGTTTTGGGGTTTTTTTAGGGGGGAGGGGGGAAGAAAGGGGAAGAAACTTTCTAAAACTGGGGGGGATAAGGAAGTTATAACTTGGAAAGGAGATCGTAACAAGAAAGAGAGAGAGAGAGAGAGAGAGAGAGAGAGAGAGAGAGAGAGAGAGAGGTAGCAAATGTAAGTTTTAAGAACAGTGATTATAGCTACGAGAGACAATGAAAAGCTCGAGGCACAGTGAACGGCAGTCGCAAGAAGACTGGGGAAATGGTGGGCACTCCGCTCTTTATACTATAGTGGGGAGGGGCATGGAGTTCCCACCAAAACCATTAAAACTTTTCCGGCTGCAGGCACTGCGCAGGCGCAGCACCCATAATATGTGATGCACAGAGGCCACAATGAAGAAATTTAGGGACCCAAAGAATACATTATTACTGGTGGATCTCTGAGGAACAGAAAGGCAACAACCAGTATCCACTGGTTCTTCAGGGTCACTCTTTCTCCTCCACACCACTTCCCCACAAACTAATGTAACCTCATAAAGACTGAGTCTTTTGACAGTTTGTACCTTCCTTTTAGATGCTGGCAAGAGAACAAAGACGGGGGAGGGTGTTAGTTTCAAGAGAGGCGGAAAGAGATATTACTTACCAGATTTCACAAAAATAGCATCTGATTGTGGAGCTGACCCATGAACACAGAGAGGAAGTTTTAACAAGGTTTATTATTGGTGCAAGATTCCAGAATGGGTCTTACAGAGGTTTTAAAAAAACTCACCCACCCTAGATACTATATATTTATGTCACTCTATGCACAAAATAAAGCCATGACACGGATTTGTAGCCTCTGCTTTCTACAGTGGCTTTAAGGCCTCTGGCTGAGCTTCAACCTCAGAGGCAGGCACTTTCAGAAAAATCAGATTTTCCTAATTCTCAAGGTGGTGGGATGGGATTGTGAAAACGGGGTCAGGGAATAAAGCCTGTACAGCACACTAGTTTCCCTTTGATCAGCTTACTCTCTAGGGATATGAGGAATTCAGTTTTGGTTTGAAAAGGAGCGTGGGTGGGGGCAGGGAGGACGGTCCGGTTTGTAACCCACAGCTCATCACCTGAGCCAGCAACAACCCTGAGATAATTTCTAATGCTTGCAAGTGTCTTTAAGTTTAGTACCAGACCCAGAATGTTGCCATTAAAGGTAACATTTGACACTGCCACAGAGCAGTCAATGTGCCCCCAGCTTATGCAGAAAAGGCACAGCCACAGGCTGCAATGGCTTGCCCCTCCCCAAAAGCTGGGGGGGGGGTCCATAACATGACATAAACAGGATGTGTACCTCTCTGTCGAGAAGTCGCTGATTATCAGGCACCATCCCTCAAGACATGGGAATGCTGCAAGGAATGGTCTGGTGCAGGAGGAGCCAGCAGATGTGATGTGCCAAGTGACTGCAGCCTACAGATCCCTTGTGTGTCCAAGCTGAGCTGATACTCAGTAAGTCCGGGTGTCAAGAAGCCGTTCTGTTGGAGGAAGACCATTCTTGCCTCTTCCGATGTTCAAGAAAGGGACAGTCTCCCTCAGCAGTCTCTTGTGCTTTTCTCCAGTGGGAGGCAGAAGACTCAGTCCCATGCTTGGGTCCTTTGGTTGCCCAGAGGGGCTGGGAGGAAGCAGTGAAGGCTTCAGAATCAAGCCCCAGCCTGAACCACTGAGCCCAGTGCACTTCCTGCTCAGGAATGGGTCGCATGGATGGCAGAGGCATCAGGCACCAGTAAAGCGAGATGCTACCCAGGGAAGTCTCCTGTCCCACTGCAGGGGCCTGAAGCATGTTTGGAAGTGGGACCTCCTGGGGACTGGCCACCAAGACTCATATGCAGCCTCCAAAGTTGATCAGGACAATCGGAAGTAAAGAGCAACTTAGCTCTCAAAGGAAGGAGCAGACATCTTAAAGACAAATAAGTAGAGCTTGGAGAGGGGCATGCAAAGTGCTTGGTGCAAGAGGGGAGGGGGGAGCTGTGCACTGAATGCAGGCTACACGGGTGGAGGGACACCTATGGGAACCTCCGGAGTGCTTTAAAAGATGCCCAATTCCTCAGCGAGTCAGCTTGGGACATGCTGGATGCTGCGGGGCTTCCCATCTCTGAGATGAAGAAGGCAAGACACTACAAGCATATAGCTACACCACATAATTAAAACAGCTTCAGGCCTGTTGAACTGACACTCTGTGGACCAAGGGATTTTGGAAACTGTAGTTCCATTAAACACCTACATCAGGGCTGAGGAATGGGTGACCCTCCAGATGTTTTTGGACTGCAACTCCCATCATCCCTCACAAATGGCTGGGGTTCATGGGAACTCCAGTCCAACATCTGAAAGACTACCAATTATCCCACTGCTGGTCTTATGTGGTCTTATCCCCCTCACAAAACAAAAATTGCCAGGATTCTAAGTGGGGGAAACACTATTGGAGCTTACCCTGTTTCGAATGGGTTTACATTTGCAACAGGGATGCACTTGGTAGTGGCAGCTAGAAAAGAGAGGAATGACTTCCTTTCTCTACCAAGGCCCAGCAGCCACTGAAGCATTACTCCAAGTCTCACTGGGACCCTGTAGAGGCCAGGCTGAGCCAGAACACAAAGGCCACTGTCTCATGGATTGTCTCTCTCATGCTGGTGGCGTCGCCTGACCAAGGGAGTCATCACTCGCTCTTTTTACTTGAGCGAGGACTAGGAAGAGTCCTGCTGCAGGAGCATCATTAGCTAGCGTGTTCTTGCAGCACTGCTGCTCCATCAGCACCCAAGCCCAGTTGAGCCCTTCGCCTACAACGGGGAAGAGACCATGTATCACAGTGCTGTTGCTCGGCCAGGTGGTGTGAGCACTTTCATACTGCTATCACTTCCTTCATCTGAGGAATTTCTCCAGCTAGAAGACAAAACAGATAGGGCAATCAGTGCTTCTGCCACTACGGCCCCTTTCCAGAAAATGGGTACTGGCATAAACCAGCCTTCCCTGATGTAGTGCACCCCAGAGTTTTTAGAGCTAAAAATTTCCAATGCTCCCATTAACCCCAGCCAAAATATCTAAAATATCTGGAGGGCAGCAGTTTGGGGAAGGCTGGCATAATGTTCATTCTTTCATGACATGCATACACTGCCCTGTGATCAGACAGACATAAGGAAAACTTTACCAAATCACAAATACCAATACACATGAAACCTAAAAAGGCAGCAGATTGAAAGTAGCTGAAGCAAACATCAACAAAATCAAGTTCATACTAAAAAGTTGCAGTTGGTGGAGCTCAAGGTTGTGAACAATGTGCTTGGCCAGGTTTGTGCAACCACCTCTGTGCTGAATCCTTGCCCCTCCTGTTTTACAAAAGCCAGCAAGGAAAGGACAACCAGCTGGACCAGGGAGAGGTGATTAAGCCTCCTTGTGAAAAGGAGTGGTCTCAGCTGCCTTAGAGAGCCAGTGGTGAGACCACTTCCCTTGACTTGGAAGGCCTTAATAACTTTATGTCAGTAGCAAATATTACTTTCCCTGGCAGGGTTCTAGAGACAGTGGTTGCCAGTCAATTCCAGGCACTCTTGGATGAGAATGATGATCTGGATCCATTTCAGTCTGAGTTCAGACCTGGCTTTGGCAAGGAAACAGCCCTGGTTGCCCTGTATGATGACCTGGCATGGGTTGCCCTGTATGCTGGGAGAGAGTGATCTTGTTGAGACTGCTGGACCTCTCAGTGACTTTTGATACCATCGACCATGGTATCCTACTGGAGTGACTGTCTGAGTTGGGAGTACTGCACTGCAGTGCTTCCACTTTTACTCGGAGGGCTGTCTCCAGAAGGTGATGCTTGAGGTATATTGTTCAGCTTCGTGGATTCTCCAGCATGGAGTTGCTCGGGTGTCTGTTCTATCTCCCATGCTATTTAACATCTACTTGAAACTGCTGGGGGTGGGGGTCATCTAGAGCTTTGGAGTGCATTGCCATCACACACAGTGGTGACACACAGTTCTACTTCTCCTTTTCACTGTCAGCAGGTGAGGCTGTGAATGTGCTAAATTGGTGCCTGGCTGTGGGCCAATAAACTGAAACTCAATCTAAGCAAGACTGAGATGCTTTCAGTGGGGGGTTCCTTTGGATGGAGGGTGTTCAAACTGTTCTAGATGGGGATGCACTCCCCCGAAACAGCAAGTTCATAGGTTGAGGGTTCTCCTTTATCCACCATTGTCACTTGAGGCCTTGAGAGCTCCTGATACCTCATACCAGCTTTGGCTGGTAGATACCTGTGCCCTTACCTGGACAGGGATGGCCTGGCTTCAGCAATCTATTTATTTATTAAAAGCTTTTCTTCCCAGTCCCCCACTAGTGTCTTGGGATGGCTTACAATAAAATGAGTAGAATAAAACAAAATACCACAGCATCCAACAATTGAAATATTAAAACCCCAAATGCTGGGAAAATAAAACAGGTTTTTGACTGACATCAACAAGAATAAAATATTGGCAACAGACAAACCTCTCTGGGGAGCATATTCCATAGTTGGGGCGCCACCACAGAGAAGGCCCTCCTTTGGGTCACCCTCCTAATCTCCTTCAAGGAGGACTCTCAGAGCAGGACCTCTGCCTCAGATCTCAAGGGGCAGGAGGGCACATAGGGAAGAAGGCGCTCCTTCAGGTATCTCAGACCCAAGCTGTTTAGGGCTTTATAGGTCATCACCAGCACATTAAATTGGGCCCGGACTTCACTGACAGCCAGTGTAACCAACAGTGGATTGGTGTTATATGTGAATACCTGCTGGTCCCCATTAACATAAATTCCTTTGAGAAAGCCACCTTTCAGTTACTTCCACACAGAGCAGAGGAGAGCAAGGCATGCAGGGTCACAGGTGGGAAAGTGTCCTGTGGTGGCCATGCTTGATCTCACTCCATCTTCTTTGACCATACTGGGATAGCAGTGGGGAGGAAAGCAGCAGAGGTAACTGCCTGCCCTACTGAGGTACTCACCTCACTCGCAACCAGATTGCGTTTGTAAAGAGCATCCTTGGCTGCCTCCTGCCAAAAAGGGAGGAAAAAAGGAAACAGCGATGAGGTGGACACCTGGGGTCAGAGTTCATCAGACAGGGTGCAATCCCTTTGACTCTTTTAAGCAGGCAACTAGGCAGCTGGAGCAGTGTAGCTCAAAGGCCTTCAAATGGAATCTCCCTCCTTATTATTTAAGAGTTGGGGTGAGGGCAGAAAAGAGGCTGGGCATCCTACCCGCTTTCCTTCACTGCCAAGGCGCCGTGCTGCCTCTGTATACAACTGCTGGTACCGCTCCAACTGGATCACGTACTCTGTGGAGTGAAGCGCAGACATGGTTAGAGAACCACTTCCGCTACTTCTCCTCACCTGTTCACCTTAAGCAGGAGTCTACCCTGCTTGCTGGGCAGGATGAGAGTTAGCAGTTAGCGGCTCGATCCAATAGAATGGGGTGGTGGGTTGGGAGAACCATTCACCTCCCTGACCACAAAATGGAGTTGTCCTGGAGTAAAGACTTCATGGCCAGGCTCTCTCATTGCAGTACCTTTCCTGACTGCAGGGCCTCCATGCTGAAGCTGGGACTTCTGCCACTGGATCATCCGTGTGATGTTCTGATGCTGCTCCACCAAATCACTGGGAATTCTTTGGCCAGCTTGCTTGCACACCATCATCTGCCAGCAAAGGGAAAAGGAGGTTTGTTTTTCCCCTCAAGCTAAGAGCAGGAGAGCCCTCAGGTATAAGAAGCAGACATTCTGGGAACAAGCGCGTGCACAGCTTTGTGTAAGCTTTGCTTCTGTGGCACTAGAGCATCTGTGAAGAACAATTCATCAGAATGGGTGGCTGAGAGAAAGACGCGGAAGCACTGGAGAGATGCTAGGCCACTTGAGCACTCTGGCTCTAAAGGAAGGCTGACTTGCCCACATGTCTTTCTTTTTCTCTTGGTGTGGCAAGACATCTACAAAACTATAGGAAAGGCAGTCAGGCTTCCTCTGCAGAAGGAAACTAAAAGCTAGATACATTTTCCCTAATTGTTAGCATAAAAAGTAGCTTCCAGAGGAGAAGCAGACACAAGTAGCCTGAAGAGGACTGAGCAGAAAGTAGATTTGGGTCTACTAGTAGGGCTCTGGGAGTCTGGCAGTGGATTGGAACAGATTCCTGGACTTCCTGTTGTGGCACCGACAAAATGACTCCTGTGCTGCCCTAAATTATACTTCTGAAACAAAGACATAGTAGGGTAATTAGGAGTGCTTTTTTTGTCTCTGGAAGGACTGCGAACAGAACAGTTCTGCTTGTCAAAAAAAAAAAAAAAAATCCTGGGCTCAGAATTCCTTAACTCTAAGCACAGGTCTGTTGGCTTTAATTGGTAGATCTCAGGATTCCAGCAACAAAGTAGACCCCATAAGCCTGAACTTGGCCCATCTCTGGCCTAAAGAGAGCAAAATAAAGAGATTATTTTAGTAGATTGACTACTTTTGCAACCAAGTTGAAATAAGAATGCCAAAAAGGGACCAAAAAGTTGGTTGTGTTGGGACAATTCTGTATTTCATGTCATTTGTAAATGAGAACAGCCACATGTTCCTGGAAAATTATTTTGTTCAAAGCTTGATTGTTCCTCCCTGCCACCCCTACTCACCCACCCCCACTCATGACTATAGAAAGGGTAACTTCCTGGTATTCATGATGACCTGCTCCAAAGATTCTGGGCAGCTGCTGCTGGTTTCTGCCAGAATTTTCCCTAGAGCATTTCACATTACTATTATGCCACTACCATAAACAGATATTACACCATGATCGTTAAATACACCTTCCTCTCCCAGCAAGCAGCTGTGGTGATTTTGTGGCAGCACTGCTGAGACTTTCATCTGCTGGCCCCCTCCTGACCGTTAAACCAGCTTTACTTTTGTAATGCAGATATTCCTAGCTAGTGTCATTCTTCAGTGCCTTCATTCAGCTCTGTACCAGTTTCTGTGTGTGCAGATGGAGATGCACAGTCAGGAGTTATTTTATTTACTGAATTTGTTTAAAAGCTGCCCACTAGCATCATGCTTTCTGGGTGGCCATTACAATAAGAAGTACCAGTAAAATATCATTAAATAAAACCAACACAATGTAAAATCTAAATAAAATAGAACAGGATAAAATCATATTATACATAATCAAATAAAAATGAAAATATGATTTATAAAAAATTGCAATTGGTCAAATAGTCTACCTAGCAGCATAGGCATGCTGAAAAAGGACGGTTTTTGCCAGGTACCCAAAACTCAGCAAGCTAAGCATCTGGTGACTTTCTCCTTACAGTCTCTCCCTTAACCTATTTATTTGTAGTTTTGCTCCTGAAGACTCCACTAGCTTGTTCTCTCCTAGGACACATGCCCCCACCCTGCTGTGATTGCCCAAACCCTATTTACATGAATACACTCACACACAAAACACATATTCCCTGCATGAAATGCCCTCACCTGTCCTGCAATTAGGCTTTTAAAATGTAAATGATTTTTAAAGTCTAGTTTAAAGCTTAAATGAAGTGCTGTGGGGCAGGGCCATCTTAACAGCTTTATGGGCCCCAGGCAAAGCAGAGTACTGGGGCCCCTAGGACAACTACAACTACTGTTGATTTTGCAAGTTTTCCCATTTTCCAAAGGTTAACATACACAGATTAGTATGGGGCCTATGGGCAACTGCCCATCAGGCCCATGCCTTAAGACGGCCCTGCTGTTGGGAAAGCAGGTTTTATCTCTGAGGCTGGTCAGAGACAGAAGAATGGGGAAAGAGGGGGTGGAGCCTGAGGAAGATAACAGGCTGAAAGGTGATGACACTGACTAATCTCCATTAGCAAATTGGTTCCCCATCTCAAATGTAGATGGAGAATACTGTCATTAACCACCACCATCATCACTACCACCAAGAACTGAATCACTGACCTTTTTCTCCAGCCTCTCCTTGTCAAAAACCAGAATGTTGAAGCTGTGCAGAGTGCAGACGGGTTTGCTGCAAGGCAAAGAAGATGCAGAATGGTCAACCCTGACAAGGGCAGTGACAGGCACACATTGCAGAGGCTGAGACAGAGGCTAATGACAACTTCCCCATCCTTGGAAAAATATGCACAAACTTTGAATGCAGAAAGCAGCCCCGGACAGCGTCATCCCCACACCTTGCACATCTTTTAAAAATCAAGTGCCTACCAAATGTGTACCCAAGCAATTAGTAGAGTCGGTGCCTGCCAAGGGCAAAGGATAAGAGCCTGCTGCAATGAAAAGATGGCAGGTCCCTTCTGTGGCAAGGACCAGAATTGGCAGCTGCCTAGTCCCCTTGTTTGGGACCAGAGACTGGGGGTGGCACTCAGGTGAAACCTCTGCTTGACAGCACTTGCTGCAGGTTTGTTCCAGTTTGTAGAGAAAGAGCAGCCAGACATGGATGCTGGGATGCTATACAATCATGTGGATTTTTGTACTGCTCTTCTGCTTTTTGCACTGTTGGCACAAAAGGCTCACTTCTTATTCCCTTGAAGGCCACAACACAGGTTTTACAAGACTACCGGTGAATTGGGAACAACCAGAAGAACACGGATCGATAGGGGAGCTGTGGAGTTGTGCTACTCATCTGGCACCCAACCTGGGACCAACAAATGTGCTGGTAAAATTGCCTTAGATGTGGCTAGATGACAGATCTTAGGCAAGAGGGAGAAAACACACACACGCACACACATGGAGGGAGGGTGGATGGAGTATCCCCTGGAGGAAGACACTACTTTAAATCAGATAATTCACATACGCCTTGCAGTCAAGAATTCTATTTTACACCCCAGAACAAGTTTCTCAACATGTTGCCCTACAGATGTGTTCACTACAACTACCAGTGTCCCCCAGCCATCATAGGTTACCCTAGCCTCACAGTCTGAAAGAGTTCCTTTTCTCTTTGGTCAAACTGGCTTTTCATGGCCTTCTAATAGGCAGTCTGAAAACTGAAAGCTGCATCCCTCCCTTCTCAACCAGCCTCTCTCAGTTCATCTCCCCTTTCAGGCTCTAACCACAAGAACAATGAAAATTATAAAGAGCCTCTGTGAGCCCCTAATTTTACTTTGCTCCTCCCTTATCACGAACTATCTCTCATCTCTACAAGAAATGCCAGACTGTATCACACCCAAACCCCATCCACCACAATTTCCTGTTTATTCTGGGTACAGCCAGCCAGATTGTACAAACATTCGCAAGCAAGGCCTGGTGGCTCTATCCCTCACTGTTGATCCCCAGTACCCAAGGCCTCTCTCTCTACTTCCCTGATCATAGTGAAGCTGTACTTTTGGGTTCTTAAAGCTAATTGCCATGATTATTTGAGAAGAGTCTCTACACAAAAGAAGGACTAAGGCAGTCAGCTGATGTGGGGCAAAAAGGCAGCAGAATGGGAGCTCTTTACTGATGCCACAACTTGCCTACCCAAACCAACTGGTACCACATGGCACAATCAATTGGAACAGCATCCCTATATTGGGGTGCATGAGAGAAAGCTCAGCAGTCTTCTGTGTTACTCAGTGTGAAGGGAGATGCTCTTTGGATTCTCTGGCTCAAGCATCAAACCATCTCAGGTGAGCTCCGGCTTAATAAAGCAGCGAGTAAAGTTGCACCTCCTCTTTGGAGGTTGCCAACATTTTGCCCCCCTGCCTTTCACCACTAAACCCTGGTTCCCAATGCAAGCATACAAAACTCTGCCTTCCCTAGTTGCCCTACATTTTTTTTTCTTGTCCAGAGCTGGCAGAAGCAAAACATTTCATGCCAGGGAGCATCCAGGGCCTGAGAGAAGGAAGTCCAATCAGAGCTGGCTTGGCTATAGCAGGGAGCAGATGGATGTTCTGGAAGGAAATTAGAAGAGACCATCAACAGCCACTGCAGTGCAAAGGATGCTGGGCTGGACAACTGCCTCTGTGCATGCCACCTAACCATCCATCCTGACCAACAGTGGACAACTTGTGACCTTCCAGAGGCTTGGGGCTACAAGCCTCATGGACCCCTCACTACTTGCTATACTGATTAGGGTTGATGGGAGTTGTAGGCTAAAACATCTAGAAGGCCACAAGCTGCTTATCCCTGTCTTAAACCATCTCACAAAATCCAGGTGTCTATACTGTGCAGGCTGCATGCATGACAGTGTTACCCAATAATGGCTAATGGAGAAAATGCCAGACAAGTCTGAGAGACCTGCTTGTGGGTTTCCCACTTGGTCCCTGGGAGGGCAGGTATTTTAAACTTTAGCTCCCATTAGCACTTGCCAGCATGGCCAATGGTCAGTAATACTAGGAGTTGTAGCCCAAAGCATCTGAAGGTTACCAGGGTGGGGAAGGCTGATAGGCTTTTGGTCTGATCCAGCACAGCTCTTATGTTCCATCTCAGCTACTGGACTTACTGGACTAATTCACATATCACAAGAAGTCATGGTGGTCTGTCATGTTGTCCAGACTGTCATGGCATTTCTGTGTAATACCTTTAGATTCTTGAAACCATGGGGAGAAGCAATGGTTTGTTCTAATATTTCCATATTTTATCATGGCTTCTTCAGTTCTTTGCTAAATTTTACCATTGCTGGCATGGAAATATCATAGAGTCTCTGCCCACAGCTCCCTAGCAACACATGCATCATCACTTACTTTATTCCTATTGGCCAAGCAATGTGCATATCTCCTTGTTTACTTTTGGAAACAAGAAGAAAGTAGGTAAATGCACAGAGGGAGAAGGGGAGAATCATAGCAAATATGATTATTTCATTTTAATTTTTAAAAAACCCTTTGGGGGCTGGTGTGGCTAAGAAGTATTGCAGAGATGCAGGAACCCAGGAGGGGAGAGAAAGAAACCCAGTGGACCAATCAGAACAAGGCTGCTGAGGTCCACAGGGTGCAGTAGCATAAAGAAGGAGGTTTTGCTCATAATGGCTGCCAGGAAGTATGGTGAGAGTAGGAGGACTGAGAGGGGAGCATGGAAACCCAGGGACCCATGTAATCACCTAACTGGTAAAATTATGTGGCCTTGAGCAAACCTCTAGACTTCCATCTTTAGTTCCCTATGCAAGGAAACCAAGGTTTAGATACAGAGAAAGTCTAGGCTTCGCTCACCCTGCAGACTAGCTTCAGGGTGCTGAGAGTCCTAGCCATTACTCTGAGGCACTAAAGACCTGATGCAATGGGGTATCTCAGCAGCATCAGAAGTATGGTCACACAAACTGCCCAATAAGAAAGCTACACTGCCACTTTTGTCAGCAACCTGGGCTACCTCAATACACAGCCTTGGTCAATGGGAATGATGCAGGGTGTCTAACTATGGCTGAAGGTGGTCTTCTCAGCAGGACTGCGGCTTTGATGAGGTCCTCCTTTCAGAAATATGGCACACAAATAGTCAGGAAATCAGAGTGGGAAACAGACAGATCTGATCCATGGGGCACAATCCACCAGGAAGGCCCTCTGCAGAAGCTCCAGGAAAAAAGAACCACTATCTTCTTATACAGCCCCATCCTTTTTATTTAAGGATTTATTCCCCACTTCTTTCTATGATCCCTCGTATTCAAGGCAGCTTACAAAGTAACATCTGTGGCGGTGGAGCTTCCATAGGGGAATCTCCTGGTGGATTGTGCCCCACAGGGCAACTTGCCCTAGCACCTGTTCTACCTCTCTTAATAACACCCAAAATTAACCTCCTGAAGTAGCCACGTACAGCATTATCAGCTGAGGCTCTGAGCCTTGCATTTTCCTTCTTGTGAGGATGGTGACGTAAAGAAGAACAAGGGAAAGAGCAGCAAGGACAGGATTTATGATTTTCCTACAGATCTTCATGTGCAGAACCCAGAGGACCTCAGCAAAAGCACAAAGAATACATACCTACTGCTCATATCCTTTACAGGAGCTACAGCTTGCTTGGGTTTAGGAAGTGCAACCTGCAGGAAGAAAGCAGAGATTGTTCTGACCTTGCATGTTTGGCAAGAAATGTCCACTCACATTCAAAGGATATCTTCCCTGTTTCCATAGAGGGAAAATAACACAGAGAGCCCAGGACACAACCAGAGTAATGGACCAGCTTAAAGAATTCTATGGCGATGCAGAATAGCTACCAAGGGCAGCTTTGCACAACACGCTCAGCCCAACTGCTGCTGCTTAGCCAAGAAGCCCCTTCCAACAGATGATCAGATGCTGCAATATGTGTAGCATGCACTGGGCAGTCCCTCCCCACTAGTCTTCCCACAGGAATTCAATGGGACACTGCAGGATAACCGAGGTTTCTGCTGTAGCTGCTTGGCAGTGGCATGAAAGGAAGTGCCGAACAGAGAGCACAGCCCTGTCCAGGAGGAGCAGCACACTCAGCAACACTGAGCAGCCACAACGTTGATCTGTGAGGCCCTCCTCTGCAGCAGCAGCACCACCACCAGATGGAGGAAGCTGGCGCAAGAGCCACCTGAGCCAATCCTTGCCACACAATGTGGCTGAGCTGAATGGGCTGGCAACTGCAGTGGGAGATGGGGGCAGGTGTGATTGGCTTGGCTACCTCATGAGTCAGCCAGGTTCCCCCACCCTGTGGTCCAAACAGTAACAACAGGCTGTATGTGGGTGCGCGTGTGCACACAGGGTGTGGGGGAGCTTCTTACAGCTGCCCCCAAATGCTGTTAGAGCACTTTGGGGATAGGTCTCAGAGGCACCTGCCCAACAGTCAGTTGGTTAGAGAGCCAACAATTTTTGTTGCTCTTGTTTGGGCTGTCCCTGGGCATGGCATGGGACTGTCATGTCGTCCAGGTTCAGTTGGCTTCTAAACCACACAGAACCTTATGACCTGGCAGGATGGCCAGGAGCTGTGTTTATACACTACCTCAAGTAAAGCCATGGCAGGTTCATACAACATGACAAGACCTCCCGGCTTAGAAGCTGAGGTGTGTTTGCTATCTTGTGTGAACCCAGGAAGAGGGACTGCCTGCAGAATTAACTGTCCCAGCAGCACCAGCGTTTGGATCAGGGCCAGAACTCTATGCAAAGTCCCATTCCTCTAGGCCTAGAGGGTGCTCCACAAGCAATGTTGAGTTCAGTGAACAGTCTCCAAAAAGCACAGGGCCAGTTGGCTCTTACCGGTGGCATTGTTAGGGGATCAATGACCAGCCACCTCTCTGTTGTTGATTCCAGCTGTTGAGAAGTCAGGGGCTCTCTGAGGCGGACAATGACTTCTAATTTGCCTCCTGTAGGGCGTCGACCATCCAAGAGCTAGATAAGGGAAAGATGAGGAGGAGGAAGCTCTAAGTATGGCAAAGCAACCCTAACCAAGAAGGCAGCAAAAAGCTCTAAGCAGCACCTCAGTCTCTCAGAGACTGAATCAGCCCCGCCATCAGTCCACACTGTTTCACGAGCATCAAGAAACAACTACACTTGTCCTGACAGCCCCAGAATAACTGAGAATTGAGCAGGAGATTGCTGTCATCTGTATGACCCTACAAATGGCAAAGCCAAGCCAGAGAAACTGCTCTCTTAAGGTATACAGGGAAACCAACTGAGGAGGCAGCTGGAGTAGTTTATATCCCCAACCCAAGCTAATTTAAGTCCCCAACCCACTTGTTCACAATCATCTATAGACTGCTTTACTAATAAAGTGCTCAAAGTGGCATACTGTTACTGTTAAATCAGTTAATGCTATTCAGAATCACAAGGAGACTTCAGGTACAGTAAAGGCTAACAAATTTATTTATTGTTATGTTTCCAGAGGAGCAGCTATGTTAATCTGCTAGCAAAAACAACAAAGAGTCTTTAATAAAAAAAAGAGTTATTTATTAAAAGATAACAACTTTCATAGCAGCATAAGCTTCCAAGGACTAGCCTTTAAAGGTGCCATAACTTGCCCACTTCAATACAGCAGATTAATACAGTTATTTGTCTGGAATGCAAAATCATAAAGTCTAACCAATACAAATATTTATATACTTCATTTTATTTGATAATTTCAGCAGCAGGGTTCTACAGCAGGTACCAGGATAATGCAGTCAATGAAAGGGACTGGTAGCCTTAGCTGGAGGAAAGGTTTCATAAATTAAGATGCCACCACTGAAAAGGCCCTCCCTTGTGCTTTGACTGAATCAACACATAAGGAGGCAAAGCCCAAGGGTCAAAAATCCATCTTGTTCAATATTCTGTTTACATAGTGGCTGAACAGCTACACACAGGAAATCCAGAAGCAGGACATGAGTGCAGCAATACCCTTCCACTCAGGTTCCCCAACTTTGTACAACTGTTGTACAAAGGCATACTATTGCTGATAGTAAAGGCTGGACTGGGATGATAGCCCTTGACTTTCTTATCCTCCATGAATTTGCCTAATCTTCTTTTAAAGTCTTCAAGTTGGTGGCCATCACTGCCTTGAGTGGCATTTTCTTTTGTGGCTGTTCAACCAAACAGCCACAAAAGAAAATCGAATCTTGTTGGGGCAAATTCTGTAGCTTAACCATGCACTGTTTGAAGAAACCTTTCCTTTTTACTGTCCTAGACCTACCAGTCAGCTCCATGGGATGACCTCAGGTTGTAGTCTGAGGTACTTTGAATTCAATGATAGCATCTGAGCTCAAAGCAAAATGTTTCAGTTCTGGTTCCCTCAGTCTGGCCATGGGGCCCCATTTTACATGCATACCATTCCTGAAACTTAAGGGGAAATTTTAGGCTTACCTCCAAGATCTCCCGAAGCTCACAAGCTGTCTCCAGAGCCTCCAGCTTCAGTTGTGCTGTCCCTACTACCCGGTCAGTTTTGAACAACCCTCTGGGGAGAAACAACAATATTAAACCACAAGCCTCACTCAGAGCTCCAAGTTCACTCTATTCTTACTTTCTTTTCAGTAAAATTACCATTTTGGCCTATTCAAAATAACACCACTGCACGGACTGCTGCGGCATTACAGAGAGTCACACCAGAATTCCCATTAAAAAAAAAAAAACAGAACAAAACTATTCATTGTTTGAAGGGCCTAATTCTATCCTAACTATGATTTGGATATTGTGAATCTGGGCTTCCCATTGCCCTCCTGTTTGTGTAGGCTGATATTCCAATACATCTCCCATCCCATAATAAGCATTGCAGGACATCAGGTCATGAAAGTCTGAGTTAGCGATAAACCTACCAGCAATATTCAAATCTAGTTCAGAATTGCATCTTGCTCACCCTTTGTGGACAACCTCAAACTTGATGCCTTTTGTTTGAATGGCTCTCTTGAGCCCACGGTGTCCCCGGTTTATAGACAGCTTGAATTTCTCCTGGAATTCTGCCAGAGGGGGAGAGAGAAAGCAAGCCATCAACAGGAGAGGATTTAAAAAAAAAATTCTTAACTGCCCAGAGAGTCTTAGTTACCAAGTGATGTAAGAATGAATGAAACCTTGTATTGCTTGAGGGACTGAGATCTTGGCAGAGTTTTTGTTGAGACTCTGCCTTCTAAGAGCCTGGGGGGCTCAAATCACTCCTGAACATGTGACATTGTTGACATGGTTCTACACTGGTTCTGTATGAGGTGGAGGGGGGCGCTGATGGACCATTCCATCTCAAGCTTTTCTGCACTACTTTATAAAATCTCATTACAGCACACAGATAACTTTGGTCATAATAGTACAAGACCACTATTTAGTACAAGACCACAATAGTACAATAGTACAAGACCATTATTTATTGCATTTCTATACCACCCAAGAGCTGAAATACTTTAGGTGGCTCACAAAATAAAATCTAATATAATGTAAAAAAACCTCAACCAAACAGCCACAAAAGAAAATAAAATCAACAACAGTGCAAAGATCTAAAAAGCATCAACATGTTTCTTTTTCATCTGAGGACCTAATGTCTGGGAAAATAAAAATGTACTTAGCAGGTGCCAAAAAGACCACAGCATGGGTAAGACATGGTGCCACCCCGATAAGGCTCGTGGCCATCCAACTAGCCTTATTTTCAAGGAAAACTTGGAGAAAGGCCACAGAAGATGACCTGAAAGTCTAGGCAGGTACAGATGGAAGGAGAGGCCTCTTCACGTAACCTGGCTCCAAGCTATTTAGAACTTCAAAGGTGAATATCAGCACTTTGAATTGGTCCTAGAAACAGACTGGCAGCAAATGCATTTCCCTGAATTACCCTTTCTTTGGCAACATTTCCTTCCAATTAGATGCCTGGGATATGAGAAAATATGCCAGGGAGGAAAGACCTCCATGACCAATCATGCAATAGAGTTACATTAACCAAATACATATCCATGCTTCAAAGTATTACATGAAATCTCACATTAAACACCTTCTTCTATATAGGGTGCAGGATTGTTCCTGCTAAACAACACAAGATGCTAAACAAATGAAGCATGTTGTTTGGTATTTTTTAACTGAGTCATACAAATGAGGAGAGAATTTTGAACCCTTCCCAATCATGTTCCAAGTTAAATTCATCCTGCCCAGCAGTGCACTGCTACTAGGCTTTGAAAAAAGTTTTAATTAGAATTCCAGCTGGGGAAAGAAGGGTTAAACCCCTCCTCCTTACATGCTGAAGTTCCTGTGAAAATTGCACACCCCTATTTTTTTTTTAATCTCAACATGCCTCCAAGTGTTAGCATCCTGTATAGTTTGGCTTGTGGGAACACAATAATTCAACCTTTCTCTGCAGTGTTCCCTAAAGTTCACACATAGGCATTTACCAGGAGAGTTGGAATTCTTGATCATGCTGGTTTTGTCTTTTTGAGCTTCCTCCTGCAGAGGCAGACATGTGGGTGAAACAATGAGAATCACACTCCCCTGAAAGCTGACTCCAGTATCTCAAAGTAGTCACCACTGCCGCCACTGCCCCCCTTCCAGATTCACACATTTACATTTTTTCTAAACATATATGTACATTGTTGTAAATAGGCCTCCCCAACTACATATGTCAATACAGCACTTGAAAGTCTCACTGCACATCTCCCTCGGTATCTGCCAAGGCCCGCTGCTCCTCCCAATGTTAAATTTTATTGTAATGTTATTTTTAATCTTATTATTTAATAGCATTAGCATTCTTCTAATATTTTTTCTTGGACATGAAGCATTCTAGGGAGGAGAGGGAGAAGAGCAGCTGGAGGCTGTTCTTCATTGTGTACAGCCACTTGAAAAATGGTGGATTGAGAGCAGGATGGGGAGAGCCCTGTTAAGCTTGAGGAACTAAGAAGCAGGTGGGAAGAGATGGGGATGCCTTGCCTCTTTTTCCCTTTGTGTTTTGGGGTGTGTGGCCTATGCATTCTTTTGTAAGCAAGTGCGTCTTTAACCATTACAATTTTCTCCTTTTTTTGAAATGAACCTCCATGCTCTACAGGGTCAAGCATGTGATTTGGTATCTGGGGCTCAAGTACAACCTCTGCACCCTTTGTGGTGCTGCCCACAACTGAGTTCCTAGGATATGCTAAGCTGGGGAGGGATGGCTCAGCATGTCCTATGAGCCCCTTTGCTTCCTTTTGGGTGGTTTACTGAAGGCAGGGTTCAGCCAAAAATTAGCAGAGTCCCTCAGCCAGAGCAGCAAAAAAGGGCTTCTGCTCTGGTTCAGGGCTCCAGCTAAGTACAGGCAGCAGCATGTCCAACTGGTACTTCATGCCTCTCTCACTGGCTTCCCTTGCCTTCCTGCTGATGCCAGAGGGAGCCTGGGTTTGCTTCTGCTCCTTACGAGCACAAGGCAAAGGTACTGGAGTTTACAGCAAGATGCAAGAACTATCTACTTTGTTTTGTTTACCGGACTGGAAGGAAGGCCAAAAGGCTGGATCCTGCCACTGCCACCACAGACACAAAGGCAGGCCAGCTCCTCACTCTGGGGGAGAAAGAGCCTCCTTCCCCCATCTCAGGCACTTCCTGGAGGCACTTCCTCCCACTGTCTCCCTTTGCCTACCCTGAACACCTCTGCCTTTCTGAGAAGAAGGTATACAGGAGAGGTGGTGTTGGTGCTAGTCCCTGCCCCATGCCACCTTCCCAAGCCCCACCTGGAATTTGGGAAGGGACACACAGAAGAGAGCAGCTGATGTGGTGTCCAGGAAAGACCCAGCCAAACATGCCTCCTCCTGGGAGGGCAACTTAGGAATGGGGACAGGAGGGGGGATTCTGCCCATCAGCGCCTCGTATGTGTGCAGGAAGCCCAGCATGTGGTGGCATGTTCCCCTTCCCACTGCAGCACGTAGCAGCAAGGCGGTGGGGAAGGAAAGGGCCTTCCCTTCCACACTGCTCAGCTGCGGCATGCAACAGGACTGCGCCCCCACCTCCAACCAGGAAGAACTTTACCAGCTGAGCTGGGGTGGGTAGGTGGCAGACGAGTGATGCGAAAGGTGACATGGGCCACCTCACGCTGGGTTTCGGAGCTGTGCCCGCTTCTTGCTGCTGTGCACCACAGCTGAACAGGAGGGAAGGAAGTGCTCCTTCTCACTGCTTGGACATGGAGCAGTTCAGCTGAGCAGGGGAAATGGGAGAGCAATCCACCTCGCACCAGGTTTTCAAACCCAGTGTTAGGCCACTTGTTGGTCATCTGTCCCTGCTCCCTGCTGCCAGTCCAGGCTCCCTGCTCTGTGCTCCTGGAGGTGCTGGGATGTCGGGAGCACTGGCACGATCTTCTGGCATTGGCAGACACAGGGTAGTAGATGACAGCTGCTGAGCATGGCCACTTCTGGCAGCCGTCATCCTGTTCCTTTCTATGTTCCACTGTGGGGCCCCTGGGATACCAGCTGGAGGACTGAGGAGGGAAGTGGGGGTGGAGGAGCTGGTCATTGCAGCTGTCCCCCATCCCCCCCGGCAACTTTAGGCCCAGGGGTGCAAACCCACCCAATGAGTTACTCCAATGCTGAGATGTGCCCACAGAGAGGCTCATATAGGTTGGGGATGTACAGCATGTACAAATTCTTTCCCTGCACATAAAAAGGTAATGTTAGAAGCTGCTTCAACTTACTGCACTGGGATAGGGGAACTCAAAGCGTACAAACGCATCTAGATCACTTGGGGACACGCCTGGGGAAGAAACAAGAACAGAAACAGGTCAATCAATAGTCAGGAAGCCATTCTGGTCAAGGAACTGAAGACAACACGGCAGTCCCCACAAGCACTCCCAGCATGGCAGGCGTACATGGACACCAAGCCACAAATGCCCTGGCTGTTCCATGAGGGCTGGTGTCTCAAACAGAGACCTGGTCATTCTTTGCATGGGATGCCTGTCAAACCAGCTCTCTCCAGAGAGTTTGGCATGCGCTGCTGGCCTTTATATGACTGTCTCTGTTTAAGGCGCATGAGTGGCAACAAGTCCAGTAGAGATACTTTCTGGAGAAAGGCAGCGACAGCAAAGCGCTGACTATCCCTTGTTAGTTTGAGTCAGAGTAGTTCCATTGCAAGGAATGGAAGTTACATTGAACTAACATCAGATTGTTCTTGGGAAATCCTTTTTGGAGTCAGTGCCTGCTTATAGCATAAAAGGCATAACAGGAAAGAAAAGCTTTTCAACAGAATTCAGGGATTCTCCTTTATGTTGCCGTTCCATCTCTCCACACAGAGCAGAATGGGGGAATTCCACAAAGTGCAGGTCAAGAGAAGGAAGATAAGTGAGGAAGGGAGAAGCCCCCTTCCCCCCACAACTGTCTGGTTCTTGTGCACTGCCATTCCCATTCTTGATAACTCTTTTATCTTGGGGGTTGGAGGTGCTCAGGAAGCACTGTTTCCTTTCACTGTTGCCTTGTCTGAGCACACAGATGGCTAAGGCAATTACAAAAGTGACAGGGAGTGCATACTCTTCACGGTCAGCTTCCCAGCACTGGCATTAAAATGAGTCAGGAGAAAGATGCCTTGTTTTCCTCCCACAGATTATTCTCATGGTTTGTACATATCAGCCGAGTTCATACAGTGGGAAACACTTGATTTCTCAATATATGTCTTTTCCCTCCTGCCCTCCCTCATGCACAAATGAAACACAGGCTCTTTCATTATTGTAGAAACAAAGGAATGGAGAAGGCATGAACCCTATCTTACTGAAACAATTTTGGAGGGAAGAGAAGAAATATTAGAACGATCTTGCCTGGAACAGCCTGAATGTCCCTCTATTTTTACTCCAGCAAGGGCCAGAGGGATGCTACAATGAAGCTCACAAGTGGAGCATGTTGGTAACAGCCTCCCTCTAATCTTTGTCCCCTGTATATCCTCACTTGTTCAGAAGTATATTGCCTTGAACAATGATGGACAACTGCCAGGAGCCAGTTCCAGCTCTCCCCCCTCATCCCGACTTATTTGCTGCCAAGAGGTGTGCCAGCAAAAAAGGGTTGATTTTTCCCTTTGCTGCACCAAAGAATTTCAGCATCACATTTTGACTTATGTTCATTAATTCAAGGAAAAAATAGCCGTTTTTGACTGCCATGCTTGCAGACCCTTAGTTCTGCTCCTCATGTGGCCACTCTGCCTAACTTATAGAAATGACTGTATAGGTAAGGCTCTCTCTGCCCACATTCTCAAAGACACAAACCCTGGCATGTTTTACCTGGTGGAGCTGGCAGGTTGATTCCTTTCACTATATAAAGAACCATGTCATTGCTGTTTAATTCTGGAAAGATCCTGAAAGGAAATGCAGGGTGGGAGGACAAGTTGCAGTCAACATCTGCACCAAATGCTCAAAAGCGGGGCCAAAGCAACACCTGCAAGCTCTGTTTGGATATGACTGTCAACTTTAGATATGGCCTGGCATTTGCTCAGGTGTACTTAGGGCATGACATACAAGTCCCAAAGAGAAATTTAACAATGCATGGAACTTCTCTCTGACTCATGTAAGTGCATGTACAGAGTCTGAACATTTAACTTTCCTTTGCAAATCAAATGGAAGACAAAACATCTTACAACAGCTGCTCACCTTCTTCATCCAGTAATGCCAAGGATGGGCAACTTGTGGCCCCCCAGATATTTTGGCCTACAACCCACCTTATTGTTAATTCGCTGCCTTGGGCTGCTGAGTTATAGGCTATGCTCTCTCCTGACCAGCACCACTGCCTAATGTTTGGATCCTTCTCCTGTAACACGCTGAGCTCCTTAAGCAATAACCATGAAAAGCGGTGCCTCTTTTCCCCCCACTTCAGCCTAGGTGTCATTCCTGCTTCCTGCTGGGGTTACAAGTGAACCTCAAAATGTGTCAGAACTCTTACACAGATTTTGGTTTGCTGTTTTGGATTGTTATCACTTTTATCATTGTGACTCTAAAATAAACAGCCTCTACACAAGTGAAGCCTGAAGCACCTTCCTATGACTACGAAGGAGGATGGGAGAGCATTTGATATCCAGAAGAGAGAAAACTGCAAGGACACTGCAAAATGGCTCACACACTTGATTACATTGAAGGTTCGCTGCTCATAATGATATTTAGGCAGTGGAAATCCCTTGGAATGGGCTTGTTTCAGGATCTCCATGTTCTTTTTGCAGTCCTCAGCCATCTTCTCAAACCTGCAGCAGGGAAGACCAAACAGGCATGTCATTTAGAAGTTGATCCAATGGCCTCCGGAGTGCTATGTCTCAGATTATAATAACTATGATAATTATAATGATTGTTACATTCATACTCCCACCTTTTCTACTTGCAAAGAACCTTCTCCATTTCATTCTCACAACAATCCCATGGGGTGTTATGCAGATAAACTGCATTAAATTGCACTAAAGATAGGACATTTAGAAGTAAATAGCTAACACCAGTCCTTATTCCCAGGCCTACAGAGAAACAGCTGGAAATGCCCCCACCTCACCCCCATGTGCTATTTGGAGTTGACAAATGCCTCAGCAAAGAAGATGGCCTTATCTTGGTGCCTTTAGAGACAGGGAGCTTATTCAGATCAAGCCACTGATGTCAAGACACGTAGACAAGGGTGGATTGGCCAACTGGGCAAGCTGATATCCCATCTATGCCTGGGGGCCCTGGCACAGGAGATCTGCTGGGGACCCACATCCTAACTGGACAGCCCTGTCAAGCAGAGGCAGGAGCAAGATGGCACAAGTCACTTGAGCTGGCCTGCCTAAGAACTTCAACTGTCTCCACAGGATTTAGTGGGCATGTGGTAGTGATGGGACAGGCAAAGAAAGACACTTCGTCTCCAGCACAAGGTAGACCTCGAAGTTTGTGAGATGTGATAGAGGACAAGGCTGTTGAGGGCTACTGATGTCTATGACCTCCAGTATGACCCTCAGACTAAATGTCAGGGAACAGAAGTGTTATTGTGCTCATGCCCTGCTCAGTTTGGAGAACAGGGTGGGAATTGAAAAAAAGGAATCTTCAATGCAAGGCTTCCATCAGGACTGATTATGGATTTCATCACGCAGTGGCAACAACAAATTACACCACAAACTGAGTAATAAAAACCTAAGAAGAGCTGTGCTGGATGAGATTAGTAGTCCATCTGTTCCAGCATTGTGTTCACACAATGGTGAACTAGCTGCCAGTGGGAAACCCACAGGCAGGACACGAGTGCTACTGCAGCCTCCCATGCATGTTCTCCAGGAACTGGTGCCCATATGCATATTGCCTTCAGGTGTGGCAATCAGGAATAGTAGCCACAGATGGCCTTCTCCTTCAGGAATCTGTCCAATTCTCTTTCCAAAGCTGTCCAAACTGGTAGCCAGCACTTCAGTGAATTCCGTAATTTAACTATCTATCATGTAATACTGTAACTGCGCAACAAATGTGCCATACTCTAGAAACTATGACTGGAAATGGACCTTCAGAAGGGAGAAAGAATAATGGAGATAGATGTTGTAATCTGTCATTGCAAAAGATTATTTCCTTTCCTTGTTATCTTTGATTTTTTGCATACTTTGCTTTTGTTTGTTTTCCATAACTCAATCACTGCCTTATCAAGCTCCTGAGAGAAAAGCTAAATGCAGAAAAACTAAGGAAGACCAGCACAGAGGGTATTCTGGTCAAGACAGCATATACACGTATCAGTACAGAGGGGGAAGGAAAGCATATCCGTAAAGTCACTGGTGTGCTTACTTGGCAGTTTCCGCGATGTTCCCTAAATGGGTGAACTTCTTAGAGTAATCCATACACATCTGGAACAAAAAAAAGAAGACACATGAGAAGCAGGCAGGCAAATAACAATCCTGGCTTACTTTCATAGTTCATGTACCTTCCCAGTGAACTCCTTCAGGCCAAGCTCACATTCCTCCCCTTAATAAGCCAAACTGTTATGTAAGCACCAGTCCTTATATGGGCAGAGTATGCAGCTTCTCTTCTCATGGCACTCAGAAGTCATACACATTTCCCTGGAGATGACTCATCCATCTGTTCATTTTTCACTTAATACTTGGGGTGGCTGGAGGGGCCCTATCCTGACCCACACATGTGCTTCATATCCACAGTGGACACTCCTGCTCGGTCTCAGAAATGACCACATTTTGGAAGCGGGGGGGGGGGGGTATGGAGAGACACACAGGTGGCCCAGTGCAGCTTGGCACAGCTGAACTAGTTCTGTTTGGGTAGGAGGGATCTTTATGCCACCTAATTGTCATCTCCCGAGCCTGGTACACAAATGAGGGTGCACTGGAGTGAAATGAATTATTCCCAGCCTTCCCCCAAACCCATCTCAACCCTCTGCTAAGACCAAGAAACCTGGAGCCCACGATACCAAGAAGGAGAAATGTGGAATGCTAAGTTCCACAGTCTCAGACACTGACACTGAAAGAAAAGCAACTTGTTCAAGAACCTAATACAAGGCAGAGGTGTAAGCCTGAGTTCCAAAATAGAAAGCTACTTTTCTGAATCCAAATAGAGATGGAGCCGAAGGGTGTTACTTTGCTTGGCAGCATGCCTGCCTCCCTTGGGGAGCAGAGGGAGAAGGTTATGCATTTTTTAAAAATATATATATTTTAAAAATAGGAGGGTCAGGAGCTTTGTGAGCACCAAGAGAAGTTTCAGCCTGACACTGTGCTCACAAACACCATGTTGGATACCCCAAAACTAGAATGAACAGGATTTAGACCACAACTGGTAGGTTCAGGGAAGTAATTACTGGAAGTTATCCACTGGGAATAGGCACTTGTCTCATCTATTTATTGGAATAGCCCTACCTGAGAAATTTCACTACCATGTTCTAAGGTCATTTAACCCAATGAGGGGTTCAGGCAACTGGGAGCTTTGTGAACACCTGCTCAAACCACAGGATCTTATCCATTCTTATCATATCAATTTTAAAAACTGCAAGCTGTTACTCTGGGCAATTTCCCCTTAACCATCAATCACTCTCATTTTCAAATGAATACCTGCCTTAATCATCTTCTAAACATGCCCTTTTACGTTGAGCTCTTTTTTTTAGTTTATTGCTCTGCTTCCCATTTTTACTTTAAAAACCACTGAATACTTAGCACTGTACCCAAAAGAAGCAATTCCTTCTTCTCACTCTTCCCACTCAATCATATCCTATTAAATATTCTTTGGAAGTGTAAAGGGGTAAAAGGCCAAGCATGGATCTGTTCCATTTATATCAGGGCCTCATTTGCTCAGGGATTCTTACTCCCTATCAGTTGGCTTAACTGCCTTTTTTACTTCAGCTTGTAGTCTCAAACTCTTTTTTACCTCAGTTTATAACAAAAAACAGTCAAGCAGAGGAAAAGTGCTTGAAGTATGTTTATATTTTCATTCCACACAGCTCTTGTGATACAATTACCCACACATCGCTTTAATGGGGGGCACAGGTTAGCAACGTGCATGGCTTCCTGTCACCATATCAAGTTCGACCCTCTGAAGTTGCTGGATCAGATCTTGGTCAATCAAGTCCAGCAACCTGTTTTAAACACTGATCAACCAAATGTTTCCAGAAAGCCCACCAACAGAAGGCCACAACCCTCACCCATTATTTCTCCATGATCTGGCAGGAATGACCCCAGTGATTCTAAAAATATTGGTTTTGATGCAGAACCAACTCACTGCAATCCTAGTATACCTCAGCTTACATCTGAAGGCTTTCCCAGGAGGAACCCTATATTCTGCTGAGCTGCTGGGCCGGTTGATCGAAAGGTCGACAGTTCGAATCTGCACACAGGATGAGCTCCCATGCGTCATCCCAGCTCCTGCCAACCTTGCAGTTCGAAAGCATACAAATGCAAGTAGATATAAGGGTACTACTTTGATGGGAAGGTAACAGCATGCTGTGCACTTTGGTGTTGTCATGCTGGCCACATGACCGTGGAGACTGTCTGCAGACAAACACTAGCTCCCTCAGCTAGGAAATGGAGATGAGCAGACATGACTGGACTTTAATGTCATGGGGAAACCTTTTATCCTCTCCTCTATCCCCACACATCCTCACCAGGAGAAGCTACAACATCTGTAACACACGCCTGTGCTCCACTACCTCATGCTGCTGCCTCATCAGTTTCACAAGCTCAGCATACTGAGCAGCTGTTTCTGGGGAAATCTTGGTTCCACGAAGTTGCACCAGTGTGAAGTCCTCCTTGTTCACGGGGGCCTGAGGCACCTGGAAGGGAGAAGAGGGGAAGGAAATAAAGTATCAGAATTAACTTCAGAATGGGACCTGCTTGCCTCCATGCACAAACACAAGTTACCACAGGGATAACAGCACCTGTGCTGCACTTAAAAACAGAGTCGTACTTTTAGTCTATTTTAGAAAACATCTGTGGAATCTTCACCTCTCAGCACACAACACTGGGGGGAGTGGGGGGAGGCTCAGAGGGAACACCCATAAGCTGCCTAAATCAGCTGCCCCACTTCCAGAGAAGAGGCTTCAGTAGGGTGTCCTTGGCTAGCAGGTCCAAGAAGGGGACTGCAGCAGGCTTCCACTTGGCCCAGACCAAACAGTCAGACATGAGAACTCTTTCCCAGCTCTCATTTATTTTAATGAAAACTGCTCAGATAGCCTTGCTCATGGATCAGGGCTGCCTCCCCTTCCACCGCTCTTGAGGATCTCCTGAATCAGCCTCATAGTAAGGCTGGCTCTGAGAGAGGTTCTCTGTATCATCAAGACAAGACTTCAAGCAACCAGGACCCTGATCTATCTCCCCATTACAAGAGAGCACACCCACAACAGCAGGCAGCCTCCTTACCTTAGTGATGTCAACAGGGAGCCCATTCTGCGACGCCTCAATCATGGGGTCCAGACCTTTGGCCTGGCGCAAGAACAGCTTGGCTCCCTCAATGTCATTTTGCTGCTTGGCTCGGAGAGCTGCCTGCATCAGTTGCTTCTTTCGACTTTCTAGGAAGTTCAGTTGCTGCTGGGCTGCAGAGAGGAAAGGGTAAAGAGAGGAGGCCTGCTGTATCTCTTTCAGAGTCTCCTGCATGCAGGTAACAAGGAGGTTCCAAATGGATAAGGAATGTGCACTGTACCTTTCAGTGCATTAACTCAGTCATGAGTATAACAGGGGCCTTTAATAGGAATGGGCTGGCTTGAGGATGCTGTGAGTTGCAGACATACAACCATCAGTGTGAGGTTGGAGAAAGCTGCTGTAGAACCAGGGATGGGGGATGCAGGTACCTCAAGACAGCACCAATTAGCTCAGGGATTCGTTCAGAAACACCTGATACATTGTCACCCACACTGATCTTGCTACTGTTTGGTCTAGACAGGGTCACAGTGAGATCAATGTCACCCAAAAGGATATGCATGCCTGATGCTGGAAACAAACACACATACCATCTGAGAAGTCAGTATTTGTATTCACTTTGATTGCTGACAGCCACATCTGCATACATTAAAAAGGACACCACTAAAGCTTTTCCCCATTAGCTTAATAGCGGTATGCAGCTAGAGAGCGATCCCCCAAATATCACCTCCTGCAATGGCTATTCCATCTGGTTATTACATAACAGTATGCTAGAACTGGTAGCTGGATTTCCTTATTTTCCATGTCCCCTTTTGAGTCACATTTCCTAATAGGGCAAGCTATTGTTCTGGAGTAGAAACTACATTTATATTAGCATTTCAATAATATTTACAAGGACAGCAAATGAATAAACACATAAAAGAGAAGGGCAAGCACCTTTCGCAATGACCTTGGAGGCACTTTTACCAGGTGTTGCTAGCTTTGCAGCTGCAGGCACGGCTCGTGGGCTTGGCTGGGGCAGCAGTTTAGGCTGCAGTGAGCTGACTGGTTTGGATGGTGGTGGGCAGAGGTCAGGCTGAAAAACATGAGAAGTGACAAACCAGGATCTATTTTATAACTTATCTTTTTCTAAGAAATGATACACAGGGCAACTAATAATATGCAGATTAAAAGCAAAATTAAAACATAAACCTAATCCATTAGAGCACTAAAGTACAACAATAAAAAAAACAGACAGCCAGTTAAAATGCTCTTCAGCAGAAGGCCAGCATATACTCCAAAGGTCTGTTTGAATAAAAATGTCTTTGATTGCAAGCAGCAGATCAACAAAGAGGGAGCCAGCTTGGCCTCCATTGGCAGGGAGTCCCACTGGCAGCCTGAGAATGACCACCAAGAAGTCCCCTCTCACATCTCCTCTAGACAGGCTTCTGAAGAGCACAGGACCAAGAGAACAGCCTCCCCAGATCTTAAGCCTTGGCAGACCTGTATGGGAAAAGCTGGTCCTTCAGATAGCCTGGTTCCAAGTTGTATAGAGCCTGAAAGGTCATAATCAAACATTTGAATTGTGCCCAGAAACAGAACAATAATCAGTGAAGCTGTTGGAACAGGGAGTTGACTCTATCAGTGATGTGATATTCAGTTTTAAAGTCTAGATGGTATAACCTGCATCTAAACTGAAACCATCACCAATACAGGTATTTAAGATGGACTGAGTATTTGCAAGGGAGGATAACAACATGCTTATATTCAGTCTTCCACATTTGCGAGGGTTAAAGGGACAGGACCCCCACAAAACTTTTAAAAAAAAACATTAATATCTCTAAGCCATCCCCACAAGCCTTAACGCTTAATACTGTTGATGATACATGCTTCTCCCTCTCTCTTTCAGACCTTGGTCTGATCCAGCAGGACTTCCACAGGAGCTGGTTGAGGCCCCACTGGTGAGGGTGTTCAAGGATAGACTGGACATGCACATGGTGGACATGTCGTGAGCAAAGTTGGCTGGAGCCGGGGGTCAGACTAGATGGCCCCCGAGGCCACTTCTGTCTCACTCTGTTTCTATGTTTCCTCTTCTTCATTTCTTACATTCTTATGTTCTTGTTCCTCGCCCTCCCTTTCACTCAGCAGTGCCTCCTCTTTGCATCAAGGAAATGCCACAGATATTTCCCTCTCTGGATGGGTGGGGCAGACAGCATTCTTTGGAAGCCCTCCTTCACTCTGCTTTTGTTTCCCTTCTCTATAAGGTGATGACGATTTTTCAAAGTAGCCACAAAACTCCAAAAGCCAATCCCAAACTGGCAAACTTGTGAAGGGAAAACAAAGGGTCACATTTAGCTGGCTATTAAGCCATGCTAAAATTTGTAGAACTGTGCTTTTTATAAGAGCAATGGTGAACTTATTTTTATTTTTTTCAAGATTTTATTGCTTTAAATTTTTGTAGACTGCCCTGATGCCTGTCTAGCAAATAAACTAGAACAACATCTGTGAACCTGTGGAGAACTTGAAGAAGTTGATTAAAGTCGTGTAATTGTGAGCTTCTTCACCCCTGAAGAAGGTGAGAATACTGAAGAGGAAAAATAATTCCCTGGTTCTCCTAATCTACACGTTATTCTTCCAGCTGCTCTACAGTTTCCTTTATAGGGCAGAAATTAGATATTCCCATATTCTGACACATGGCAAGCCACCCATGCGTATTTGCAAGGCTTCCCACATGTACATTTAGGCTCCCAACTCGCAGATAAGCCAACCTGTTTTGCCACCTCAGCATCTTCATCTTCTTCCCTGGCTAGTTTCATTGCTGTTTCAAGGATCCCTGCAAAACTTTGATCTCCTGGAGAAGATTCCATTCCTTGGATGGGAGGGAAACCTGCCAAAGAGGACAAGAAACCACAACTAACTAGTGGACTTGTGACTCTTTCAAAGGAGGAGGAGGCTGTAGCTACTTAATGTCCAAGCTCTTGAGCCTTTTGGCTTGGCTCCTTAGAGTGCAATCCAATTCACACTTAGACAAAAAAGGAGCCTTTCTCACTAAACACGCACAGGATTGTGCCTTTAGTCTCCTACGCACACATTTTTAGCCATTATGACTGCACAGAAATGCTCAAAACAGGCAGTACCTGTTGAAAACTTTGAAACTAGGAGGGAAGTTGAATAGGAGGAGATTCATTGTCCATAGTTCCTTTCTCCCTTAGCAGAAATAGGATACATTATGTAAACTGAGAGTGTGAATATTTTAGGGACCATTGGTGGTTGTTTCCCCACATGAATTAATGCAGAGCACAAGGAAATGTAGCAAGTGTAGGAAATGTCCACTCTGCCACCTCATCCTACTGCATGAATGGACCACAGATTTAGGCTAGACAACAGGAAGAATTTCCTCACTGGCAATGTAGCACGACAATGGACCTATTACCTGGGGAAGTTGTGGGCTCTCCTTCACTACAGACATTCAAAAAGCATGAAGAGAGTAATCTAAATGAGATGGTATAACTTAGCAGCAGGGGGTTGAACCCCCTGTCCCCTTCTGCCCCCTTCCAACTCTGCTATTCTATGATTTTATTAGGGGACAGCTGAAATCTGAAAACATTCTGAAGAAATCCAAAGCAAGCACCCAAACCACCAAAATTAATGTGAGAATTAAATATTATATATACCTGGGGGAATAGGTAGGTCAGCCAACTCAACAGGTTTTCCTGCCTTGTGAGCTCTGATGGCATCTTGATATTGCTGGCAGTAGTGAAAAAACAGAAAATGGTGATGTAAAAAATTGGAATTTGCAGAACAGGATTTGGTAAAAGCCACTTTTGCTGGGCTGATCAGAGCAAAGAAAATATACAAATGCATACTTGCTCAGCTTATTGTCAAGAACATTATTAATGAAAGCAGTTGTGTTTAACCATTATTATGAATTGCTGTTTGGAACTTCGCAGTATACAGTGTGCCTGTATATTCACCAAAGGACTGGCCTGTGAGTGGTAGCCACTTGGCTGAACAGGCCACGTAAATCCATATCCATAGCTTGCTCACCTGCTTCGGCACTGTAAGCAGAATCAGTCCAGCTTTACCTCTTATAAGTTTGTCTTGTTTTGCATTTTGATACTTTTATTTACTGTTGATTCTTTCAGCACCACTTGTGCTTTAAAGGTATGTTTAAAGGTATGCTTTCAACACTTTCATCTTCAAGCATTGCCATGTTTTAGTTACGAGCAAATTGCACATTTGCCATCCTTTGATGCTACTAATAGAAGTTATTGACAGAGTTTGTGCAGTCTGGTCTTAAGTCAATCAAGAATCCTGCTTTTGAACCACAAGGGAACACTTAAAAAACCCAGACAGCTGGTCATAAGGCCAGAAGCAGACGTGTCTTTGGCTTTAGCTTGGCCTGCCCTTGCTGCAACAAACAATGCCAAATGAGCATGCCCTGAGATGCCAAGGCATGTGGTGATGACATATAAAAGTTTTAAATAAATAAACATTAACAAAGACTCTTCTGCCCCACTGCAGTCTTAGATAGAGGGAAAACAGACTCTTCGATTTTTAATATGGAATAGCCTCCAAAGCAGGCCTGGGGTTCCAATGCATCCCACCCAAGCTCTCCCAAAAGCCATACCCCCTGCCCTTGACTTCATCCCCTTTCTGTCAAGCAGGGATTGTGTGGTGTCTTCCTTTCTTTTGTGCAATTTTTCCCATTGCAAAAGGGTAAAATGCCTCCCCGAAGGCTGTGTTACTGGAAGTAAGAATTTTGAGCTACAGGATGCTGGCCTCTTTTTGGTAATTTTGGTCTAGTCCTTTTACCTTCAACCTCCCTCTACTAGAATGCCCCCACACCTGGTGCTTCTCTGAAATGTAATTCAGCCCCCACCCCTAATTTAAATAATTGTATCAAAGTATTTTGAGGCAGCTCCATGGCTGAGCAAGCCAACAGATTTTTCACTGGATTTTTCATGCAAGTACCAGTGGAAATCAAAATATTTTCCTGTAGTGCTCCAGACTGAAATGTGACTTTTCAGCAGGCAGATTCTACAGACTCAAAGCAGAAGGGTCAGCAGAACATATGAACTTATGACTGATGTGCTTGCAGCCCATGAGGATTTCTCAGGCCAAATATACTTTTTTCCCAAAGCAACGCCAAGTATTGATGCCAGTATCGATCTCAAACACATGGACAATAACTGTAACTCCATATTTTATTTCACTTTCCATATTCACCAGCTTCTATCCATAAAACATTTATCAATGTGAGATTCCAGTATATATTCAGTTAGTGAATCTTAGGATTCTACTGGAACTCTTTGTAGGAAAGAAATAGGAAAATTCAAATCAACATACTTCCCAACTACTCTGAACATAGTTATGTTGGGGCAATATCAAAAATGTTAGAGCACCTACCTGTCCCAAAGTGTACCTTGAGATCTGTTCTGTGTGTTTGAGCAGAAAGAGTCGGAAGCAAACACATGAAAGAAGAGGCAGGGACTTCTAGTTACAATGGGCTAGGACCTCACCTTCACAATCCGTTCATGCATCCTGGCCTTCCTGTCATCACCTTTGCTCTTTGCCTGTGCTGCTGCTGTCTTGTACTTGTCCATCCTCTGCTGCAGTGCCTCCATCAGATCTCGAGGGGGTGGGGGTGTATCTGGAAACAAATAATATCATTCAGTGTGACCTTTTCCTTTACTGAGCAAGGCACCCTAAAAGGGACCTAGAAACAAGTATGAGACCAGCAGAGGTACTGCTGATAGCTTCTCTGGCATAGGTCCAAAGCCTTAGACCAAGGAGAAGACAACCTGGTACCTTCCTACCACTCTGAAATGTAACTCCAATTCTGGTGCCAGGGATTCTGGGGTTCATAGAAATTGTAGTCTAAAATGTTTGCAGGCTACCAGGTTGCCTGCTCTTACCCCATACTGTGCCTTCAAAAATGTTGCTTCTGTCATTGAGGTGGTACACCCAAGTATGGGTTGCACCACTTTTGACTGCGAAAGAGGGCTTCTTGCTACAAATACTCTTCCATATGAAAAGAGATTATCTCCAAACAGAAAACCAGCTGCCAAGGAGAACTTTTCTCCCTGACACACTAGTTATCTAAGCAGGAAGCCCAGTTTCATCTTGCAAATTTTAATCAAGAAAGCACCACACCTTGGCAGCTTTTGCTCAGGCCAGACAATGTATTTCTAGTAATGTATGTAGCTTATTCTGAGTTTCACAGCTTTCTTCTCCACGTCCTGTCTGAAATCTCCTAAAGCTGAGATGCACAATCCAGTCACATTCCATTCACATGGACACAGTCGCATGAACCACAGAAATTAACAAAAGTGCCCAATTGCTTGCTTATAGGTTCAAGCTCCTAACTTCATTGGCCTCGTTTGTCCATTCTCACTGGGATTGGCCTTTCTACCCAGCTAATGGAAATACACATTTGCTGTCTGAGCAAACTTCTACATTAGGAAGTACCTCTTTTTCCACTTCATGGATCACTGCCTTGTCGTGGTGAAGGGGCTTGTGTAGCTCAATGAAGCTATAAGCTATGCCATGCAGGGGCATCCAAGAAAGACAGGTCATAGCAGAGAGCTCTAACAAAAGGTGATCCATTGGAGAAGGAAATGGCAACCCACTCCAGTACCCTTGCCATGATAACTCCATGGACAGTACCAAAAGGCAAAAATATATGATGCCAGAAGATGAACCCCTCAGGTCGGAAGGTGTCCAATGTGCTACTGGGGAAGAGCAGAGGGGTAGTACTAGTAGCACCAGAAAAAATGAAGCGACTGGATCAACGCCGAAAGGACACTCAGTTGTGGATGTATCTGGAGGTGAAAGGAAAGTCTGATTCTGTAAACATCTATACTCCACAGGAGATCAACCCTGACTGCTCTTTAGAAGGCCAGACGCTGAAGATGAAACTCAAATACTTTGGCCACCTAATGAGAAGGAAGGGCTCACTGGAGAAGAGCCTAATGCTGGGAACAATTGAAGGCAAAAGAAGAAGGGGATGGCAGAGGATGAGGTGGCTAGATGGAGTCACTGAAGCAGTCGGTGTGAGCTTAGGTGGACTCTGGGGGATGGTGGAGGACAGGAAGGCCTGGAGAAATATTGTCCATGGGGTAGCGATAGATCAGACAGGACTTCAAAACTAGCAACAACAACAAGAGATGTTTAGTTTTCGACAACTGGAGTTTTGGGTGCTAGTGTGACATAAAGGTATTAATTTTCAAGATGGCTCAGGACATTTTTATATTATTTCCTGTAACTCTCAGATGAAGCAAGGTGGGTTGGAATTTTGCAACATTTACTTAAATATTTTGTTTTCATTTCCTAATCCTTCAATGCACATATTTTGCTGATTCTTTAAATGACTATGCTGTTACATGTTTATAGTAGACATTTACATCTAAAGGTAACTACATCTACAATCCGGAATATGCAGGGAACATATTCCGCTGAATATAGTGTGCAGTACATCATGGAGGGAGTAAACATGCATCATACTCTTAAAACTACTGGCCTCCAGATATGCTGGACTACAATTCCTCTAATTCCCAGCCAACATGGCCAATGTTTCTGGAGTGCACCAGGTTGGGTAAGATTGATGAATAGGATTGTTGCTAACCTACCCAGCCACACACAGCCTGGCATAACTCAGATGCTAGGAATCTTTCCTTTTAACAGGGGATTCCTTTCTATTTGTGTCTAAATGTTTAACAAGTCTTTGAGATTCATCCTGTGGGTCCCCAACACTTAGTTTTAAGAAATGGTCCAGTGGCAATTTCTTTCCAATTCCCACATTAAGGAGCTTCCCTGGGAATTCCCACAGTCATGGGTGAACTTGTGTTTTCCACTGGATATATTCATGCATGCATTACAGTGCTTTATTTTATAGCTTCTCTTCTGTGATTCTTTGGTGATTTTATAGTGGATATGTTTTTATGTTGCTAGCTGCTTTGGGTTAATGTGTGAAAGAAATAGCAGGATAGAAAGATTATTTATAAATGAAAGATACAACCCAGGCTCAGGTTTACTAACTCTGTGGGGCTGTTAACGACCACAAAGTTACCTTTATTACCTTGCATTCTATGTTCACATATTTGAGAGGCAAGTAGTCATGAATAGTGTCCGTGTGCGTCCATCTTTCCTGGGGCTTGGAACCAATCCCAGTAAGCAGACCCTTTTGCCTGTGTTGCCTGCCTCTCCCCATTGACAGGAACACTGCCCTGCAAGTGTTCTCAGCCAGCTACTACTTGTTTTTCCTGCTGCTCTGCAGAGCCCGTCTACTGATTAGGGTAACATGGGGGCTCCATAAGCACAGCAGATCAGCAACCAGTCAGGCACACCCTGTGCAGCTGCCCCCACAGTCTCTGCTGCTAAGGGTGCTCCCTGTTCTCCCTCCCGGTGCACACTCTGATGCCTGGCCACTGTGCTGCTGCCATATCCACTGCCTGGCCAATTAACCCCTTTACAGGCTGAGCACCCAACTACCCACTTCCTGGCACTTCACATGCCACTTGGCCAATTCACCAAGATGTGCTCCTTTCATGGCAGCACCAGGCTGTTCTCTCGCAAGAGCCTGCCTCTCTCGTGTGGTTTGCAGGATGGGGACGTGTTCCTGCCTCTCACAAGGTCTCCATGTCCATGCTTCTTGCAAGAGCAGGGACATGGGGACAGTGCACAAGAGCTGATCTCACGGAGACAGCCATTGCTAGGTGAAGAGGGCAGCAGAAAATGGTGGCTGAAGCAGCTGTGGTTACTTTTGCTGCCAAACTTGCTGGCCAAAATGGGGAAACTGAGGAAAAACACTGTAAGCAGCTTCACATTTCGTGTAAGCAGCTTCATGACATGCGGGGTCCCCCAGGGCTCTGTCCTGGGGCCGATCCTGTTTAATCTTTTCATCAATGACATGGAAGAAGGGGTGAACAGTCTGCTGATCAAATTCGCAGGCAATACTAAAATGGGGCAGTGGCCACAACTGAGCAGCAGGTACTCCAGATCCAAAAGGATCTGGACAGACTGTGGAAGTGGGCAGGAGACAACAGGATGACATTCAATGTGGGTAAGTGCAAGGTCCTGCACTTGGGGCATAGGTATGGGTGTCATAAGTACAGGTTAGGGGACAAGTGGCTGGAGAGCAGCACTTGTGAAAGGGACCTTGGGGTGCTGGTTGACTGCAGGCTGAACATGAGTCAGCAGTGTGATGCGGTGGTTAAGAGGGCGAATGCCACCCTTGGTTGCATAGCCAGAAGTGTGGCTTCTAGATCAAGAGAGGTATTACTACCACTCTATACGACTCTGGTGCGCCTGCAACTGGAGTATTGTGTTCAGTTTTGGGGCCCTCATTACAGGAAGACTATAGCCAGGTTAGAGTCAGTGCAGCGTAGGGCCACAAGGTTGGTGGCTGGTTTGCAGGGGATGCCGTATGAGGCAAGACTGAGGGAACTGGGTCTCTCCAGCCTGGAGAAGAGGAGACTCAGAGGGGATCTGTTGGCGACATACAGGTATGTGAGGGGATGTCACACAGAGGTGGGTAGAGACCTGTTCTCCCCTGCAGAGTTGGGCAAGACGTGCTCTAACGGAGCAAAGCTCAGGGAAGCAAGGTTCCATTTAGATACCAGGAAGCACTTCCTGACAGTTAGGACCCCGAGGGTATGGAATGGGCTTCCACGGGATCTGGCTGAGACCCCATCGGTGAGGGTGTTCAAAGATAGGCTGGACATGCACATAGTGGCCATGTCGTGAGCGGAGCCGGGGGTCAGACTAGATGGCCTGGGAAGTCCCTTCTGACACGCTCTGTTTCTATGTTTCACATATAATAAGAAGCAATATTGAAATGTGAAAACCTTAGAACAAACAGTTGGTTCTTTGTAGTGATTCATGGTAACAAAACATATCACATTTCACCAGATGTCTGGTATTCACACATAAGGACAAGCTATGTCCTCCATGGCTTGTTGTGATGTGTGAATACAGCCAGAGAGAACCAGGCCTTTGACACAAAAGACCTACTAGGACCAGGTTGTACCATGGAGAGGGCGGGTGTGTTTTCAGGAAAACCTGTAAGTGAAGCACAGCAGAAAAGGAATGTAGCAATTCACATACCACATCTCAGATCTATATCAATTTGAACTGCAGGCTCTGCACAGCAAAGAAGCATCTTGAAGACACAGCAGAAGCAAGGAAACACTCTGGAGATCCTACCTCTTGTATTTGAGACCCCTGCTGCTTGAGTGGTCACAGCCTGGATAGGGGGCTTTGCTGTTGCTACAGGGGGCTGTTGAACCCCTGGGGATGACAGTATCTCCTGGGGCAGCTGATCTGTGGAAGACAGACAGTTGGCTAAAGCATGACAATAAGCTTATTCCTAAAAGGTTGGCAACTCCCCACTAAAACCTGTTCCCTAACCAATTTGCATATTTCATTGGAATTGGTGGGATGTTTTCTACAAAACCAGAATTCTAAGTTGTCTTCCCGCAGCACAACATCCCAAGTACCTACAGCTTTTGTTCCCTCAGTGCAACATAGCTGAATAACTAGGCACATTTAGCCGCCATTATCAATATGTAATTCTCAATGGGTTTACCATGTATTATCCAAACACAGCCACCATGTGTTAAAGGTTAAAGAACTTTTGCATAACCTTGGTTGTAGGAACCCATGGTGAGCTTTGTGTGCTGTGCATATTGGTTGTAAGTGTGTCGAGCAATTATTTGCACAATGCCTGTTTCACTGCAGTTGCACCAGAACTGCATAGCAGGAGGAAAGCAGTCTCACCCCTGCCATGAGCCAGGGGAGACAAAGGGCAACTGCTGTTTGTGCCTGTGCATGTATGCACATGTATGCACACAGATGCACCTGTTTTCCTAACTATCTATAGTTGCAATGTATCGTTAGTGATCACAAATTCATTTGGACAAAAAGTCTTTCTAGAAAAATAAATCTCTGACCTAGGAAGGCATTTCTGGGTTCATTCCTCCAAGCACAAGCAAAGGTTATTCTTACCCCCCAGCACACATCATAACAAGACTCAGTAGCGCACTAAGTATTTCCCACAAGTAGACTCAACTTAATTCCTATCAACCATGAGCTAAAAACAAGTATTTTTCCTAGCCAAGAACTCAGAATAACATGGACCAGGAATTTGTACCAGGAAAGATGGGTTTTTTACACGCAACTGTCATACTCAGAGTGGTTATATGTGGGACAGCACAGAGATTACAAAAAGCCACCAAATATCTAACCTTTTTAAAGTGTTACAAGCCTCCTATATACACACAGATAAGCCAGCCCTCCCAACCTGGTGCCTTCCAGATGTGTTGGCCTACAGCACCATCAGGCTGTCCATATTGGCTGGGGGATGCTGACAGCTAGAACCTGGAGGACCCCAGAATGGGGAAGGCTGAAATAAGCCATTATAATCCTAGATGACTACCAGTGTGTGCTAGCATTTCATGTTAAATTCATGACCAGAACAATGCAGAGAAGACGCTACTTGTACTACTGTAATATTTTACACTGTGTAAGCCATCCTGAGCGCTTGTCGGAAGGATGGGATATAAATGTTTATAATATATTTATTTATTTAAAATATTTATATGCCATCCTGTTGCAAAAGCCTCAGGATGGCTTACATAAATAAAATAACATAAAATATAACATGAATAAATTACTGACCCACACTGGCTGCAGTTAAAAACATATAGGAGACAATATTAAAACTTATTAAAATATTGCTGAAATAAAAAGGTCTTAACCTTAAATAAAGGTTAAATAAATAAATACTCAGAATTTAGTGAAACTTACTACCAGGAAAGTGTGTGTAACATTGCAATCCTCAGTTATCTTTGGAAGAATTTGGCTTCCTGAAGGCTACGGAGCAGTTACTGGCCACACATCAACATTTCTGCATCTGGCTACACTTTCAGGTAGTTAGACAGAGATTCTGTATTAGGACAGAACTTGGTGTTCTCCACTCATACTGGACTACAACTCCCAGCCTCCCCCAGCTACCTATGGATTAGGGAACTAATCAATGAACCTTCACTTTTCAACTAGAGCACTGAACTGGCACAGCATCTCACTGAAGAAGAGACTGGATGCTCACAGACTCTGTCCCTTTTGCGCAGGATCCCCACCCAACCTGCTTCCTTAGGAAGTTGTACGTCTCGCCTCCATTTCTGTTTGCTAGTGAAGCTCACGCTCAGGGCCTACTAAGGCCAAGTCAACCAAGTTCTCAACCACCCGCACCTGGAGGTGGAGGCAGAAGGCTGAGATCCACGGTCTCTCCTTTACTTGCAGATGTTAAAAGAGGGTCCAAGCTCTGAAAAACATGGACAGACAAGTTACGTGCTTGCTATTCTCTCATCTTTGCACTGGAAATCCAAACAATTTAAACAGCAAACCTTCATAATGAAGCTGCAGATGGAAAAGAAAGGCAAACAGTGACTAACTGGTCAACACTGCTGGTCTTGCCTAGAGTAGCTGCAGAACAACAGGCAATGTGGCAGCCAGAGCAGATACTTTACATCCTGCCTGTCATTTCCTGCACCCCAAATGCCTCCCTCTAGCCTGCTGTTTCCCATGGTACTGCAACACAGGCATTCTGAAACCCAGCCAAGGGTATTACTGGAAAACATGGTGGCGGAGTTAATGCTTTGATCACCTTTTCCATAGCAAATCATCCCCCTCACCTCCTGTTTTGCAGCTGTTCAGTGGAAATCTGCAGCTGAATGGACAGCCCTGACCCAATTTCTTTTCTTCCTCCTTCTTAACTGCATAAATGCATTTGTGGACAGATAAAACACAATGCCTAAATATCTGGATTCCAAGCCTTCAGTAGACCCAATACTTTTCCTAAGAGATTGGGAGTCAGAAACTGGCTCCTATAGCCATATTTAATAACCCAAACTCCCTCTTACAGCCTCCCTCTGAAATGCCAGAAACCACAACAGGCAAGTATTTATTATAATTCGTTTCATTTCTATACTGCCCTACTGCCAAACCTCTACTACATGGTTCACAACAATGCATAAAAACAAAACAAAGACAAATCTCATATAAATGTTATTTAAAATGAATTTAAAATAGCTAAAATATTCAGTAAAAATGACCTGCAAAAGGCAAATTAAATCACCTGGGATGGGTAATCCCCACAGACCCCTGGGCAGCCAAGTATGTCTTTAAAAGCTTTAGCTATCTTACCCCGGTGCTGAAAAGATGACAACTTTGGTGCAGGGCTGGCTGCAGTGGGAAAATTCTTGGTTTGGGGGAGGGGGGGAAGATACAGAAAAAGTCCTTCCTGTAGTTGTCACCCTCTGAGTCTCCCTTGGAGTTGGCACTCAGAGGAACACCCAGAGGTTGAGCACAGTGTCCAAGCATCTGGCAGAGGCACCCTGACAGATACTGTGATCACAGGCCATTTGTGGTGTTATAGGTAAAACCAGCAGCTTGAATAGAGACTGAAAGCACACAGGCAGCTAGCGTAAGTGGGCCAGAACTGGTCTTGTGTGTTCAGACATATGGATCCCAGGTATTAATCTGGCTGTGGCATTCCACATGAGCTGCAGCTTCTGAGGCACCTTCAAGGGCAGCCCCACATAGAATTCACTGCTGTAATCTAATTTAGAGATTACCAGAGTATAGAATACTGAAGTCAGGCTATCCCTGACCAGATAGGCGCACAGCTGGGCCACCAGCCAAAGCTGGTAGAATGCACTCCATGCCTTAAGTGGCAACAGAGGATCAAAGAGAACCCTCAAACTATGAACCTGCTCCTTCAGGGAGAGTGAAGCCCCATCTAGAACAGGTTGAACACTCTCCCGCCAGTTAAAGAAACAACCCACCAACAGCATCTTGGTCTTGTCTGGATTATCTCAACATAGATCATCATAAAGGGAAATCCAGGCTATTTCCTTGCCAAAGCCAGGTCTGAACCCACACTGAAATGGATCCGGATAATCAGTTTCATCCAGGAGAGCCTCAAGTTAATTGGCAACCAGTCTCTCCAGTATCTTGCCCAGGAAAGCAATTTTTGCTACCAGTCTAAAGTTATTAAGATCTTCCAGGTCAAGGAAGACTTTGATCAAAAATGGTCTCACTACCACCTCTTTCAGGAGGCATGGGATCACTCCCTCTTGCAAGGAGGCACTAATCACCTCCATGGTCCAGTTGGTTGTTCCTTCCTTGCTGGCTTTTATAAAATCCAGGTAATGCAAGGATGCAGAGCAGAGGTGGTTGAATTAGCCAGGCCAAGTGCATAGTCCACATACAAAAGCTGTTCCAACTGAAACTTATCCAATAAAGCTGGACCAGGTTGTGCTTCAGATAACTCCTCAGAGTCAGCCACTTTAACTCTGCAGTCTAACTCCTGGTGGATGCAAGAGATTTTTTTCCTGAAAGTGCCCAGCAAATAAATTACAGTGGGCCTCAGATGATGTTTCTAAGATGCCCTTGTAGCTAGCATATACCAGCTCCTGTACAATCCTAGAAAGATACACCAGGTAGCAAATGGAAGATTGTACAGAGGCACTGGGAAGTTCTCTCTCTGCTGTCTTCACTGCCTCTAAATATACCCAGTTGTAGGCACACATCAGAGTTCAACTGCATGCATCTGCTGCAATTTTTCCTCCTACACTAAAGCCTTCACCTATGGTTCTTTCACTGTCCTCAGCTCTACAGTATATCATGGAGTCATGTGAGCTCCACAACAGAGAAGGTGCTTAGGAGCCATATCAGCCGCCCAGGTAATTTCAACCAGAACTTCACAGGACCAGCCATATCAGCCAGGAAGCCCCCAGAACCCTCAGGAAGCCATCCAGATCCACTAGCCTCTTAATCCTTGCAGAGGGGAAAAGCCATTGTCAGTCTAATCTCAGCAGATGGTTATCTGTCCATGACAAAGATGTTAAATCAAAGTCCCTTGCACTTTTAGAGGGACACACCAGAAACACAGTGCCAGCAAAAAAGGGAGGACAAAAGGAAAAATGAAGGGGCAAATACTTTTTTTTTTTTTAAACTTGAAAAAAAAGACAATTTCTTTGGTGATTCTCATCTTGCCATTCAAGTCTGTCTCTCATCACTACTTGCCAAAAGTACTGCAGGAACACACTTACCTTGGCTATGCGGTAATATCTGGTAGCCATTTCAATGCTTCCTTCCTGTTTAGCCTGCAGTGCTGCCAGCTTGTATTCCCGTTGCCTTGCTTGCAGGGCCACCTGAGCATTGGGACTTTTGGTATCTGAGGAAGAGCAGAGAAATGGCCATTTGCACCTTCTCATCAATCAAAGAGAGCTGACGAAAGGGAACTTTTATTTTGGTTTTATGTCCTATGAGATGTCTTATTCCCTGCCATCTGCTTTGAACTGCAGGCCACCATAGCATATCATGGACTGCTTTTGAAACTACCATCACTTTCAAAAATGACTTCCCACAAGGAGCCACCATTATAGGAACACACAAGTATGAATTGGTGTGGGGGTGCCTAAAGCAAGTCAAGGTATTCTGTGGTTCCTAGCCATTTACCCAAATAGTAATTTTAATAGAGTGTTTCATTTGGATTTATGTCATGCCCTTAATCCAAAAAACCCTATTTTTGAAGTGTGTTAAACCTAATTACATCCAATCAAGAATGATCAAAGACAATTTATATTAAAGATGCAAAGGTTTATGGGAAAATGGTGGTGGGGGAGAACAGAAAATGTTTTTTCCTCAAAAATTTTCAGAAATCCCTGAAAAATCATGTTCTTTTTACACTTTTTCTGTTACCTTCACATTTTTCCAGGCCTTTACATCTCTAATTCCTATTCAGGTTAGGTGTGCAGAAATAAAATAATGCTGATTTTGCATCTATGATGCATTTTATTCTTATTTTCATTTTTACAAAAACTCTCCCTCTTCCTAGTCAACAAACAGGAATCATAACATTGTGAAACAACCCTAGCATAAGCCATGGTTTGTTTTAGGATCATGTGAGGTTTAACACTTGTATAGCCCACATTTGCTGAGTTCACAGAACATGACAACACATGAGTGGGAGCTGCACTGTGTTATCCAAAGTCAGTCAGTCAGTCTCTCTCACACACACACAGAAAAATGTTTCACACAGCTGAAAATGTTAGTACAAACCCAAAGAAGGAGATGGTGTCAACCAGGCAGATCTTGTCTGCAGTGCCTCTGAGGACCCAAGCTGCACAGGAGGAGCTGGAGAAATTTTTGGCTTTGGAAGGACTGGTGATGGCAGCTTGGGGGATAGTTCAGAGGCAGGTGAAGACATAACCAGTGGTTTCTTGGGAGCTGCAGAAGCAGGCTCTGGAGGAAGGTGGTTGGGTAATGCAGCACTTCTGTCAAGTGCAGAAGCAGACAAATCTGGTGCCACCTCTGAAGGACAGGTCTGCTGAGAAGGTGCATTCTTTCCTGTAGCTACTGGGGGAGGAATTTCATCTTCATCAATTTTTTTGCCCTTCTTTACAGAGGTTAACATGTTTTCCAGGGTCTGGAAAGTGGGGGAAAAAGAAAACTAGTTTGTGCAGTCACAGCATGTTTCAAAACCTTAACACAAACTAGTCCAGACTCTCCCAGCCTGATCTTCTCCAGTTATGTTGGACTATAACTCCCAACTCCTCTGAGACAGCATAGCTGAATGCTGCCAGGTCCAACACTCTAACCTAGGTTTCTCTAACTGGGTGTCCTTCAGACAGCAACTCCCACTAGGTTGGTTGGGGATGTTGGGAGTGCAGTCCAACACACATGAGGACTGATCAAACAACTCCATCCCAGCAGCTCCCCCAAATCACTATTTAAAGGACACTGCCACATGAATTGGAGGTTAGTGAGTCCATGCAATACTATATCAAAATGTGAAGGAGTATCAGGACCTTTTTATCCCCTCACTTCCCCATTCCCAACACCAAACCAGAAGAGGGGGGGGGGGGGCAGTGGAGCTGTTAGGCACAGAAGTGGACCATGCTCCATCAGATACCGTACTGAGGATTAATGGTGGATTTGGCTGTCTGGTTTTGCAGCCTGGTCATTCCAGTCCTTTTAAAAAATAAGTCTTTTTAAAGCCCTTCCTCCTTAATTTTTTCTACATAATCCACAAAAGGGCCATGGCACACCGGTAGAATACCTGCTCTGCACATAGGAGGTCCCAGGGTCAATCTCCAGCATCTCAAGGGAAGGCTGAAAAACTTTTGCCTGAAACTCAGAGTCTGTGCCACTTAATTTCGGCAATGCTGGCCTGGATGGACCAGGGGATCTGACTTGGAACAAGGCAGCTTTCTAAGTTCCTATAAAGATCTGCCCCCCCCAGCCCCCCTCCCAATTAAGCAAGTATGTTCCAGTGACTGTTATGTAGCTTACCTTAAGACCTCTTTCATAGCGGCGCACTTTGGAGCTTTCCCCAGCTTGCTTTGCATTGGCAATGGCATCCTTGTACATGGCTAGTCTTTCAAGCAAAATGGATTCAGTGCTGCTGGAATCAGTGGGGGCATCGTTTGTCTGGCAAAGCACAAAACAGGGACTGCTTTTCAAACCAAAAAGAAATGAACAAAAAACACTAGTCCTTACTGATGTTTCTCAGATGTGCATCTCTTATACCACTTGCACATTTGAGTCCTGACCCAAAAGTCCAAGGTAGGCAACCTCTAGGTGTTGCTGGACTACAACTCTCAGCATGCTGGCTGTAGCTCATAGACACTGCAGTCCAAAACATCTGGAGGGCACCAAATGAGTCTAGGGAATATCCGTGTCCCTCTGCTCTCCTACCATAGTGCCTACCTGTGTTTGCGGGACAAACTGAGACAGCCAGCTGGAATTAGTCTGTTTTTTAAAGGAAAAGAAACCACGTGCTCTCAAAAGTAGAAGGATCAAAAGTAGAAACATTAGTGTCAAAACTGTGCTCTCCTCTTCCTGGCTTCATAATTATTATGACCCTATGTTGCAGGACTACTGGAAGGACTATAGAAAAAGCAGTCCTGTGTTCCCAAGACAGTACCTGAGGGGTGTGAGGGGGGGAATCAGATATTTTGGATTCCCAGATCTGAGGTCAGGGACAGCAACTTCAGAGCATCCCCACTCACAGATGAGACAAAAAGAAGCATGACAGCTGCCCCTTGAGGTTTGGAAAGCCACCTCAGAGAAAGGTAAAAGGAAATACAGCGGGGTGGGGACTGGAGAGGCTGGGATATGAGTGATCCTGTGCCTCACCCATACCTTCCGTTCTCCATCTGAAAGATGAGCAGAAAGGCCTATCTAGTGAATATGCAGAGCAGGAAGACAGCCAGGCAATGACCACATCTGATCTCTTCCCACTCTGCACAGCATGACCAAAAGCCTTTGAGTTTGGGGGCTTATGGGCTTCACAGTAGGATGGCGCCCTGTGAGGGGGACAGGCTCATGATTAGCATTTATATATTGCCTGAGGGAGAATGCTTCACAGCAACAGTAACTATTCTGCTGTTGCTTTAGCACTTGTCTGTTACAGATATTTCCATATTATAGATATGTAGAGATGAGGCTGAACAATAGTGGGCTGTCTAAGGCAGGGGTGGAAAGCCTCCAGACATTGTTTGACTACAAGTCCCATCATCCCACTCACTGACCATGCTGCCTGGAAGTTCAACAAAATCTAGTAGGCTACAGGTTTCACTGACCCTGGGTGAAGGCCATCCAGTGAGTTCATAACTGAGGCATGGCCTGAACCAAAGACTTCCCAAATCCCACTCTGACAAAAGATATGAAGGGAAACTTCCTAACTGGCTTTCCTTGCCACTGTTCCCTGGCATTTACTGAGAACAGGCTGCAAATGGCCAGGGCTTCTGAAAGCCTTACCCCAGAGATCCTGTGGAATCTCTTAGTGTCAACCCCCGACACATAAAGAAAACCCAATTTCCCCTCACCAGTATTCAGTGCAGCTGAATGAACTGGCCACAAAGAAGGCAAGAGCAAGTGGGAATACAAGTGCTCACCTTTGCAAGAGCAGGCACTGGGGCATCCTTGGCTTCATCATCTTCCTCAAGCACTTCATTGAGTTCTGCCTGCAGAAGAGGAAAATGATACTTGTTATGCATTCTAATTTTAAGATTCACCCCACAGAATGCTACTGTTTTACTTCAGGGCTATCAAGTGATCCAAAGCACAGCAAGTTTTTTAGATGTAGACCTCTCAGAAAAGTATTAATTGAACCTTCTGCAATTGATTGCCCTCCAGAAGTGCTGGACTTCAATTCCCATCATTCCCAGCAAGATTGCTTCCCCTCCTCCATATTGTGCATTGCAAATTAATGGTGCCATCACCTCTCTCCTCTCCCAGTGAAAAAGAAGTAAAGCCAGGCAGTATTCACCGCCTTTGTGCTTGCGGTATCCTTGAACTGCCAACAATTATCCCCTCACTGCCTCAGACTTTCACCACCTTCTTAACTTTAACATACACAGCCCACTGCAATCTGAAAATCAATAAGTGGCGGCAAAGGGAAAGGTCAGGGGCCAAAATGCCAGCATGTCGCAGCATTCAGCTCTTACTGCTGGTACCTAAACCTTAGGAGAGGCACCAAATAATCAGTGGTTGGGGAAAGAGGTATGGCCTTCTGGGAAATCCCAGAGGGATGCACTGGGGATGCAGAGGACAAGATTTGGCCCCAGGGCTTGAGGTTTTGCACCCCCATACTAAAGGATATCATGGCTGCTAAATAAATGTCTTAATAGTGCAACATAGTCACAGTAAACTACCAGAACCCAAAACATTTTTACCAGCAGTTCAGCATCATCTTCCAAATCTTCCTCTCCTTCCTCATCCTCTTCATCGAGATCCTTCATGCAAGAAGCAGCCATTCTTTCAATAGCTTCCATTGGCAAAGGAGCTGAAAAGAGGCAGAAATCATTACACATCACACACAGTCAGGCCTGGATCAGTCCAAAGAGATTCAAAGGTTATTCTGCAATGTTTGCAGATTCTCAGCAGAAAGAAAATGAAGCGATGTTTGCAAAGCCAGTGAAAAGCAGGTGGCAAACTTATGTCAGGACAAGTAAGAACTCAGGAGAGTTCCATTTGTTTGAAGTGCTTAGGACCCAAGTAGATTTTATTATCACAGACCTGAATGTAGTTGCAAATGTCTCCTACTTTAGGCTCAAAATTACACTGGCAGGGCTAGGAGTAGATCCATTCCTATTTGTGTGTAGTAAGGTCGTGTACTAAGGTCCCAGGATATATGCACGTGCTACAGGTCAAGGGGAGCTAGTTGCTGGAGCACTGGCCTGGCCCTGAACACAGCAGATGGTTCTCTCTTCCACTGCACTTGTCCCAAAAGCAGGGAAGGAAGAGGCTACCAGTGCTGTTTGCCCAAAACATCCCATTAGTGAAGAGCAGAGACCATGGTGGGGGATAAACAGAACAGGGACTCAGTCTCAAAAGATGCCCTTTGGTCAGGTGAGAAAAAGACACTTTGGAGCAGAGAAACTCAGATCTCAGAGTCCAAGAAAGCAGAAAGGTGAAGGGCAAGAGAAGTCCATAGGAGAGCAACTGGTTGGGGAAAGAGATTTGCAAAGGTCCTAGGCATGGAGCCCCCCGTCCACACACACATACACACACAGAGCTCACCTTTCTAGTCACTGTCTCAAGCAACAACCTACGACAAAGGGCTCAAGACCACTTACTTTTTCCATTTGGTTTCCTTTTTGCATCTGGTTGGCCTCCAACAATAGCCAGAAGCTCAGCCTCCAGTTCATGATCATCTTCCCCATTGCCCGCCATCATGCTTTCTGGAGAAAAATCCATCAGCAAGTTCATCTACAGGGAACAAGATACAACTCAGTGATGAAAACTGGTAGAGCTGTGGTTGTTAATGATACCAGTCCTTGCTTCACAGCTATCTTTCTATGATGATCTTACTGTAAATTAGTAGCTGTTCTTCACAGACACACTGTTGAAATTTAGAGAAGAAAAAAGTACCAGTCTCAGCCTCTGCCCTAGTTGGGGAAGCCAGTTTTTATTCCTAAATCATATAACAAGTATAAAAGTTGCGATTATAAAAAGAGTTCTTATTTAGTTTGTTTCACCCTGATATTGATGAATTTATTTGTATTTGATGTTTTCTTGTTTTAAATCTCTGCTGTGAGCAGCTTTGACCAACGAACAAACAAATAAGATCTCATGTATTTTATTTAACTCTCAATGAGCAACAGAGATGACCAAAAGGATACAGCTGAGTGCAGTGACATTGTATTCTATACCTTGAGGAAACCCTTAAGACATTGAACTGCTTTCCAAGGAACTCCTGAGTGGCAGCCACAGAATGTAAGCAAGAATGGTAGACGGGCTGTCTTTCAGGAAAACTTGTCAGTCCTTACTGGTTTCCCCATGGAGGTACCCCAACAAGCTTCCAAAGAACAGGGTTTGAGAAAAAAATTGATTTAGTGAATGAAAGTGATTCGATCAAATCAATCTGAATGAAAGTGACAAAACAAATTAATCTACATGATCAAACCCTAACAGTGCAAAAAAAAAAAAAAAAATGGAATGTTGTAACAGGAACTCCTCTACTACCAATGTTACCTATGCAAGAAAGGAGCAATATATGACCATCTGCTGAAAAAGTGGAAGGGCATGGTTTGCATCAGGTTCCCCCCACACCTGGTTCCTTTCATTGACTAGGGGTGCTGGGAGCTGTCATCCAACACATCAAGAGATCACTAGGCTAAAGGAAGATGCTTTTTGTCTTCAGCACATGCAAAAAGCAAGCAAATGGTGCCGTCTTCTTGCAGTGGCACAAAGTGATTCAGCTTAGACTCCTTCAAAACCTTCATTAAATGTAGCTTTGTAAAGCAAGAACTTAGAAGTACCATCTGCATTCATAACAGTGCAAGTCCCAGCTCCAGTGGCAATAGATGGAAGTCAGGATGAAATCTCACCCCAGTGGAAATTCTAGAATTTATTTTCCTGTAATAGGAATAGCATTTCCTCATTGCCTACAGATGTCATTGCTCAGACCTATTTAAATAATGCATGTGTTAGGATTAGAGACTCTAGAGAAACTTGCCCAGTTTGGCTTTGCGTATGACCTTTGGGAGCTTGTAACGCTTGTCTACTAGAAGAAGTGAGCTTTATTAGTCCCAAAACATGACTCTAATTAAAATCCAAGTTGACAAAGAATGTTTGCCTTACCCACCTAACCAGTCTGATCACACCCAATTGCTTAGCAGTTTCCTGATTCTTGTGCAGTTTTTCCCCATTCTAAAAGGTTGCATTTTTATTTTGGTTTAGTTTTGTATTATTGCATCTACATTTCACCATTTTTCTCCTCTTGAAAGAAATCAAAGATAGCCTACACAGTCTTCCTCTCCTTCATTTTATCTTCTAAATCACCCTGTGATGTAGGTTATGCTGCGAGTCAGTGACTCACCCAAAATCATCCAGAGAATTTCATGGCTGAATGGGGACTAGAAGAAGAATCTTCCACGTACCCAGTTCAACACTCTAATCATCACACTCATTCTCAGGCTGTTAGCTTTTATACCATTAACATTTTAACTGGCTGTGTATAATAAGCTCAATCCCTTAAGCAAGTGCTTGTTCCCTTCTATCTGAGCCTCTTGACTCAGCCCATAATAAAAGGACTACAAAGAAAGACAATATTATGAATCTTGCTCCACATGCTGGAATATCAAAGGATGGACTAGGGGCCTGGCATAGATTTGCACTAATAAACTGAGGTGAGTGGAGAAAAAAAAGAAAGCCTTCCTGAAGTCACAGGACTAAATATTTGAAGCCATCTCCTCAACAAGGAAGTGTTTTGCATAATTATTCTTCTGGCAAACTAATCTCTCCTTTGCTACACATGCAAATAGTTATCAAGGCAGTGAGGAACTCTGCTCTCCACTCCACCCTCTAACCATAACTCATGTGAAATTTGTAGCCAAGCAGCACCAAGTATACTGTCAGCACTACATAGATATGGTAGGTATCTTTTGTTGTTGTTGCTAGTTGCAAAGTACTGATAGGTAAAAGAGGGGTGAAAAATTAGTCATTTTGACTGAAATCACCTTCACTTCATTCTCCAGATATACCACTCCCTCCCTGTATGGGGAACAGTGCCATTGCTTGGGACTTTGGCCAGATGGACAACCGGAAATGACATTTATACTGTAACTAGAATTATAACATGGCATGAGGAGACATTTACTTGGCAGGAGCCAGAATTACATTATTTCCTTTTACTATTATTATAAGCTTTCCTATAGAAGGTCTGACCTATGAGGATCTACTGCATCTGTACAGTATTATTTCACTGTATTCAAGACAGAACACGAGCAACTTCTAACATGTCCTTGAACCTCCAAAGCACTTCAAATAGAGCGTCTCACAGGCAGACAGGAAGACAGAAAAGGTGCATAGTAACTCACCTGTCTAGGTGTGGCAGTGCTTTTGGCTCCCCATGGTGGAGGCGGTGGCTTCCTGTTCCTGTTCATTTCTCTTTGCTTTGTATTCAGTCAGTGCAATATAGCATCAGACCAGATGGAGCTGTCTATTTAATGGGATCAATCAGATCTTGTCCCAGTTTCTCTCACTGCAAGATCCTGGCTTTCAGCTGTCTGCTGCCCAGACCCTACTTTCTCTCCAAAAAAGTGTCACAAATGAAGAAACGGTTAAAATATTACAGAAAATATAATACAAAATGAACACATACCACCAAAGTCAATAGCCACCTGCTTCTTTACAACCATACCTAGATACAACCTTTCTTCTGTAATCCTATGTATTTTCACTTGCAAGCACAGTCCAATGAGCTCAAAGTGCTATTTATGCTTAATATGGCATATTTTCTATTGAATTTGCATTTGCAAACCCTGAGAATAAACCCCAGTGGGACATACCTACATGTAAATACACATTTTAAAAGGCCATTAGTGCCCGATTTCCAGTACTGTATTCCCCTCAAATGCTCACATTACAACCATTTCTAACAAAACATTCTAACTTTTAGCCAGCTACACCTCAGTTCCCTCTTTCATTCTTCCTCAAATAAAAATATCTAAAATGTATTTAGTACTTGAGTTTTCAAAGTACTTCATAGACATTTCCTTGTTATCCTTACACCAGACATGTAAGATAGGCCAGAATTACTACTCCTATATACCGGCTGGAAGACTTAGGCTTACCCAAGGCCATCAAGTAACTTGATCAGGCCAACCAAAGTAAGCCCCAGGGAATGCAGCAGAATTTCCAACGTGTACCGTACGATTTATTTTCAGGAAAACTGAGGCTCTGGATTGCAGTCTGAGCTACGAATCATCCCTCCTGTAAGAGCCTCGACCCCCGCCCCGTCTTTAATACAGGGACAACTATGCCGATCCACCTCACAAGATTGTTGTAAGGATACTGAGATAACTGCGGACGAAAAATCTTTTAAGATGAGGCTTCCAGCCTCGTAGCCACCACGAACACCAGCCCTTCGCGCTCTTCCCCGCTACGCACTTCCACAGCCGACTATTCCCCCCACCCCTCGCCCAACATCGCCCGCAGAAGGAGGGGCGCTTCACCCCCGACTCGCTCCCATGACAACACACTCACTTCCTGCTTTCTCTCCGGCAGCAGTCAACAACGCGCCGTGCTTTACGACTCCCTCCTTCCGTGGGGAGAGAGGGAGGAACAGCGCTCGCGTCAACACGCTCCTCGCTTTACGGCACGCTTGGCCGTCCATAGGCGTGAGCAAACGGTGTCTCCTTGAAGTCTTCATTCCTGAGCAGATACGAGTCGCGAATGTTTGAGGCTCTGGCTAGCGAATTTTCTTCGCCATAGTAAAAATGGAAGCTGCTCATACGAGATCACAGAGGGAACTGGGACTGTATCGGGACTATATTCTGGGGGTCACCAAGCTCTAAATTAAGTGCAGGAAAATAACCAAGAGGAAGGGAACAATGTTGACATGGCAAGCAGAGAAGAATATGAGAGTACCTTAATTGGCACAAGTTGCTAGTGGCATGTTCCAAAGGCTTCTCAGAAAAGAAAGGTGGCTGCAGGGCTGTGCTTTTCATCAATACAGTGAATTGAGCACAGTCCAAATTAATTATCTCTGTTCCTGTATTGCAGATTTGGTTGTGCATGGAGACATGATATATACCTTTGCCTGACACCTGTGCCAGGAGGAAACTGTTCTGATTCTTCATATGCAGTCCTAACAGTAGTTTCTTGTCCATGATACAGAGTATGCATCAGGATAGTCAAGTTTATCCTGATGCATAATCTGCATAACCCCCATTTATTTCAGAGCCTTTCACAGTTTATTGTGATCCACACAGTCAAAGGCTTTGCTGTATTATATAAACCATAGACAGATCTTCTGAAATTTTTTGGTGTACTGGAGTAGCCAATGTATATTTGAAGTATGATCTTGAGTGCCTATTCTATTTTGGAATCCAGTTTGAATGTCAACCATTTATCTCTTCATATAAGGGTAAAATTCTACATTGCCACACCCTGAGCATCACTTTGCTAGTGTGGGAAATTATTGCAATGGACCTATAGTTGCTGCATGCCTTAGCATCCCTTTTCCTGGGGATTAGAATGTACAGTGGTACCTCGACTCACGAACGCCTCAATTCACAACCAAATTGGGTCGCGAACAAGAAAATTCATAAAAATTTTGACTCAGGCTGCAACCTCTGCATTGGGTGGCGACTGCAATCGTGGCTATATCCCCACCCCCCAAGTGGGGAGATGGTCACAATCATGCTGGGGGTGGGAGGGAGATGGCCAAGATCACACCCGTCTTTCCTGCATGAGTGCATCCGTGATTGCACCCATCTTTCCTGCACAAGCGTAACCACGATCTCAGCCATCTCCCCCCGCAGCACAATTGTGCCCATCTCCCCCACCCACCCCCCCAGCACGCTGGGATGACAGGTGCCTGCAGGGATGACAGGTGTGATCGTGGTCATGCTAGGGGGGCGGAGAGATGGCAGCGCTCATGCTCGGGGCTGGGGTGGGGGAGATGGCCATGATCTTCGTTGTTCTTTGTCACTTTGCTTCACATTTTTCTGATTAAAAAAAAAGTTACAGAATGGATTAACCTTATTTACATTGAACCTTATGGGAAAATTTAACTTGGCTCAAGATCAATTTGGGTCATGACCAAAGTCCTGGAACAGATTAAGTTTGTGAGCCAAGGAACCACTGTATATTGAATGTTTCCAGTCTGTGGGCCATTGTTTTGTTAAAATATTTGATAGCACATTCTTGTTAGGATTTAGATCTATTGAGTCTCAGCAGCTTGGAATAATTCTTTTGGTATTCTACTTTGAATGCTTTATTCCTTCCAAGTAGATAGAAACACATTTTTCCCCATTACTCATAAGCACTGAAAACCAGGGTCATCCCATGAAGGTGATTAGTGTAAAGCACAGGAGAGAGAAAAGGAAGTACCTCAACACAATGCACATTGAATTTACTTCCATAGGAATTAGCAATGCCCACCACTTTAGAAGAAGATTGGGCAAACTTATAGAGACTAAAGCTATCATTGGCTAATAGTCCTGATGGCTGTATGCTATCTCTGCTATTAGAAGCAGTATGCTTATATACACCAATTGCTTGGGGAACATGATGTTGCACCTATGGTTTTCTTGTGCATTTCCTATAAGCAGCTGTGTGAACCATATGCAGGATTAGATGGTCCCTTGGTCCAATCCAGCACACCTCTTATGTTTTTAATATTTGTTGTTGTTAGTCGCGAAGTCATGTCCAACCCATCACAACCCCATGGACGACATTCCTCCAGGCCTTCCTATCCTCCACCATCCCCCGGAGTCCACTTAAGCTCACACCAACTGCTTCAGTGACACCATCCAGCCACCTCATCCTCTGCCGTCCCCTTCTTCTTTTGCCATCTATCATTCACAGCATTAAGCTCTTCTCCAGGGTGTTCTTCCTTCTCATTAGGTGGCCAAAGTATTTGAGTTTCATCTTCAGGATCTGGCCTTCTAAAGAGCAGTCAGGGTTGATCTCCTCTAGGACTGACCGGTTTGATCTCCTTGCAGTCCAAGGGACTCGCAGGAGCCTCCTCCAGCACCACAATTCAAAGGCCTCAATTCTTTGGTGCTCAGCCTTCCTTATGGTCCAGCTTTCACAGACATACCTTGCAACTGGGAAAACCATAGCCTTGACTATAGCACTTTTGCTGGCAGGGTGATGTCTCTGCTTTTTAGTATGCTGTCTAGATTTGCCATAGCTTTCCTCCCAAGGATCAAGTGTCTTTTAATTTCTTGGCTGCAGTTCTCATCTGCGGTGATCTTGGAGCCCAGGAAAATAAAATCCGTCACTACCTCCATTTCTTCCCCATCTATTTGCCAGGAAGTGAGAGGACCTGAAGCCATGATCTTAGCTTTCTTAATACTGAGTTTCAAGCCAACTTTTGTGCTCTCCTCCTTCACCCACTTCAAGAGGCTCTTTAGTTCCTCTTCACTTTCTGCCATGAGAGTGGTATCATCTGCATATCTGAGGTTGTTGATATTTCTCCCAGCAATCTTAAGTCCAACTGGTGATTCATCTAGCCCCACCTTTCTCATTATGTGCTCTGCATATAAGTTAAGTAAGCAGGGCGACAGTACACAGCCTTGCCAAACTCCTTTCTCAATTTTGACCCGTATCCAGTTCTGTTGCTTCTTGACCCACATATAGGTTTCTCAAGAGACAATAAGATGGTCTGGTACTCCCATCTCTTTAAGAACATGCCACCATTTGTTGTGATCCACACAATCAAAGGCTTTAGCATAGTCAATGAAGCAGATGTTTTTCTGGAACTCCCTAGCTTTCTCCATGATCCAGCGTAAGTTGGCAATTTGATCTCTAGTTTTTAATATAGTCTAACATTAATTCTCTCTTAGAGTGAGGACAGAGATGGCCTGAGCAAAAGACTTAGGCTGCACCTATCACTTGCAGAGAGGCAAACACATTGTCCATTTATCACTCTTAGCTAGAGACCCCAAATAACAACGGAAGTCAGTTGGGTGAGTGGGCTATGCCAAACCTTTTCCTTTATCTACAGCCGCATCGAACATACCGAGATGGGCAGGAAAAGTCAATGTGGGGAGAAGGGAGGGGCCTGGGGTGCGTGCCCATATGCGTGGGCGTGGCCTCTGGAGCCGAGCGGGTGGGGCTTGGCGTCTCATGAGAGGCGTGGCTTGGGCGGGGAGGCGAGCAGCGACGATGTTAGAGTTGGCGGGAAAGGCCGCAGGGGATCGTTTGAGGTAAAGGAGAGTTTTACTGTGGCGCTGAAGTAAAGCGCAAGTGCCTGCAAAGTCTTTTGTCAACACGAGATAGGGCCGCTCCATATAGTGGCCAGAGTGGTGTGATAGGGATTCGGCATTCTGTTACCTCCGATTGCCGAAAAAAAGTCAGGCACAGTATATAAAGGCATCCCCTCGACTTTTTGCGAGACAAAACTTGCTTTCGTAAGCACGTAAGGAGGGCGAGCTTATTTAACTTTGCCTGTTGGGCTGGTTCTTGGGTCAAAGAACAACGTTAGATAAATTGATCTGAAACTTCCTGCTCGGCATTTTAAAAAAGTTATTTCTTATACAAATACTTAAAAAAAACTGCAGGTAGCATGTAACCGTGTTAGTCTGTAGCAGCAAAAAGCAGTCTTGTGGTTCTTCAAGAAAGAACAGATATTAGCGTAGGGTTTTTAAAGTGCCACAAGACCTCAGGTTATCCTTAAAACGATACACCTTGTGACGGAGAAGATAGCCCCTTACATGTGAACGCTCTGCAAACAAAAGAAAGAGTGGTGACTGCATTTTTTTTTCGCATAGTGGGGTAAAAGGCTGCGTATCTGTATAGATGAACTTAATTAGGAAAATGGAGCAGGGGAAGACATTAAAAATCTCAGTGCTTTAGTTGGGATCAAGTTCTCTCTCCCCACTAGTGAGTTCATGGTCAGTCTGCCTAATTCATCTGATAAAGGAAGCTGTTATATGCATGGCATCATAAAAAAGCTCAGAATTTTTTAGCTACATCTTGAAGATACGGAAACTTATGGGAGTAAGCACATTTCAACAATTAGGCTTCCTTCGAAGGAAGGAACAAGCATGTACTTGAACTGCACTTAATAGATAAGCAAGTTCTACTGAAGTCATAACACTTATTTCTGATTAAACGTTTAAAATCAGATAGCAAGCCCCATCATTTTTCTACCGAAAACCCCACAAGTACTGCTTGATCTTATCCCCTGCATCATCAACATTCAAGCTGAAAAGGTTTGCCTGAGTATCATTTCCTCCAAATTAATTCCAGCTTTAGAGAAAAGGAAGGTGAGAGACTTTCCTATATATTCTGCAATGGAAATTCTGGATTGCTCTTCAGTGCAAATGTTTATGGATTTAAAAAATTAGAAATATTATTAAACCTTCTTAATATATATCTATCAATATTTTATCTATACAGGAAACATTGACCTCAGGTGATCTTTCATTTTTAGACTTACCAAACTATTAAGATGAGTAAGAGGAGGAAGACAT